AATTTAAAGGTGTTCTGGCATACTGCAAAGAGTCTTGAAATTGATTGATACTCGTTTCCATGTCGTCTACTGCATTGATGATATCTTCAACGATGACGTTAAATTGTCTTTGAGCGTCTAATCCGGTGCCCGGTGATAATACGCTCGTTTTTGTTTGAGCCTGCGCACCGAGTAAAGCGTACACGTAAGATCTGATCGATTCGTTGATCTTTATGATTCCCGCGGGGGTAAACAAACTCTTGTCGGGTATAAAATCTAACCAAGCCTTTTGTACCGATTCATTTTGTTCGATAAAGGCTACGGTGTAATCGCTGTAACGCCCCGAACCCTTGGGTGGATCGTCCAGACCAAACCCCATTTTAGTTCCACTCATCATATCTTTACGATACTCACTATACTCGAGATTAAGGTCGGTTGTATCATAATCGTTTCCGGGTACGGGTACGTAAGACGTGTCCCAATAATAAGCTATACCTAAACCGTTAGAGTTTGTGTCTCTCGTCTGTTTAAAAGATTTATTTTGATCTATGCCAAACAACAAACAGGTATCGGTAAATGCTCTGAGATTATAACAGTTGTCTAGAGCTTTAAATGCGTCATCTCCCGGTAAAGGAGCGGCAAAGTCGTACAGGATCTTTCTAACCGTAAAATATAAATGAAAGTTAAAGATGGCCCAAACGTAACGGTTGCTCGAGTTTAAAAGATCAAATCCAACACCGCACCCCGTAGTAGCGCAATAGATCGCAAAATTTAACTGATTTTGATAAAACGACATGGGGTGTGATTTCCAACGATCTACATCTTCGTCCGTCGTGATGCGAGGCAATTTATAGTCCGAGGTTAAGTCGGGAAACGAGCTTAAAAACCCGTTGGTATTATTAACTATAACTTCCAGTTCACTGGGTTTAGTGCTGTTTAAAATATTTTGGGATGCAGCTTGATGCTTTGGCTCGGTTGCCTTGGCTACATTTTGATTTACTTGTTTCGTTACCTGATTGGCTCTATCTAGTATCTGCTTTTTTAACAACATAAAAGCAATCATTATTTTAGTTTCAGTTTTAATATAAAAAGACTTTAAAATAAATGCATTCGTTTCACTTGTTTCAAAATGAGCAGACGTTTAAATTAGAAGACGTCGTAGATAATCTAAACGGCCAAAAATCTGTACGCGTAAAAAGGGTGATGTTTAACCCCGGATATTTTAATATTTCCAGCGCCACGGAGATTGATTGGTATACGCAAATAGACGCGAGACCCGCTAAAAGACCTGATGATGATAGAAGACCCATATTTTATGACCCAGAAATAGAAGTAAAAACAGATAGAGATTTTATTGCGCAATTGGTACCCGAATACCCCTACGACTATTTTTTTAACGACGAAAATACTTTCAATATAGTTATAAACGATCTTATAGAAGCGTACGAAGAAGATAGACTAGACTCTGCTTTAGAATCGATCAAAGAAAAAGAAGAACAAATAGATAAAGAGATAAAAATTTTACACGATAAAAATCAAGAAACACTAACCGACGTACAACACAATACGCTTTATTTTTTAACATACATTATAGTAGAAAGAAGAGGCTTCGTCATTCACGGTAAAAATTTAGCGCTAGAATATATCGACGGTATAATAAGCAAACCAAGAGCGAGAATGATTAGAAATGCTGGGATAACAATACGTGGGAGTCTTGTCGTGTCTGGTGATAATTTAGATTTTATTTCTCCGAGTCTTTTAGCGCTGTTACCAGCCGGAGTCACCGGTTCGGTCACCATCCCACCTGGGTGGTACGATGTCGATTGGTTCGATTTTATTTTAAATTATATACCCGGGGTAAGTTTTCGAATATTTAGAGAATCTAAAAAGGTGACGTTGGTGGTAACCGACGTCAATCTCAAATTGCGTTTAAACAGAGAAGTTTCTCGATTACTCAATTTACCCAAAGGAAGACTGATACCCAAAGTGGTGTATACGGGGTCTTACGACGTCAATCCGTTTAAATTTTTGTTTATTCGCTGCCCGCAATTAAGTACGAGTGAAAACTTTTTTGATGGTAGACCATCTGACATCTTAAAAATCGTACCCGTAGGTACGCGCAAACCCGAGCCTGATAGAGTCGAGGATTTCAAGAAACTTAAAAACGGTATAATAGACAAACTGACATTTTCAATCATAGGTGAAAAAGGACAGATCATCAACAATAAGGGTGTGAGTATCATGATCGAGTTGGAGATCTTTTAATTTTAAAATCTTTTTATATTAAAAACATGAGTATAGATGGTAAGGTGTTATACCCCGATATTTCTGGAGATGTACTCCGATTAAATAGTAACGAAGAAACAAAAGTATACAGACTAAAAAAGATTGAAGAGATTCGATCTTTAATCTTAAAAGAGAGAGACCACCGAGAGCACACTTATAAAAAAATAAAGAGAGTGATCGACACTATTAATTACGTAGAGATAGGATTAGAAGGATTGGGGGCTATAGCGGGGGCTGTCGGTATTCCCGCTCTCTTGGGTGTTATATCAACCCCCGTCGGATTGGTGCTAGAAGGAACGTTTATAGGCGCTTTTGGTGTAGATATTCTGCTAAGAATCGCGTCTAGGCGATTATCCGCCAAGCTAAAAAAGCACGACCAGATTAAAATATTAGCAGACTCCAAACTTAACACGATTGAAGAATACGTGTCTCAAGCCATCAACGACGGAGATATATCGCACGAAGAGTTCTTACTGATTACGAGAGAGCTCGCAAAATTTAACGAGCTTAAGCAGAAAATTAGAACAAAGACCAGCACAAAGCTTCAAAAGATTAAAAACGATACAGACTTTGAAAAAGAAGTTAAAAAACGGGTAGATGAACGGTTTGCAAAAGAAAAAAAATCTCTTATCGAAAAACTTACAAGTTCAAATTCTCGGTAAATAAACATTATGAAAGCGATCCGCCGAGTTATACCTCTATTTCACCTCTTAGGGTGTTACCCTCGGCCCCGCCTTTATTGTAGTGGTCATCGTATCTTTTTAGTGCTTTATTAAATTGATTTTGAGTCACTTTAAATAAATCTCTAACTCGTTCTTTGTCTAATCCAACGACGTGATGATAACACGCCGCTATTAATGACCGTTTGACGCAACCATTTCCCCTCAATGTTTTGTAATTAACGAGCTCGTTATATTTATTGATTGTTTCTTGAACATCTTCTGAGCCTTGCTCTGGACACACCGACAAAATAAGTTTCTCCACAGTTTTTCTTTTGTTTCGTTTTAAAATTGACCAATTGATACGATCTTCTTGCGCATTTTCTGCTGAAAAATCAAAGTAACGTGAGACTATTTCACCGCACGTTTCACAAACTAAAAAACCATTCTCGATGATTACATGATGATCGCACTGATCTGTTTTATCAGATAGCTCGAGGTTTTCACTCTGAAAAAAAGTCATTGATATATTTAATAAAAACCGATATTATTTTTTATTAATTTTTCAAATACTCGTCGGTCTAAACATATTACTCTCCATTTTTATAAAAAAAAACCAGCTTCTCTACCTTTTTACAGGTAGAGGAGCTAATTTTTTTTGCCCCGAGCTTAAGGTCACGTGGTGGTGACTCACCTCATTTTTCAAAGTCGCGTTGTTTACGCCAAATTTTTATCGTGCCTCAACACGTTTCAAGGTCACGTGGTGGTGACTCACACATTTTTCAAGGTCACGTGGTGGTGACATCACCTCATTTTAGCGACGACAGATTTTTTTTTTTTTTTCTCTCTCTCTCTCTCCCCCGGCGTCAGAGTTTTTTTTTTCTCTCTGCGTCAGATTTTTTTTTTTTCTCTCTCTCTCCCGGCGTCAGGATTTTTTTTTTTTTTTTTTTCTCTCCCGGCGTCAGAGATTTTTTTTTTTCTCTCTCTCTCTCTCTCTCTCCCGGCGTCAGGATTTTTTTTTTTTTTTTTTTTTTTTCTCCCGGCGTCAGAGATATTTTTTTTTCTCTCTCTCTCTCTCGGCGTCAGGATTTTTTTTTTTTTTTTTTTGGAAATCGGGGGATTCCCCTATTTTTCCAAAACCGAGAGCGGCGTGTCCAGGCTCGCCGCAGATTTTTTCGATTTTGGTCCCGTACCCCCGCCCCCCTTACTACTTATGCAGCAATCATCAGATGACATATGCGTAGCAGCGGGGGGGGGGAATATTTTCTAACGACTGCCAATATTTTATAACGACTGCCCATTTCCAATTGAGATGCTTTTTTTTCACCGGCTCTTCCCCCCCCCCCCCCCCAATATTTTTGTAGTGCCCTATTTTACGAAGAAGTACCTTTTTGCTGAACAAGATTAGTGCCCTTTTTAAAAAGAATTGGTGCCCTTTCTGTGCCAGTTGCCGTTCGGGTGCCTTTTTTTGACGCACGTATCGCCCTGAATAGCCGCATATATTGTCCGTTAGTTTCAATAATCGTGGGTTTTGAACAGCGCCCCACCGACAGATGGTCCGGGTCGTTCGGTCGAGCGTAGACTTGATGGCAAGTCGTTAGACTATAGTGGTTTATGTCCGTCATCAGCGCCAGAATCCGCATACCGGCCATGCCACCGCCGTTCACGCAACGTGAGCGCTACCGTACCAGTCATGCAAAAGTCATGTACAGTACATGTACGATGTACATTACATACACGTACACCGCGCGGCACGCATGGGATCGCACACGCATGGGGTCGAAAATGTACGTAGCGTCCCCGCTACTAGGACAGCATGCGGTATGTCGTACCCCCGGCACAGAGCTTGGCAGTCGCGCGCGGCGGACGCGATTAAAACCACTCATTACAGACTTGATTTCAAGTCTAGGTCGAGCGTTATGTCGGTGGTCATTCAGTTGTACGTTGGGTTTGTATGTCCATCGATAGTTCGATTGGTCGGTCGGTCAATAACAAATATTGCAAAAAGAACAATTTCTCAAGCTAGTCCTTGATATTTGTTATCTCGTTTTTAATTCAATGAAACGAAACTAACCCTTCCGAAAACCGAGAACACCAGTATATGTTCGCTTTTTGTTAATTGTATATTTTATTTTCACTGAATATTGGAGAATTTGATAAAATGTGTTGTATATGCATGCGGTGTTGATTGTTTTGTAGATATAACATATGTTTGTACTATCTCCGAAGCATTCGTTGACAGCAAGCATATACGGCTTGTCATTAAACGATGGCAATTATTCCGCTTTTGTGTATTACATCTTCATTTAATTAATATCATTGTTTTAAAACACTGTGAATAGTTTACATTTCCATTGAGGAACATGAATAAAAATTTCGATATTCAATTATTTGGAATCAACTCATAACGCTAAATAACATACCACACCATTATTGTTTCTTGTTATTACACTCTATAAGTTCTGAAGAGTGAAATTAGGGACGAGACGTTTTAAATAGAGTGAAAATGACTCTCATTTTCGATTGAAATAGTCTGAAAAATGAACCACTTCAGTCGAAGTTCGAGTGAAAACTCGATCTTTACGATTGAAGGAATTTCACTCTAAAAGGTCTTGTCCCTATAGTTTCCGACTATGGGAGTGAATCATTACTGGAATGGAGTGAATATTCACTCTTTGGAATTTAGAGAGTAAAGATATATAATCAAATAAAAATGAAGACTAACATTGATTTACGTATAGGTCCTACAAGCATACTTTATTAAATTTTGAATGTTACGGTATTTCTTTTCCTCGATTGATTACATGCATATTTTAATACTTTCACCAATTAACTACAAAACTCAGAAGTTACACAAAGGTTACCTTAATATGATAAACAACGGAGTCACCTTATATTTTACCAGTTTTATGAGGTCTTCAACGACATGAAGGAATCGTGATTATCTTTTTCATAGTTCAGTTTCCAAGGTTACCAGTTATTACGATGAGAGTGCAGGATTGCCCGACCGTTCACTTCCTGTAGAGGGCGGTAGTTATCCATCAGCCTCACCTGGGTAGCGTCGGTTGCGTTGTTGGCATAGAGATTGTAGAAAATGTTCATCTGTTTCCGGAAAAAAAATATAGAACCAAAGTTGCATACTTTTCAGTGAACATTCTCAGTTTCTGATATAATTTCTTGGCCTGCGCTGTTGTCACGCGCAATGTGGGAATCTGGGTAAATTCGGAATTTGCCCAGGGCAAAGTGGGAATTGCAACACAGCGCAGCAAAGTGGGAATGTTGTCTCTATTACCTATTGGAAACAGTCCTGGATTTTTTCTACTATGGACCTGGGCAAAGTGGGAATTTCCGTCGATTTCGGCGTAAGTGCTATAGTGTTGAAATTACTATTCCTACATTGCGCTATTAATAAACCTGAGCAAAGTGGGACTATTACCAATGGGTGAGTTTTACCTTAACACCCCTTATCAATAGCAAATTGAATCAAAATGGACAGAAAATTCCCACTTTGCCTAGGTTCGGTAGTAGCGCAATGTAGGAACAGTAATTCCACCACAACTTGACTATAGCAATTTCATTGAAATTGACGGAAATTCACACTTTGACCAGATTCAGTAGCAGTGAAGTGAAGGAAGATTTGGGCAGTTTGGCTGTTTAACATGGGCACATTGCAAGAAATGGTAAAACCCCCCAATATAAATGACCTTGCCACGCCACTGACTAGCGAAGCAAATTTAAAGATTTGAGTGTCTATACTGCCACCAAGCGTCTGTTAAGTGTCCAGTCTTATACCACGTGAACTTTAAGCTTGCCTTTGATTGCGGGATCACTATTGGCTGTTCCCACACTGACCAGATCACGTGTTCGTCACAGTGAGGCGTGGTGAACGATCCGCGGTACCGGTAGAACCAGTCGATGTTATCGGGAAGAAATCCCCTCAGATCCTTCAGTTGCGACTTCGGAAGGGTGTAAGAATCTCCTACAAACAAACAATAAAGACTAATCCCTTTATTTTGATAACTGTTAAAACCAGTGATCTCATGTATCTGCATCTGCATCAATACTGCTTAACACTTGCGTTGCAGGTGGAGTAAACCGAGAAGGGTTGTGAGTGCGCATGGATGTTTCTAGTTTCTTAAGTCCTTGTATACAGTTGTTGCTTGAAGGGTAGTTACTTTGTCAGTGATCGTAGTAATGTTCACAGGTAATTGGTTTTATTGGTTACAGTCCTTGCAAAATAAGAGTATTTGTAACAGTCCTTTTTTGCTTGTCTGTGGAAGGTATTTTGCGTTGGAAGATCTAGATGAGCGTGTGGTCGGGCGTAAGTTGGTTCTTGCCAGGAGGGTCAGGTGACCGTGTATTGCATTGTTGAATGGGCTGCTCTTGTAGTCATAGTCTCTGAACATAAATCTTGCCCCTCTACGTTGGACATCTCGATTCGGCGTTATGTCTATTCTTAATTTGTATATGGATTTTCTCGTGTTTCAAGGTTTACAGTGAAACTGGTCAGTGAAGACTCGATAATTGTAGTTCCCGTTTTACATAATTTAAAATTGCTAAAACCCTGACCGTACCTTTATGGCCGAGGCTCGGCAGACCACTAATGAACTCATCCAGTGTAGATCCTTCGAAGTGTGGGTTGACACCAACCTGCACTCGATGAAAAAAAAAGAATTAAATTACTACAACCACCAGATGTCCAGTTTTTTAGCTTTAATTTGTCTTAATCTTGATTGAACCACTTTGACGAAGATAATGTATGCAAAAATTGTTACCTATGCGAAAGAAAAACATAATGCTGATATAAATCGTGACTCGCGCGAGTCACGCTGCATGCTGCGCTTTTTGGGTCGGCCATTTTGTAATTAGACTTTTGTCTTTACCTTCTTATATATAGGGACTTTACCTGAAGCATAGCTGCAAAAACTGCAACGCCATCAACGTGGTTTTTCGCTTCGGTTATGGACGTGTAGTTGGTGTCATACGTCACGAAATGCATCTGAAGGAAAGTGTGATATTAGTAATCAATATCTAATATTACAGTTTTAACTTCAGCTTCTCAAAGAACATGTAAACAACGCTGATTTGGTGTAATTATATCCCCAGCACATGTCAACTAATAAGTAGGCCAATAATTACCTCCAATATACACACATACTGGAATTTGTATCCTTGTGGAGACATTTCTTTGTTCTCGTGTGGTAAAGTTTTCGAGTTTGAAAGTGTAGTTTCAAATTGTTCTTATTTTAACCAGAACTAATTTCCTTGGCTGAAATTCGGACTTAATATCCCTTTTCTAAAACTCTTCCATTTGCGACACATCAACCCACCTTGGAAATTCCTAGTTTTTGAGTAAAGTCAATATATCTATTTTGTGATAACCTGGTGTAATCATCTATAGAAATCGCCCTGACATGTGGAGACGTATACAATCTTTTGTTCCCTATTGTGTGCATGTCTCCAGAGGGCACGGTGTATCAGATCACGATGTATCACACACAAAAAGGAAACCCAGATGTAAATGTTAATTATAAAAAAAATTCTAATAAATATTTTCAAATAAGTAAAAAATTCATGTGTCCTCTTTCCAATGATTCCTTGATTGCGTGTCTGTGGTCAGGGACGATTGAGCATTCATTGTTATTCTGTAAAGGGTCAAAACCTGTACTTTGTTTATACACCCATGTATAATGACACACTCTTGGTTAAAAAAGTAGATGTAGTGGTTACGGCGTGAAGCCAACTTCCTGCAAGCCTTTTTTTAAAGTGGATTTTAAAAAAAGGTAAATACGTCCATTATTGGGTACAAGAGAAATATGCTTGCGCGGCTGTGTTTAAACTGTCGGCAAAACACATGTGACGTGGTCTTTTCTGTCACTATATTCGTTCTCATTGTTATACCTCAGCATCGAATTTCCGTCCGTTAATGGCATGCTCAGATCCCTTGGCATTCGGGTTGCCCCAGTGATAATGCAGTTGTTCCACCTTATACTGCTTCCCGGGTAGCCCGCCCTCATTGATGAAAAAGTCGCCGTGAATATGGAGTTCAACTGTTGGTAAATCATTGTTATATTGATTTAAATGCATTTTTTTACGCTTTTTGCTCAAATGAAAAAAAACAACGGAAAATCCCACTTGGGTGTTATTCTGCGTTTCTAAGACAACGGAAACTGTTCTGAACCATCGTCAATTTGAATTGAAAAGTTATAGATAAAAATAGATTAATTGTTTTAATGCAGTGCTTCAAAGGGCACCTTTGTGTCTCATTTAACCCTAGTTTTAATTTTCATTTTGCAATTTTTAAGGGTTTGGTATCTTTTTATGCTTAAGCGAATTTGCATATTCGTGAGCAAAATTGTAATATCGTTTCAGGCAAAATGCTAAATGTTAAAGCTGTTGCTGCACCAAACGTTGCCGAAAGTTTGGATACTATGGGGCAAGTTTGCGCAAGAACTATTGTTGACCATTGGTTAACCAAAGTTGACTAAAGTTAGCCCGAACTTTGTCTAGTCGATGATGGTTGACTACGGTAGTCCACTATTTGGAACCAGCCTACTGGGGCTGGTTGCATCGCTGGTAACCAATATCCGCGCGCATTCATAACGTACAGCAGGGAGCCAGGACCCAGAAGTTTTGACCAGCGTTTGACTAGAGACGTTTGCACGTTGCTATTAGTGCGCATGCGTAAGGTACGTCACAAATCAACCACTAGTCGACCAATGGTCCTTGCCCGAACTTGGCCTGTGCTGTAGTAAATTTTCTTTTCTTTCGTTTGATTCGTTGTTGTGTCAGTATGGCAGTAAGCAATTGAACAAACTTTCTCACCAATGTTTTCAATGAGCTCTTTTTGGGGTTCACAATTTTATCAGAAAACACATGTCTTCCTGAAATGACATTACAGCAACAACGCCCTCAGTTGTCCAGTAAACCATGGACAATTTTTAATGTCTAAAGAAGTGCACTTTTCAATAAAATTAACCCAAAAGGGATGTCACATAGTTTTCACACAGTTGGGAAGAGAAGAAACCTGCACAAAATATATTATTGGAAAAATTCATTGCATGGCCCCTTTATAGCTCATTTGGCAATTCAAACTTGTAAAATAGACCCCTGGATTTTAAATAACGGTGTAATTTCGAAATCAAACTCTTTTCTTTCCGACTGGTTTTTATGGTGCTGTCTATCAATCCAATCATTCCAAATCGTTAAATGTTCTGTTTCTGTTTTATACACACCAGAATGTCCGTTGTTTTCGACCCTCAGAGAAGCATGACGGGGCCGATCTTGACTGCAGAATCCCTGCAGATTCAAGAAGTTGAAACTAACTTCCTTTGCCGTCTCGGTGTCTATGTTGATCGGTGATTGGCGCTGGCCCGAGCAGAAGTCGGGAAACGTGGTCACCCAGTTGAACGGTGCTGAAAAGACAAAACAAGGCAAGCATATAGTCAAGAATGGCTATACAGGGTGAATAAAAAAAACCGAAACCGAGATATTATTGCTAATTGGAACAGAAGTAGGGCGCATGGGAATCAAAGTGAGATATCCTCTGTTAGGGTTGAATCTCCTCTTCAAAATGACACCCTGGTCATGTCATTACATTCAAGGTTGACTGAGCAGTGACCAATTTTATGAAAGGGTCTATTTAGATACTTGCGCCACTTTTGAATTGTGGTTTTTGTTGTATCATTTGTGACAGAGTGAAAGGCTATGGTTGCCAATCAAGGCAGGTGGGGGAAAAAAGAGGATTTCACCATGAAAAGTGGCGCAAGTCTCTAAATAGACCCTTTCATAAAATTGGTCACTGCTCAGTCAATCGTGAATGTAAGGACATGACCAGAATGTCATTTTTAAGAGGAGAAACCTAACAGAGGATATCTCCCTTTGATTCACACGTGCCCTACTTCTGTTCCAATTAGCAATAATATCTCGGTTTCGGGGTTTTTTTTATCCACCCTGTATACTGGAAGTCTTATACATACATCTTGTTGTTTTCTTTCTTTCTTTTGTACCCCGGAGACTGGATTTTGCCCATTCATTGGTGTTACGGGGTAATCCTACACGAGAGCACTTCCCGGCGCAAGGGGTGTCAGTCGGTCAGGTCAGTCAGTCGGGGAGTCAGTCAGTGATGCACAGAGGACGCTATAGGTTGGTCCTCGTGGACCGGCAAGGACATGTTAATCGTACTTCCCTTTTGTTGTAAAGCTCAGAAATTTTGGTAGACAAGGGATTTAACAAAACTTGCGTTGATCCGTAATTGTCATTTTCGATACTATATAATAATGATTTACAACGTGTCATTGTAGAAGTCAGTTTACGAGATAACTCATAGTAAACAGGTTCGTTTCAATGTTTGCATTCAGCTTAGATGACGATTGAAAGGCATATGATATAGATGTTACAATTGTGTGGTTATTTATTGCGCAGTATACGCTATTATGTGATCAAAATAATGTACATCACCTTGTCATTTGATCGTTATGCCAGTTACAGTGAACTTATCTTACAATATTATTATAGTTATCTTACATCCTGAACCGCCTCCGTAACCCCATTCCGGTTCACCTGCAAATCAACCATATGTTACAAAATTGCAACTTTAATACAATACAATAATATTGATTAAAACAATTTGCCTGCACAATGTGCTTGCTCTTCATTATTTTATTTTTCAAAGTGTATTCGAAATTTAAAATCCATTCTTGATTTTCTAACAAGTTTTTTTTTTTTCCAATGAAATTATTTTAATAACGACATGCCAAACAAATCTTGAATGAAAATAGTTATCAATTTGACTTGAATTTTTACCATCGACACTATAGATCCAGCCAGCTGCATCTGCAATACAACAAAAGCAAAGAGACACATTTGCCTCATTTTTATCAAGATTTCTTCAAATAACACAGTGGCATTAATGACACACTATAAAGCTGGACATTAGCTATAACCAAAAGTAAATGCGAAAAAAAATAACGCGTGTATGAGCATCTACTAGGCTATTTTTTTGTGAAAGACACAATAATGTTTGCCCGATATTTTGGTAGAGTAATTTGGTATAAAAATCAAACTAAATGAGACTTGTAGGTTTGCATGGTGACAGGCCCAGATTACCCAATAGGCACAGTAGGCGCTGTGCCTAGGGCCTACGAAAAATTCGGGGACCTACCAAAAAATACCGCAGTGTGCCATAAAACACATAAATAGGCCTACCCACACCACACCCAGGCGCATAGAAAAGTTTTTAAAAAGTGTTCGGGTCCCTCAGAATTTTTGATTTTACCAATGCTGTACAGCATGTAGGCATACATGTACCCCCAGTGTTTTGTACTTTGAATTTGGTGCCGGCCTAGGGTGGAGTAGGGCCTACGGAACACTGGTGCTTAGGGCCTATACGAAACACCTAATCCGGGCCTGCATGTGGTCGTGAACAACATACAGGGTGAGTAAAAAAAAACACGAAACCCAAATGTCAGGACTATTGTTTTAGTGAAGTTCTGCATGTAGCACTTTCAAAATCTAGGATATAAAAGCCCAATTCATAAGCTTTTTTTTTAGTACAATAATCACTCAAATCACTTGTGTACTTTTCAAGCTACGGAATTTTAAACACAACCACCGTTTTAAAGTTCGGTCCACGGATCACGAAAAGGTAAGTGCTCTTTCAGCAAAACGAAAGCCAATCACAAAGGGATGTGTGTGAATTGTTTTCGTTTTGCTGAAATTTAAAGAACGCACACCTTTTTTGTGATCCGTGGACAGAACTTTAAAACGGTGGTTGTGTTTAAACTTCCATAACTTGAAAAGTACACAAGTGATTTGAATGATTCTTGTACTACCAGAAAGCTTATGAATTGGGCTTTTATATTCTAGATTTTAAAAGTACTACATGCAGAACTTCACTAAAACAATAGTCCCAACATTTGGGTTTCGGTTTTTGTACTCACCCTGTAAACTATTTATTTTGAATGACACAGTAATGTTTGCCCATAGTTCCGATATTTTGATAGAATAATTTGGTATCAAATTAAACAGGCTTGTAGACTTGTGAATGTTATCTCTCTTGAGTTGTGTGGTGCTGAGAGAAACAGTATGCTCTGTTCGTCATCAGGAGACTACAAATCTTCACAACCTCTTAAGTGGTTAATCTTGCACCAGGCCCTGTTTTTCGGACCATACAAAGAACAAACCAACTTACTAGCACACGGCAGGGCCACGAGCAGATATGCCAGCAAGCACAGGAATGCCATTATCAATTGAGACTTCGGTGGTTCTATAAAAAAAAGAGGAAAGAAACAAGGAGACGATTCGTACCATTTTGCCTCTGTGCTGTAAAACCATGATCATAATATTTCGCTGCAAAACTGAGCTGAGCTGTCCCACCATATGTAATTGCCTTTTTAAGGATAAATAAAACATTTTGAATTGAATTGAATTGAATTTGAATTGAAAACGAATTAGAATATCCGCAAGTGTATGCTTTTAGGTGATAGCAAGTATTTTTTTCCCAAAACGGCCGAATTTTTAGACAATTTTTAGACTGCCTTGCAGTTACTGAAACATTCACTTCAAACGCGAAAGCCCCCCAAAAGGGGGGGGGGGGTAGGGAATTTCTAAGAAAAGGCGTTGTAATAATCCAAAACTCACCCTGTATTCAAAGATGCACGATGCAATCGACTCACGTTAGAACAGTTGGAAACAGGAGACAATGTGTCTGGCCGGTACGCTCGCAGAACTGAAACTGATCTGCATGGCGTATGCGTTCCCATTCTAATATTAATTTATCGTCAGAAATAACGCACTTTACGCCCGATCCGAAAAGACGTTCATTATAGAAAAACCGGCTTTCATAATGCATCGATAATTATGCTTATTGATACGTGATATGGCAGGGAGAGATGGATCCGTATAGTGTCGCACTCCCCGGTTCGCCCCTCCACAAGAAATATGCAGTGTTGGAGTACTCGTATACTAGTATACTCGTACTCGAGTACAACTCGAGTACACGCAAGTCCTCGGCCCGTACTCGACGATCAGTACTCGAATTTTGGCACGGACTTGTTGGTTTGGCTCGGTACTCGACTCGGGAGTACAAATCGAGTACATTTTTTTTAAACGCAACTCGAGCGCAGTGGCGCGGTAATTTACAGTCTGCATTACGGCCATAGATTAGTGAAGGGAATAAATATCGGGAGGTATTATAACACTCTGTTTAAGACCGGTGGGAGTTTGGATGGGTGATAATTACCCTCGGCTTCGCCTCGGGTAATTATCACCCATCCAAAGATGATTACCTCCAAAGATGATCACCTCTAAAAGCAGTCGAGGCCCATCGCCATATTGAAAATTGACGCTGGCGGCTGGCGCTCCATTGCAAAATAGGGCCTAATTTCATCCATATTTCACAGAAATACGAGCTCGCAGTCCTCTGCACGGCTTCCAACCTTCATTTTTACAAATCATCAAGTTCACGGCCTTCAAAATGCTCTAATACTGAAGAATTTGATTGTGAACTGGCCGGCGTAGGCAATTTGCCTGCAGCCTGAGTTACCATTACAAAAATGTAAGAAATTAAAGTGCTTCTCAGAGGTATCCACTCACAATTCTGAGGTATGGAGTGCCACTTGATCATGTGGTCAAATGGCTTGCAGTTTGATAACTGGGACCAGATCAACAAAAAGGCATAACATTCTTATATTTGGACATAATGGACTTGATTTTTACATCACATAAAAGAGTACAGTTCAAGGAACAAACTTAACACACAACATCTATCATTTTCATCACTCCTTGGCAGTGAAAATCTGGGTTGAAAAAAAGTTAGTTTTCAACTTGTGGTCCATTTTTCACGCTGTAGTGATTTCCGCATGACTTAGCAAACAATTTGGTCCTGGGAAGAGCCGAGTCAATGTTGTAAGGAAAGAGTTACCCCTCTGGATACGCCTCATTATTTGTTACTTAGGCTGAAGACATCATCTTGAATGTTGCCGTTCTGCACCGTTTTACATTCAATGTTGTTATACTGCACAATTAGTTGTAGCTGAAATAATACTCTAACGGCACGGAATTGACACGTAGAAATGAAAGATTAACTGTCCGGGTCTGACAAATGCATCTACCTATTCAAAGGGCTAAACAGATGTTGAGTCATGCATGGAGAAACATTTTGTAAACCCATCTAGTTACCTTCGAAGTAAAATACAATAAACTATCCTACAAAAAGGGCTTCGCCTTTGTTCTTTGTTGGCAGCTTTGGGAAGGGCGCAAAAATATTATTTGATTGTTAAAAATACAAACTAATCAACAAACACGACAAACAATACTTCCTATGCACCTACCTCAAAATGGTTATTAAGTTGTCGACTTTACAGCTTTTGTCAGCCACGGCTTCAATGTATGTGCTTGCGCGGCGGCCCACACAAAATGGTACACCCACTCAATGTTTAGAAAGGTATATAGTCCAAAACTCACCCTAAAACAACAATACACGATGCGACTGACTCATGTCAGAATAATTGGATATAATAGGAGACACTAATTGTACATGTACTTTGTTCTGTGTATATAGTAAAGTACACGTATATTATGTCGTATTTTTGACCTTTGCCTCTTTTTTTTTGCTAAAGAAGGAATTTCTTTCATATTTGGATAGAGTCACCTTCCTAAGCCCGAAATCCACTGGTAACATCAATAATGATTTACATGGGTTCGTTGGTATCAAAAACATAGGTTTGCCACCAAAAGGGACTTCCGCATAGGCTATGACAATCAGGTCCGAAGTTTTGATACAAATTATAGGTACTAAATGGCGGCCATTTTGAAATATCCAAGATGGCTGCCATCCGTTGGGAGTACCCCATCACCAATGATTTACGTGGGTTCCTTGGTATTAAAAACATAGGGTTTGCCACCAAAATGGACTTCATATGACAATCAGGTCCGAAGTTATGATACAAATTAGGTCCGAAATGGCGGCCATTTTGAAATATCCAAGATGGCTGCCATCCATTTGGAGTATCCCGTCAACAATGATTTACGTGGGTTCCTTGGTATTAAAAACATAGGGTTTGCCACCAAAATGGACTTCATATGACAATCAGGTCCGAAGTTATGATACACATTAGGTTCGCTCGCAGAACTGAAACTGATCGCTGTAGCATATTCCCACTGCACGATTGTGAAACATTCATTATTTGTTTTATTCAACACCCTAATAAGTCCTCGTCATCTGATGTGGCAGAGCCACCAATCAAGTGGCCGTGCAATGGAACTTCTGTCTACATAGCGTCATAAATAACGCACTTGATGCCAGATCGAAAGTAGTTAGTTATACAATGTATACAGAACATTATGTGATGAGGGTGTTATAAGGACTTTTTTCTTTTTTAAATTACCAACCACGGCTTCGATTTATGCGCTTATGGCAGCCCATATACAAAATGGCGCTCAGTATTTACAAGCAATAGAAAGGTCTAGGCCCTATGAATCCAGAACTCACCCGAAAAGCAACAATACACGATGCGATATCGGCCACGTCAGAATAATTGGACACTGTTGCTTGTTATGTGTATCTTTAGCTGGTCGCTGTATCATATTACTTAAGTCATAGGGTTCCAAGTAACGCACTTTATGCAAGATGCAAAAAGTAGTTATTACAGAAACACCAGCTTTCATAGTGCATCGATAAGTATACAATCTTTTGTTCTCTATTGTGACATCTCCAGAGGGCACAGTTGTATCAGATCTCTAGCACACACACACACACGCAATTTTCACCTTTTTAAAAATGCTTATGCCGGTCATCTCGTCCGTATGTTTGTTTTTTTGTATATAATTTTATTTACGCTAATTATTGCTGCCAAATTTTGAACAGAAGGCCTTAGGTTTTATTGAATGATGTTAATTTTATATTAATATTGTAAATGCAATTAGGCATTAAGGCCACCATTTGTGGATGAATAGTTTAGTTGCCTCCAAAACAGTGACACGGCATGGCATTGCCTCCTCAAACTGGTTATAGTTTACGAATTTACCCATAACCAGTTATTACAGAAACACCAGCTTTCATAATGCATCGATAATTATGCTTATGGGTACATGAGATGGCAGGGCCAGGGACAGATGTTATATCCGTATGCAGAAATTATTGTACAAATTAAAATAAATTAAATTAATGGTTCATTTGTCCTCAACGGCCTCTTCTGCACTTACCTCAAAATGGTTATAATTTGACGATTTACCAATTCGGATTGGTTTCCATCAATTTTGTTCTTGTTTTGCGTCTATTAAAAATATTTTGACATCCTTTTGGTTGATTAAATGAAAGGTACACTTCTTAAGACGTTGTTTAAAAAAAATCCATGTTTTTCCGGATAGATGAGGGCGCTGTTGCTGTGATGGCATTTCATGACTGGCACTGTTCAGTTTCGAGGTTTTCTGTTCAAACTGTGAACCCAAAACATTTGCTTATTTGAAAATATTTGTGAGCAAAGTGTTCTCATTGGCTTACTGCCATGTACTGACACAACAACGAATCGCCAAAGAAAAGACATTTTACGACGGAGAAAATATCCAACATTCTTGCAATTTTTGGTGCTGCAATAGCTTTAACATTGAGGTTTCTGCCTGAAATGACATAGCACTTTTGCTCATGAATATGGACACCAAACTACCCTCAAAATTGCAAAATGAAAATTGAAAATTAGGTTAAATGAACACAAAGATTCAGGCATTAAAAAGAAAATACATTGCATGGGCCTTTTGCCGCCTTTAAGTCATGAGAATATGCATGAGCCACTGTCGGATATAGCTTTCTTTGCACTGCTACGGAGGTCATATGGAGCCAATTCCGTTTGGAATACTCATTATTATAAATTTAGCATGGAATTAAACTTTGCTTGCATATATATCCGAATCCCAGAAGAGGCATGCGCGGCTCATTCTCCAATTTTATTCCCGAATCAAGATGATTGTCATCCGTTGTTTCATCTACAATCGCAATTAACGTCTAGCTGGAGGCGCCTTATTATTTGTTACTTTGGATGAAGGCATGATCTTCAATGTTGCCGTATTGCACCGTTTTACATTAAATTTGTTATACATGTACTGCACAATTAGTTGTAGCGGAAATAATACTCTAACTGCATGGGATTGACACGCAAAAATGAAAGAATAACTGTCCGGGTCTGTGAAATGCATCTACCTATTCAAAGGGCTAAAACAGATGTTGAGGCATGCAGGAAAAACGTTTGTCACGGTAAACCCGTCTAGTTACCTTCTAAGTAAAAGACGATAAACTAAACAAAAATGGCTTCGCCATCCGGGCCTTTTTGTTTAAATTTTTTTTTTTTTTTTTAATAAATTGTTATTGGATAAGCATGGGCATGCAGGTCCTTTCCGTTTAATTTTGGTAAGGGCGCCACCAACAATCCCCGTGAACAGTCTCAGTGTTTTGATCGGTAACCACCGCCTAATCAGGGCGTTAGGGAAGGGCTATAATCTCCTGCACGCAATTTTGTGAGGAAATAAAGCACTTGCGAGCAAAGCATTGTAGGGAGCTATATAAGTGCCTCAACCCAATACACGTGTTCAATCTGTGCGCACGTGTCATGCGCAGACGCGGAAGGTCCGTCCCGTGTTATTGTTCAAACAAATTCTATCCAAAGAGGGTTCGAAGAAATTACATCATTCATCCAGAAGAATTTAGCCCCAGTCCCCAGCGGCCAGCGCCCTAAAGGCGCGCTGTGGGTACGAGTTCGAGCGAATCTCAGTGTCTACGTGTACGAACTGTAGAGGGCGCCATATTGCCTATAACGGCTGTGCGCGTGCGCGCGTAACAATTAGCGCTCATGGCCATGTCATTAATTTTATATATTAAGCAGTCATGCAATAATTACACTTAATTTGAACGTCTGTTGTTTTAACCACCGTATACACTGCATCGTATACACATAAAGGTCGCCATAATTAATGAGCCTGATAAAATGACTGACCGCGTGCCAATATGTTACCCTAAGGCCAAAAAAAAAAGTCTCCGGTTTCTGGTATGCGCGCGCGTCGCCGTAGCCATGCGCGTCGGCAAAATGAAAAAGTTTTTTTTTCAATGAAAGATGATGTCTCAAAACCGCCAAACTCACTGGTTTGACTGGAATCATGCTGCTGCACAATTTTAACGTGTTTTTAGATTGGGTTAAGGTCGAGAATAAGCTTTATGTGGCCTCTCTGGACTCCCATATATTTGCACTAAGTTTAGTCGGGCACCATTTGCAGTCATCAGCCGACATTTGAAGCAAAAAAAATCAGGTAAAAAAAAAAAAAAAAAACGCGTCGCCGCACCACTTTTTGGGCAAGCTCCATACCAGAAACCGGAGACTTTTTTGTTTTGTTTTGGCCTTAGAAGACAAACGAAGGACGCTCACAGGGGGAACGGAATGATAGAAACGCGTTAAAGGGAATGAAACGAACTCCAGTGATGTGCACTGAATGAGACACAATAGCATGAATCTGGCAAAGGGACAGAGACAATGAGCATACAGGATGGAATAATACTTTATTTATTCAGATTAATTGGTAAAAACACCTGTCTCCCAAAAATACAACTATCCAATTAAAAGTAGTATACCAAATTTGATTAAAAACCGTCCAACAGAGTAAAAATACATTAACAACAATAATTCCCTTAATTACAATAATTCCCAGAATAATATGACAAATCTGTGCGACAATTACATTGACATAGTCGTGTATATTATAATTATTTTGAGTTGTATTATAACAGTGTGTTAATTATCTCAAATTTCTGAAAGATTAACGAAATACGAAGTCAATTGCAAGACTGAGCAGGAAAATACATACTAGAAAAACTGCATAGTTATATTTCTACAGAAATTCTATTGATAGAGGATAGTCGTTGTGTTTTCCAAGCTTTTGATAGCATTTTTGAATACAACCGTTGAATGTCAATGAATCGAAAAATAAAAGTTTTGAATTTATGGGACGGAGCAGCGTTTTGTGCATTTTCACTTTGACGTAGGCCATGATGACATTTCATGCCAGATTGACTTATTCCTTAAACTTGAGAACCCTTCGTATTTCTTAGACCTCATGGGTGGACTTTATGCGTATAGCGGCCATCTTATAGGGCATCCTTTGTTATTTTAATTCAGTAATAATGAGTGCTTAAAAGGTTTATTTCTGGTATTTCACAGCAAGACAAATGTATTGCCTTGATGACTGCTACCTATAAGGTCCATATACGCCTTTTTTGAAATATTGTGGGCAAGAGAGAGCGCCTTTTTTTCAGTGGGTGACCTCTTTTGTATATTCATCCCGCAAATGTATTATATTATATTATGTTAATTCCTTTTTTTTCAAACACCCGGACGAGAAACATTTTTTTTTTATTCGGCCTAAGGAGCCAGCCGACAGGTTGCTTGTATGAGGCTGCGTCCTAAGGCCAAAAAAAAGTCTCTGGTTTCTGGTATGCGCGCGCGTCGCCGTTGCCATGCGCGTCGGCAAAATAAAAAAAAATTTCAATGAAAGATGATGTCTCAAAACCGCCAAACTCACTGGTTTGACTGGAATCATGCTGCTGCACAATTTTAACGTGTTTTTAGATTGGGTTATGGTCGAGAATAAGCTTTATGTGGCCTCTCTGGACGCCCATATATTTGCACTAAGTTTAGTCGGGCACCATTTGCAGTCATCAGCCGACATTTGAAGCAAAACAATCAGGTAAAAAAAAAAAAAAAGCCGCGTCGCCGCACCACTTTTTGGGCAAGCTCCATACCAGAAACCGGAGGCTTTTTTTGTGTGGCCTAATCAGCCGTGTTTTTTAGAGCCGTTAGAATTAATTGGCTTACTGCGACCACGAGATGGCGCTACAATCAATATACAGTCAGCAGCTGTCCATGTACGTACGTCATACCAATAAAACCTAGATACAATATGACTTGAAGCTTTGCATGGCGGATGACATAAAATAGACAAAAATTACGGGCAACATGTGAAAAGAAATGTCTTGGAAGAAGTGTGGTTCTGAAAAGAACCGGTTGGTTGAGTGAATAACTCAACGTTTCGGACAGTGTGCTCTGTCCATATCCATCCTGCAAAAGAAGCTGAGTCACACGTCAGTACCGTGACGGCCCTACGATGTTCCGCAAGGCCCGCACGATGAGCATTCGCGTATTGACATAAAATTCCGCGCAGTATATTTTGCTAACAGTTTTGAGTGCAAAATGTCGTGTCTATAGACTTTATTATTAGCACACAGGCCTACCTACGTCAAAGTAATGCCTGCGATGCTGAAGTTTTTTGGGCATATTAATCCCAGCCAGTTTGAATAATTATGTCTTTATTTCTCGCAGACGTGACACTGATCTAATGAGGCATACAGGATATAATTATTACTTTTGTTTAATTCAACAAAATAATAATGGTAATTTTTGACCAGTTCCCAAAAAAAATTGGGTTTTTTTTTTTCACGTTCATCATGCTGCATTTTTTATGTTAATTATATCAAATTTTCTTCAAATTGTATTTACTTCTAAAAACACACACACCTAATTGCAACAATAAAATCCTAATCTTTGAAACCATTCGAAAACGCGGCATACCAAAAACCTTGAAGAACAATAAGCTGAATTCCTGCTAAGCCAGTGACGTCTGTTTAACCGAACCATTTCCGCGCGCCCTCGAAGTTCTTTCAAAACTTTTTTTCACACAATGAACTCCTTTGACCCACATTATCCTTGGAAATGTTATTGCGTCAGCCCTTGTTATGGTGCGATGACCATATTTGGGAGTCGCGTTGCCAAATACGGTATAACGCTGGGTCGGCTTGCCTTGATATTCAAATGAGAGGATTGCGTCATGTCGGATGTATGTTGCAATCTCGTAGTGGTCCGATGTCGATTCACGAAGTAAACTTCGACACACACAAAGTAGTTCCCACACATAACCCAACAATTCTTTATTTTTGAAGTCGCGATATAAAATATATCTCAGTTTTACTTCACTGCTTACACCATTTTGAGGTTTTCAGAAATGTACCAGTGCTCCTTTTCTTCCAATGAAGAAATACGTCATGGGAAAATAGGAAGCCGCGGATGGATATATACTAATTTTTCATAATGGCTATGAGCCAGACTGATTGACTGGTCGTGACTGTGTGCGTTGTGAGTGATACGTGTAGACCGTACGGCATTCGCGTAGTGTACGTGGTCGTATCTATGAAATACACGTACGTATTTCTTTTATTTTACATTTACCAAGATGGCATCGAAAAGCTTGACCAGTTCTTCTCGCCTTTGAGCGGGATCGGCGAACATCTGGGCCACCCCAGCGTTGGCTTCTTCGCGGATTTCCTTCCAGTGACTCCTGGAGATCATCTGTGAGACAAAACCGACCGATTCCTGCTCTGAAAAACCATAGAAAATCGCCAGTTTTTAGCTCGGAAAAGGACCCGATTTTGCCTGGGAACGCGCTGGGTTGTGCTTGTGGGGAACGGAGTTAGCCAGGATTGCGTCATCAGAATTGAGGAGTCATCAACAACTCGGATAAAACTCACTAAAAGGCACGTGCCTCCTGAGTTTGTGTTGTGAAATAACTGCAACAAATTGTAACTTTTTGGTTGGAGAACAACCACTGACTATTTCATGAACTCTTAAGCTTTGTAAGAAATTTTGTACTGAAATAATTTTTCTTCCGCGGATGAACCATTTTGGGAGTTGACCCATTTAAACACTGATGTGTGAGTCACGTCGCAGCTGATTCTCCAAAAAAAACCTAATTTCTCAGGAATGTCGGACTTATAGCTCTATTCTATACTTGTAAATAGTGTACAGAGTCATATTTTATCATGAAGGCATGATTTTCGTGGTTTTTTTTGGTGGGGAATCGCGGACAGTAAGCTCTAAACGACCGTTACAACCGCCTACAAATCCGTTGTTTTGATCTTGAATGGACGTTCATTCATTGGTGACCTTGGATTGTCGTGTGACTAAAACTGCATAGGCATTTCGCAATCAGCTGTCACCCGTGTCTTGCCTTTGACTTGCGCAAACAGTACAATAGCGGCTCAACCAAAGTCTTCCACGAATTACACAACATTGTACTAACGTTGCCAGTCATCTATTTTGGAACTTATATTTTTCACGATCTTCACTTTTGGGTGGATTTTGACCGGGAACGTGGTCGGTGACGCAGCGTGGTTAGCCCGATCAGTCGACCGTTCCCGAGCGACTTTTCCCCCACGGAGACGCCGATGAACGTTCAACGCTCTCTCCCAATTCCGATCCAAAATGATCGGAGTCGGAGAAAAGCACTCGTGCATTTGGACACACCACCCGATTTAACTAATTCTTACAGCAGTTTTAGCCCGAATTTATCGGCACCTACCCCACCGAATTTTGTGCCCAAGGAACCTCATGTTCTCTCCAAGATCGGCGGGTATCTTCTCACTGAAGAAACTGAGTTGAATGTGTTCCGTGCGCTGGACGCAGTAACACATGAAGAAACGAAATGCAAGGTAGGCTGAGACCAAAGTTGAAATTTTTCATTTGAAATTAAACCTACTTTTAATGTTTAACGTTTATTTCATCAATTAATATTAAAAAATATCATTGGTTAATCCTGTTCAAAGATTGCTGTTGAGTATTGATTAATGTTTTATGCATTTTTAACACTATACTAAAGTTACAAACAGAATGTTAAGTTTAACTTGGTATCTTTTGTGTGTCACTCTGTGTGTAAATATGAATGGTAGAACAAGGCCCTATATTTTTATCCGAGGGATAGCAGCTGGACAAAGCATCATGTTTCTCTGTTACCGTTAGTAACCAATGTTCACATTGTCTATTGCTCCTACTTATGTTGACCAATTTCAACCAAACCTTGTCAAAAGTATCAGTAGCCCAGCTCTGACATGTCACATGACCAAACTGGAGTCAAAGGTCGTCATGGGGTCACTGGGGTCAAAAACCTGATTTTTTTACTCAAAACATATACTCCTTCCAGAAATTACATGGCACAATCACATGACTCATGCATGAACACTACTTCGTTCACCCGCAGCTTCCAAGTTATTTCTAGCCGAGCTTGTTTTTAAATCATTTCACTTTTATTTCTAATTTCACTTTCCAGGTTGTCCAAGCAAAGAAGTACAACGAGAAGTTTGCACCTAACTTCAAGCTAGAGCCTCATGACAACATATCCCAAATTCAAGAAGTACTCGTCGGAGATGAGAAGGCCTACGCGTTCTTCCCTCGCGACTATGGCGATATGCATCAATACGTCCGCAGCAAGCGTAAGCTGAGAGAGGACGAAGCTAGCCGGCTGTTCTATCAGATGGTTCTGGCTGTGGCGCATTGTCATGAAGGTGGAATCGTCTTGCGAGATCTGAAGTTGCGCAAGTTTATCTTCAAAAATGCACCAAGGTAAAAATCTTGCTAGAAATGGCAGTTTCTCGAGAGTTTTTCACCAGATAAATGAAACATTATTCCTTTAACTGGAATTCAAGTTGCCATTGCACAGGGTTTGAGGCGTGCTCTATAGACTTTATCATGCTGCCGCCATTTCAGTCATGTTCCCTGTATCCACTAACAGTACTGAATGATAAAAAAAAATTGGCGAAAGAGGAACCAGACTATTTTTCCTTCCAGCCTCGCTTTCGTTATGTCGATTTGAATGGAATAAAATCACGATGGCCGCAACATGATAATGGTCTATTCCCATCACTTAACAGCCCTCCAAGTTCTGTACAACTGCTAAAAACTGTGACACTTAAGGTAAAGACAAGATGTAAAACTCAAGTCATTACTCTTGAATCAAGACTAGGCGTGTCTCTGAGTCAACCTCTCAATCTGAAGTTGCCTTGAAGTTGAGTAGCATAACTATAAATAGCTCTAAAGTTAAAATTATCTGTCTCGGAAATTTAATCAATTTGTGAGTTAGTTAGCTGTGAGTGACGCATTAGGAAATTATCAATTTTACATCCCCCCGTTGGCTTCATGGGGAAGTGCCTGTTACTAGTCTACTACAGGTCAATCTTTTGAGTTTTGACCTTTTTTACCAGTCATGCTGCTAATGTAGTCTTGATTCAAGCACGGACCATAGTTTGTTTCTGTTGCTTGTATTGAGGTTCACACTTCATTGCTCAACATTGAGCTATTTTAAGCCTCTTTCTTAATCAGTGCACTTTCTGTCTCTTTTTTTCTTCTCAGAACTGAGCTGATGTTGGAGGGTCTCGAAGATGCCTACATTCTTGATAACAGCGAGCGCGATCTTCTCTGTGATAAACATGGCTGCCCGGCATACGTCAGCCCCGAGATTCTAAACAGCGACCCTTGCTACTCCGGTAAATGCGCCGACGTCTGGAGTCTGGGCGTAATCCTGTATACAATTCTCGTCGGCCGGTACCCGTTTCATGACACGGAGCCCAGTTCACTCTTCACAAAGATCCGACGTGGGAAGTTCACCGTGCCGGATACCGTGTCGGCCCAAGCCAAATGTCTCTTGCGCAGCATCATGCGTGTGGAGCCAGCCGAACGTCTCACGGCAGAAGAGGTTCTTCATCACCCGTGGTTTCGTCAGAACACCTACGTCATCAACCCTTGCGGGGACTCTAGTAAAACTGTGGACCAGACTGTTCCGGATTTCTCGATGCCAGAAAATGATGACTCCATCTTCTTATAGCTCAAATTCGTTTTGTGTTTATCAAATAAAAAGTTTGAAAAGGTTGTGAATTTTATTATTTCTGATTATTTTAACCAATGCAAGTTTTCCTAGTGCCATGCTGTGTGTGGCGCATACATCATGTGAGGTGAAATGTTTTAGTGAAAGTAATTATCGCTTTCTTTATACAACAGTACGGAGTTTGCTTTGTTTTACTTCATAGCGTAATAAAGGTTGAGAGCACATTTTTAATTTACAACTACATGTGTAGATTATATATTCGTCATTTTACATATCACTGAAAGCCTTTGCTCCATTTTGAGACTGCTGTAGTTAAAATAAGTGTAGTAATTTGGTTGTTTGTTCTTGATTTTCTACTCCAGTGTTAAACGTTGCATACTCCTGATTAGTTAAAATCTTAAGAATGGTGATTTGGTCTCTCCAATAGTGAATCCTCCTTAACTGTGAGCCCGAGTGTACTGTTAACGCCTTTTCTGATAATTTTTTTGAGTGTTTTACATGTACATGTATTTTTTTAAAAGAAAAAAAAAACATGCACATGTACCTCAATTTGCTGAGATTGATTTCTGAAATTCAACAAATTTGTCACTCAAAAAAGAAACCTGAAATGTTAATGTTTCTTATCTTGGCCTTTAATTTGTTTCATCAGAGCAGTCAGTAAGATTCTACATGTATTCTAAAAAATTATACATTTTAAGAAAGGTACTTTACATGCGAAAATTAGCATTATCTCGTTGGAGATATGAATTGCTTTTCAATTGCATTTCTGTTCATGTCGCCAGACCTCAGTATTACAAATGATACGCCTCAGTTTTCAGAAAAGCAGTTTTTCATCTCGTAATAATTTTGAGGTCTGTATCACACCGGTCTCCCACATTACCAAAGTCGCTGTACTAAGAAAAGATTTCTTCTTCCTGAATTAATTTCACTTGACATAATTCACCCAAAAAAGAAAAACGGAATTTAACCATGGAAATATTTTCACGGCTTGTATCTATTATTGTACAAGTACAATGAACATTGTTCCACAAGTTTCTGAGAAACCTCGTTTATTCTAACGGTCCTTTTTTTTTTTCAAGTGAAATTAAAAGTTTAAAACTTGCTGCACCCCTTTATCTAACGAACCTACATGTTTAGATAGACCTGGTTTTCCATTCATGCAGCTTCAGTTGTACATTTGTAACAATATGTATGAATACAGAGTTTGTGTAAATTTCTAGTGTTCTCATCAATAAAATAAACAAGTGATATTTTATGCTGTGCATAAAATTTAAAACCTTCACGTAAAATGCTGTTAGATGTCCCTAAATTCTGTCCTGATTTGTCCATTTGAAATAACATGAAAATGTAGATGTACAGAATTTTGTTTTACCAGAAGGTTTTATTTCTTTCATAAGTACCTTTTCACTGCCAAATAAATGTAACAAAAATGATGACGGTTTGTGGTTTTTATGGCCTGTGCTTTTTAGTTTTTGGACTTCAGCCTTTTTTATTTTTATTTTTTTTCTTGGTAAATGCTCCAGGAAAAGATTGAACAGGGATGTTTGATATGCAAGAATTTCTTCCGCACTTGAAAAGTGTGACTTTACTGCAGAGGAGAATTATTACTAAACGTCGCTATTCTGAACACCGCTATACCGAACATTCGGCTACACCGAACATCGTCCTTGGCTCTTGATTTTTGTGCACAAAATGTACCTAATACATTTGTATTGCTGTTGAAAAAATGTTAACAGAAGAGCGAAAAGTGGCTATTATTTCCCCAAGGAATAGAAGGGGAAAGCCACCCATTGCTGTAGGTACCGGTAGTAAGCTCACAATCTGTGTTCATGTAATTACATTACTCAATAGTCGGCAAGTGTTCAAAGTCATCTTTCAGTAACTAGAAGTACCAGGGCGTGCAGGGTGAAGTTCTGAAGGGCGCTATTTATTGAAAAATGAGTACCGGAGCGCCAGCAGCTTAAAATCGCTATATCTAACAATCGCTATTGCGAACAATTTCTGTGGATACCGCGACGTTCGTTTATAGCGGCGTTCCACTGGAGCCTGAAATTTCTAATTAAATTATTGATAAGCATCCAAACATCTTTTGGCAAATTCAGATCCCTTAATGTTTTGGAAGGGGGGAGAGATAGTCCGAGTATCACCAGGGGCCAATTTCATAGAGCTGCTTAAGCACAAAATTTGCTTAAGCACAAAAAAAAATCTTGCTTAATATAATCAGGTTACCGGCCAAAACTCCACTCGATTGTTATGCTAAGTAAACAACAGCTAAATACCAGTCACAAGCAATGTACATGTACATCGCATGGAGTTTTGGCGGGTTACGTGATTTTACTAAGCAAAGTTTGTTCGTGCTTAAGCAAATTTTGTGCTTAAGCAGCTCTATGAAATTGGGCCCAGTTGTCCAACGGAGCCCTCTGTCTCCTGTCTCACGTCTGATATATCTGAGCATGCAACTTTTTGCGACCCTGCGCGCCAGCCCATTGGAGGAGACATGACGTCATTTATTTCCGAAATCTGGACTAAGCTTTTGATTGGTACATTTGAATGCCGTGTTTTTGTGACACAACGGGCATATAAGATCATAGAGCAAGGACAGACCTTGCTCTATGTAAAGATCTACTAAAACCCCACATTGGGTTTCAAAACGGGTCACCAAAGACCCGATATAGAAGGCGCCCGCTGAATGGTCAGCTTCTCGAGGTCAAGACGTAGTCTATTATATTTGCATAATTAATCGCCAAATCTGCTCGCATATCATATCCATTGACTACTCGGCCAAATACGTACCAAAAGTAATTTGGGCTTGACTTAATCCACTGAATAGAAGGAAGAAAAAAATACAATGAGCCAACTTTAAAACATGCACCTCAGACTGCAAAAATTGAAAATATAGTTACGATTTTTTTGTTTTTTACATTATAAAAAATACTTCTTGCTTTTTTTTTTTTTTTAAGCGAAACACAAGAGGGCGCAGCGCTTTAGCACATTGAGACTGGTACCCAGCACGACAGTGTGTAAACGAATGCGAAAACCGTCTGAAGTCCAAAGCCCTCGTTCGATTAAATCATGCATTCTATTCATTGGCGCGGAGAATGAGGAAGCGCGGTAAATTTGAGGTGTAAGAAGTGAATGATTTGTCTCGTTTTAAATGAAAATGATAGCATACAGAGTCACAGTTTATGAGGTTGAACACATTTTTGTTTCTCGATGAAATGTTAAGAGAAAAACCTATCCAGAATTGATGGTAAATGCCATTTTTTACGGATTGAACATTCTGATTATGTTGAATGAAAAACCAACCATGCAGCGGAATCACAGTCACTGAGGTACATGTAGGTGTGTGGAGACCCCCCACGGTCTCAACCAGGAACCGGAAATAACAAAATTCCTCAATCAGTGTTTCATGTACAATTAAATTAGGGAAAGAATGTTGCAACTTGACACCCCTTTTTTTCTTCATATCATATCATCTCAATAAAGGTCAGGTTAGTCGCAAAAATAGTGTTTTGTTAGGAAATACTTGGTAAAATTTCTTGACTCTCTATAGACTCTGTACTACCAGACTACTGTTTACTATATTCTTTCCACAATGATATGATTTATTATGGTTGAGGATGATATGAACTACAAGGTAAGCATGGAGTTTAGGATCCCGTACCATATATAATATATGTTTTGGGACTAAACATTTGGCTAGTCCAAGTAACTTGGACCCAACTTATCGCCTTTTTAATATTTTAATATATATAATGTTAAAAAGGCGATAAGTCGGGTCCAAGTTACTCGGACTAACATTTGCCTATGATACAAGCATAGCAAGCAGGAAAAGTCACTTTATTTGTTTGGAATCATCTAAATAGTTTGCTTAGATGCCAACGAATATCAGCTAGGCCTAACTTAATTTTGTGAAAAGAGGGCAAGGTTTTGATTTATGAATGGAACTTGTCAAACATATGAGGTGTCCTAAACTTCACAATTACCAACTAGGCCTTACAGGCGTTTGTTATTTTTTTTAATTTGGGGCACTAATTTTTCAGAATTCTTGTGTAATTTCACAGGCTCAGAATTTGTCGAGTTCTCTGACGATTCTGCATCATGTCTTCCGAGGATGGAACTCCTCAGCTCGATGAGTCCGAGTCGCCGGAGATTGTTACAGCTTCTTGCAGCTTGTCAAGCTCAACGTCGTCCTTGACATCACCCCCGGCTCCGAGAGAATCATTGACATCATTGCTGCTACAAATACAGCAATATCACACCACAGAAACACATAGTAAGTTGCAGTTGCAGTTAGGCCAAGTAAAACTATAGAACTGTTTCTCATCCCCGCCCACTTCCTTTGCCCCCCCCCTTGCTTCTTTTGTATTCCCAAAAAGCCAGCAAGAGAAATTTCATTTTTTTAAACTTGGCCTCAGTACATGTAGGTCAACAGATGCAAGATGCTTGTAGCTGTAAAGGCCATAGGAGAACATAGACATACATTTTTCAAATAATGAATGTTTTGCATTCGTGCAACGGTGAGAATATTTTCACGAGTCAAAAGATTGAATGTTCCATTCAACAAGGCGAACCCGAGTTGAAAGGATCATTCCATCTTTCAACCAATGAAAATATTCTCACCATTGCACGAATGCAAAACAGTCATTATTTGTTTTATAAACATCATAGATCTTTTTTTCATTTGATTGGAAGATCAAACTTTAAGAACAAACAAAACTCACAAAATTGTATCATGTCCACTACTTTTTTCAGCTTGTTCAAGGCTAACAAAGGTTTTAAAGTCACAAAAGCCACCAAAAAAAAAAAAAAAGGAAGAAAAGAAAAGAAAACAAAGAAAAGAAAAAGAGGCGCGAAGACAAAGTGGTGTAAATTTAATGAGTTGGGGGGGGGGGGGGGGGGGCAAAATGTCCCTGCCCCCCTCTAAAACTGATAAATCGAGAATGTGTTGAGAAATACAAGCATTTTTTGGCAAACAAATTTTTTGCCCCCCTCTAGAAAAAATCCTGGCGACGCCCATGATTGTAAGTTCTTAAAACAATGCAAAAAATCATCAAGGCAACTGCATCAACTTCAAAGGCAAGTTTTGTACTGCTATAACGCATGATATGGTCTAAATAGCGCAAAGATCGTATTGCGCCTGGCCGCTGCACGACTTAGCATGCGCGAGGCATGCAATAGATCAAAAGGGATGGGACGAAAATGCACTGTGAAAGGAACCATAAATGGTTATGACGAAGGCCATGCAATGGCTTGATAACTCCCTAGGCCTTTTTGCTAGGATGTAGCCTCAATCCTGCAAAATCCTCCAATTGGCCTCATGGAAAAATAGCATATAGCCTCAATCCTGCAAATTCCTCCGTTGTTTCTTGAATATGGTCCATGGAGGGGTGACCACTGCCTGAATCCTGCAAAATCCTCCGGCTATAACTGTCAATAGGCTGAGGCAGAGGCAGTGACATCCTGGAGCAGTGCGGAGGATGTCAAGTATAATCAAGGACTAAATTTATGCACGACTGAGCATAAACAGCACAAGGTCCGGCCCAAGACCTTGACACAGTGCGTACTCCGAAATCAGTAACGCACTTTGGCCATGTAACCTCAATCCTGCAAATTCCTCCAATTTGCAAAAAGGATTTTGGAGGATTCAGGGCGGTTAGGGTTAATGAATATCGCGTGACCTACAATCCTCCAATCAAATGACAAGGATTTACTTGGGTGTTATATAATAACTTGATACGTTGCTGACCTTATCAAGTTCTTAGTTTTTGTGTGATTTTTGTTCACTTCAACAATTTTCAATCTAACTTTGTGTCATCTCTCTCAGAACTCCAGGAACGAGTAAACAGGTACAAGATGAAATGCAACAAGTTAGCCAAAGTTTCCAATGAGTAAGTTATCCTACAAATCTAATGTCTGCACCATACAGTAAGTATTGCAAGAGGAACTCATTATCCCCCTGGCTTTCAAGTCAGACAGGGGGATATTGCGATTGAGTATTCCTTCTGTGTGTCCGTGTGTGTGTGTTCCAGTTCACTGTAAGTTCAGTCATCTCAATGAAACTTGAAAGGTGGTCTGTGAAGAGAAGGCCGATGTCACGAAAATACTTTCCAATATGGATATTTACGAGGTCTCTGGAGAGCTCAGCTCAGTGTTACTAATGACTCCAACACATGTAGGCCTTTCCACACTAAAAGTGTGACATGGGATTAGGAAATGAAGCAGGATAATAATATCAAGTTGCTTGTCCTATTTTCCACTTGTACACCCCCCCCCATTATTGAGGACTGTGGTTTAAAAGAATTTAAGACTTTCTAGGCAATTTGATAAGATCTTTATCCTCACAGTGCTACTATGTAACATGGACAGAAAGTTTACCATGGGGATGGCACCAGTTTTACTTGCAGTATTTTTTTTATGTAATATTTATCCCCAAGTTATCATGATTATTGCAAAAATGCACCATTTTAGCCTTAATCTCTTATATTTTTGTTGTCTTTCAGCAACGCTGCCATAGCGAAGCAGTTTTCCAAGCAGAATAAAATCCTGCAAGCTGAGGTCATGAAACTGAAACAGCAGCTGCGGCTGCTACATAACACAAGGTAAACCTTGTTGGGTTACACTGTGTATCTTTATTCCATCAGAGGCTGATTCAATCTATTGTTAAACATTTTGGTCTCCTTTTTATTTGCAACTCACTCACTTTGAATGTTCAATGAAGAAATTGATATGTTGAGATTTAGATAGAGAAGGAAATATTCGGCATTTTAATCATTCAACATTCAAATCATTTGACATTAAAGGTAATATACAACATTTGCAAACGTCAAAAAGTAAAACTACCAAATTATTATGAAATACCTAACTGGACTGTTAGTGAATGACAGTCTAAAGCATCCTGTAAAATCATGGCATCTAGTGTGCTGATATTTTCAAGGAAAGTGGTATTTTTGTATCAATTTCCAATAATGGTCAGCCAACCATCATTGGAAACAAAACTGGCTTTTTTTCAAATGCTGCCCCCAATTTGCCAAATGTAGTTAGTCCGCATTTTGTTTTCAATCGGTTACACATCTGTTAACGGGCAGAAGCCAGCTAGACTGGTTCCCTGACCTTACAGTTCCCTGACGTGACAACGTCTTTAAAGTGCTCCATTTCATCTGAAGTGGGGTCAGGGAACCAGACTACGAGAACGTGATATTTTTTTTGGTTTTTCCAGCATCTACGAACACAAAACTTTAAACAGGTTAGTGTAACAGTATTTGCAACAAAATACTAACCCTCAAATCCATCCATTTCTGAAAATTACAGCAAAAGCAAATGTTGTTTATTCCGTTTAAAACCTAATAGCACTGACAGTTGTAAAAAGTGTAGTGAAGAGAATTGGCTTTGTTTTGTGTGAGAAGTCGGAATGCACAATGGGAGTAGGATCTCAAAATGTGGCATAGAACAGATTGTCATACTCAAACTCAAGACATGTATAATACGGGTGTGTCCCAGAAAAAGCGGGTCCGGAAAAATCAGCGGCCGTATCTAAACAAACTATTCACATCAGACAAAATTTTGTTTTTATTTTTCCCTGCTGTTGATGTTGTTTATTGTCTGTGAAAATAATAACTTCAGTTGATTCAACACTTTTAAAGCTATGACTAGAAACGTAAGGGCTCTTCAAAATCGAAATTTACACATTTTCACGTCAACAATCGACATTACATTTCATTGTACGGATCCTGTGCTTTTTGGGGAACTTTCGTCATGCAGAATTCCGCGGCTTTTTAATGATGTGTTTGTTGAACTATTAGATTCAAGGGGCAATATTTAATTTTATCAGAATGAACATTACAAAGAAATGTGTTATGAAATAAAAACACAAACAAAATTTAGTCTCACATGATTAATTGTTTAGACATGGCCGCTGATTTGTCCGGCCCCGCCTTTTCTGGGACACACTGTATGACAACATTACGCATAAACAGACATGTTAACTGTGGTTCTGGACATTGTTTTCTTGTACTTCCAGACAGAATGGTTTAGTCAATACTTCTCAGATCCAAGCAAGCAATGCTGAACAAGGTAAAATCATTTTAAGAATACTGCATACTGTCTGTAAAAAAATAGTTACTTGCCTTTTAAAGAAACTCCCAAAACAACCTGTCGTAATAATGCATGACACTTGAAAGACAGATTAACTTGAAAAATATTATGTTAGGAAGACCAGCCACTTCAACATATCACCAATTTGATAATGTTTCATTTTTATTCACAGCTTCACCAAATCAGGAAGCTCATCAGGCGCCTAACAGTCCCAACAAGGATCTCCCAAAGAAGCTTTTCAGAGCTCCCAGCAAACTAACCTCCAAGAAATCCAACAAGAAAGTCCGCTACGAAGAGATATCCTCAGTCGGAAGCTTCCAAAAACCTCCCGCAGAAACACTCCAAGTAAGAAACTCTCAGGAAGAACCAAGTCCCACCGCTGTCCCTAACACAGAAAGGCCAACAGTACACGAGAAGACACTTGCTAATTTTCAAGCTCCACACAACAGAACACAAGTCGCTGGTAGTCCAGGAGGTGTCATCTTAGCACCAGATACTTGTGTTTCACCATCAGTCCAGGCTACCTTGAACACAAGGAATCCCGATTCAGGGGCCACCTTTGGTGGGCATGGCACATCTAAGCAAATGCTCGATGGCCCTGGAAAGAGGATTATGGATAAGCGGGTGCACACCATTCCTGAGACTTTGGGAGTTGAAGCTGACGCTGGGACATCCTTTGAGATGGGTGATGAAAGTCTTATTGATGCGCCAACCTATGCAAGCACTCCTGTGGCAAGCCATTCTCAGACGTCTCTGTTATCAGAATCAGTGTCAGTACTGTCCCAGAAATCATCACAGATGCCAGACTCGACACGGCTGAACATTTTATCTTCAGAGGCATCCAGCAAACAGGCATCACACAGCAACCCACTCACCATCTCCATTCCGAGATCAGAGTCGCAGTTTCCAGTCGACTTAAGCAACACGCAGGCCAAGTCACCCACATTTTGCGGCGAGGGCCTGGCCACCCCTGGAAGCTCAAGTGGTAAGTCCCGGCAGCATGGCAGCACTACTGTTGATAGGAATGTACCAACACCGCATAGGGGTGATCGATCAGAAGTGACCGATGAAAGCTACGAATCAGAAGCTTCTATTTTACTCCTTGATCCTCATTTTCCAAAGCGAGTAGCTGATCCTCGTCCCTCGCCAAAGTCTCTGCCTAGTCTCACATTAACCTCCAAGACAGCATCTTCAGGAGAAGCAAAGCACAAACAAGACGAAGGGAAAACATTATTTCATGCTAAGACACAGAGAGATAGTTCTAGTACCAGAGTACTAGCCAGCAAGGTGGAGCGCGGACAAGGGACTGACATGCCACTGAAGTCTCACAACAACTTGTCAAGGGTGTCAACTTCCAAGAAAAGAAAGCTAGATCCTGATGAATCCACTATGAACGATGACACAGTGCTTCCCGAGGATAGGTTTCTTGAAAAGGAGAACAGCCCAGAAGGTCTTGAAGACGATAATCAAACATCAATTCAGACAAGCACTAGACAGTCTAAACAAGGAAAACGCCTATCTCCTGAAGAAACAGGTGCTAGGGTCCAAGCTAAGGGCAACAAAAACCTGAAGCAGAGCAAGCTCATTCTGAGCAAGATCAAACCTGGTATGAACAAGTCGGCCAGTCTCATGCGAGCGTACAACGGGGGTAGTTTAGTGAATGTGGACTCCCAATCGGATGCCTTCATGAATCGGGCAATAGAGTTGTCACTCGCGGATCGACAAAAGGCAGAAGCTGGGGGTAAAAACGACTTTAGGTCTGAGAATATCGAAGATGGATTCAAGGTTCCAACTTTGCCTCACAAGAAACAGCAGCATTCTGTAACTCCCGATGCTAGTGTGGCTAAGAAGGCATCTCAACAGAAGCGAAGAGCTTCTGATCAGGATGATTCAGACCTCCAAGAGAGCTTAGATTTCATGCACTCTCCTCATGACTTGAATGATTCGGTCGATCCACTGATGGACTTGACGCGACTAGAAACGGAGTCATCCCAGTCTTCCAGCCAACCCAACCAATCCGTCACGGGAGGGATTCATGTTAAGAAGCTGTTGGAGAGGAGGCACGAAGCTGGTCTTGAGGTAGATGATGAAGAGTTGATGCTCTCTGAGATGGCAGATGACAGCTGTCAGGATCTGTTTGAGGAGGAGGAGGACAGTGAGCCAGAAGGCAACTTGGAAAAATCTGGGGTCGGAGGTGAAACTTCCTTTGTCAGGAACTTTGACGTGTAAGTTTGATACATTATGCAAAAAGATTAAAATATTAATAGATACTAATATATTCAAAGAAATACTTCAAATTGGGAATACTTGAAGTTGATCTTTACAAAAAGGTATTCAAAACTTCGAGGGGCAAAACTGGTCATTCACGCATGCAGATAGGTGTCCTTGCACACACACAAGAAGAGGTGACGCGAAAAACATGACCCTTTCTTTATTCTGAGATCCAGCAACCAATTTTTCCATTTAAAATAATTTTTTCGTGATACTAGGACACTTCCAATTTTTTTTGGGCGGAGTGTGGCCTAGTGGTTAGGATTCGTGACTCCTGATCAGAGGGTAAGGGGGCTCAAATCCAGCTGCTGGTCATATGTTGTGTCCTTGGGCAAGCCACTTCATCCCCATTTGCCTGTCTCTACCCAGGAGTATAAATGGGTACTGGCATTAGCTGAGTAGCATGCGATGGACTGGCATCCCATCCAGGGGAATAGAAATACATTTATTCTCAGTCATTTCATGCTACTGAAACCGGAGATAAACGCCGGCCTGATGGGCCACATTGGCTCGTGACAGACTTAACTTTACTCGGACACTTCCACCAGCTTTTTATTAAGGCGCTGTCGACAATACCCACATTACAGGCATGAAACTTTTCCTCAGATCTGCTGATTTCCTTGTTTTTTTACTTCTCATGAATGCCGTTACAAATTAAAAAAACACTGTACAAAGTCTTGTGTGGTTTAGAATTTCCTCGAATTCCCAGTTGCATGCCTGACATTAGAACATCTCCAGAGCAGAAAGTCATAACGCTTGTTTCAGCTGTGACAGGTGTCCCAATAACCGACAGATCTGGACTCACGTCTGTTTATTTCCAAACCTTTCTGCCTTTTTGTAGTGTGCCCAAGGTGGTTGACAAACCAAACTACAAGTACTCGGAGGTTGTCCGTAAACATGATGATCGACAGAAACTGAAGGGCTTCGGCTGCAAGGAATGTGAGGCAGTAAGTGGAAAATGTAGTTCTAATAATATCTATTATTACAAAGGCTGGGGATTTTGCCAGACTGAGAACAAGACAAGACACAAGGTCAGGGTCGACACAGTCTTTCACCACAATGTAAGTTGGTCACACAAGGGACTAGTTGGGATCAGGTTTGATTTTAGACCTGTCTGACCAATGACAGCTGAAAGCAATCAGGGGGAACCACATCTTGCCATATTTTCAATAGGGAGCGCTGATAAAATCCTACAATCAGGCACACTATGTTAACTAAAAGTGCACCCTTCTCACGACTATTTATTTAGGGTGAAAACGTGTGCATGTATGTCACATTCTTACATTTTGCTAGTGCAATTTTTTTTTGATGGATTTTTTGGGGGGAGGGGGCTAGACAAAATTGGGGGGCCCCCTCCCTAGAACCGCCACTGGATGACATGTTATACATGTATATATGACATGTTATACATGTATATGGCATGTTATACATGTATATATGACATGTTATACATGTATATATGACATGTTATACATGTATATGGCATGTTATACATGTATATATGACATGTTATACATGTATATGACATGTTATACATGTATGTATGACATATTATTCATGTACTTGTAGGTTATTTCCAGTTCATTAAATTAGAGAAAAGCTGTGAAAATGGAAACATTTACGCTGCGAGGTTTAAGCTAGTACCTCAAAATTTATTTTCAATATATTAAAGGTGACTCGTGATTGGGACTCAGACTCGACCTTTGTGACCCGGACTCGGGACTCAGACTCGGGAGAGGTGACTCGGACTCAGACTCGATGTTTGGTGACTCAAATACAAGTCTGATAATTAAACTTGTCTTGTTTTCGACCTTTGTGACTCGGACTCGGGACTCAGGACTACTCAGACTCAGACTCGATGTTTGGTGACTCAAATACAAGTCTGATAACTAAACTTGTCTTGTTTTTACTTCATGACAGTTCTACGGAGACCTGTCTCTGACAGAATCCCAGCGAGACAAGCGAATGAAGATGTGCTCCAGACACCGGGCTCAGTTCAGTCCGCCAAATACTCCGGCTCACTATTGGTCGGTTGGATTCCCAGACACACAGACATGTCTGCAGAGAGGTAACTAAGGCTGCAGTCATTGACATCAGGGATTCGAAAAGGAAAAACCAATTTTGCCAATTTAAGGAAACCGTTGAGTCAGCTTCTACTTGAGATCTGTTTTCGATTGAGCCTTTTCTCTCATACTCTTTCGTTCAATTTTTTGGGGGGTCGGGGGAAGGGGTAGTCTATGTTATAGATTTTTAGACCGATTCGCTGATTAAAGATATAGTCCATCATTTGTAATTTGTGCATTTTGTTCGTTTGAAGCAACAAAAGTGTTCAAAATCTAATGAAGGATACTGAACAACTAACCTGATGAAGTTTCAGCTAAGCTTCAACTGTATATTCCGAGAAAAACAGCATTCTAGGATCTCAATTTCAAATCAAAAGTTACTGAATCATGTTTTGAATTGTTTTGAATGGCAGCTATACGCGACGTCGCGCACTGATCCGACGAATTATAGCAACCGCTCGCGCGTGTGCGTCGTGCCAATGCTTGCGCGCGCTTCGCCGAATAACAAAATGAACTACTAATTTAAATTTTCCTACGGTGCGTCTTAAGACGCACCATTGGAAAGGCCTTCTTTCAATTCAAGATTACTTCGAAATGACAGCTTCCCAGAAAGAATAATTTCACAGGGAGTTTAGTTCCCTTACTATCTTTCAACCAAGTTTGTTTTTCAACAATAATTACGCCAGTCACTTTTCGGATGGCTGCAAATGATGGACTATAACTTTAATTATGCAAGACAATCGCCTCTTGACCTCTAGATTTTGACCAATCAGCGGGCACTTTCTATTTTGGGTGTTTGATCATTCACCTTTGTCGCGTCTAAACTTTGTCGCGACATGGATAAAAAACCCGCTAGACACAGCAACAAAGGCTGTGGTCACGCGCTGTGTATTATGTTACGCGACACGCGCGTGGCTGTTGTTGTATTACAAAACACTGGATTCAAATTGACCAATCACAGTTTTAGTCCTGATTTGGGAATGAAATGACGTCACGATTTACTTAAGTCGAATCCGATTGGCTGAGGCCCGAGATCGCTAAAATCTGCATGCTTTGACATAGATGTTATACAGGAGACTTGCAATTGGTCTGTGGATAATGGGTGATACTCAGACTAGGAAAGGGGGGGGGGTGGGTTGGGAATTCGAAGATGAAATGCAGAGGCAAAATTTGTGGTTTTTTTTGTAAAATGGAGTATTTGTAATTTATGCTTTTTGTTTGTTAATTTATTTTAAAAGAATTTCTTATTCATGATATAGTCCATTGGAATTCTGTCAATCCAAAAATATTAGGTGATTAATATTTTCAACGCGACCTTTGAAGTTGTATTCTTTGTTTTCTTTCTCGTCTAGGTTACATTAAAGAAAGCAGGAGCCCGGACAGACGTTCAAGGTTGAGGGGAAAAAACAAGTACAAGAAGCTGTTCTCTGGGAAGGAGGTTGATGGCACAAGGCAAGAGGTTGAAGACGACAATTGAAAGAGGTTGTTGATTGCCGGAAGTTTCACTACATCATCATGAGTTAGTTTATTTAGCCTAGGTATATCAAAAAATAATAAGGTGCACTTATTTCTCATATAAAAACAATCAACGTTTCTTGTGAGAGCTTTTGTTGCTTCTTTTTGGCATACCATCTATGCACAACTTTTCTATTTGTCTAAACGCGTCATTTGTCCAAAGTAATCATTTTTCGCAGGCACTACATGAAAAAAATCCAGAATTTTTTTTATATTTTTTTACAGTCATTTTACCACCAAAGAAAGAGGAAAAATGTGTCGTGTTATTTATAGCTGTACTCTTTACTGTAAACAATTTTCCTAAAAAACATATAATTGGCAATCAACAACCTTTTTATAAAGGTGGGTGTTCTTACTCCTGTATGCTTGTGGTTTAAAAGGAAAACACAACTTGAAAACAAGACTAACTTTCATCTTGTATAGAGCATTGGATATTATTAGTTATCCCGCGAGCGCGATTGTACGAAAGCCCATTAGCGCCACTGCAAGTATATATGTTGCGGATTATTAATTCGTTATTGCGGATTATTAATTCGTTATTACGGATTACTAATTCGTTATTACGGATTACTAATTCGTTATTACGGATTATTAATTCGTTATTACGGATTATTAATTCGTTATTACGGATTATTTAATTCGTTATTACGGATTATTTAATTCGTTATTACGGATTATTTAATTCGTTATTACGGATTATTAATTCGTTATTACGGATTATTTAATTCGTTATTACGGATTATTAATTCGTTATTACGGATTACTAATTCGTTATTACGGATTATTAATTCGTTATTACGGATTATTTAATTCGTTATAACGGATTATTTAATTCGTTATTACGGATTATTAATTCGTTATTACGGATTACTAATTCGTTATTACGGATTATTAATTCGTTATTACGGATTATTTAATTCGTTATTACGGATTATTTAATTCGTTATTACGGATTATTTAATTCGTTATTACGGATTATTAATTCGTTATAACGGATTACTAATTCGTTATAACGGATTACTAATTCGTTATTACGGATTATTTAATTCGTTATTACGGATTATTTAATTCGTTATTACGGATTATTAATTCGTTATTACGAATTACTCATACGTTCTGAGTCATACTCGGCAAGTATGGCACAGGAGTGCAAACGTTGTATGCAAAGATAGCGCCGCCTAGCGGCGCTATATACACAGGCCCCTGGTCACGTGCTCTCCACGTGTGAGAATATCAGACCTAATTCGTAATAACGAATTAATAATCCGTAATAACGAATTAAATAATCCGTAATAACGAATTAAATAATCCGTAATAACGAATTAATAATCCGTAATAACGAATTAATAATCCGTAATAACGAATTAATAATCCGTAATAACGAATTAAATAATCCGTTATAACGAATTAGTAATCCGTAATAACGAATTAAATAATCCGTAATAACGAATTAATAATCCGTAATAACGAATTAATAATCCGTAATAACGAATTAATAATCCGTAATAACGAATTAATAATCCGTTATAACGAATTAAATAATCCGTTATAACGAATTAGTAATCCGTAATAACGAATTAATAATATACAAATAACGAATGTTTGTGAGTGCGATGGTAAGAATAATTTCATGAGGTGACAGATTGAATGTTCTATTCCACGAGGCGAAGCCGAGTGGAATAGAACATTCAATCTGTCACCGAATGAAATTATTCTTTCCATCGCACGAACGTAAAACATTCGTTATTTGTTTTATACAACACCTGAATACATTCTCGTCATTTGATTGGTAAATTATAAACTACAATTTATTTTGATTTTAAAGATGTTGAACTACCCCTTCACGAAAATGTTTGAACCCAACGCTGTAGCGCTGGCTCTTTGGAACAATACGCGCTACGCTGAACGCGCACACCAGCATGCATTTTGCACGCAAATACCGCATCTTGGAACAAGCGCAAAGTGAAACGGTATAACGCATGGGTATAACGCATGGTTGCACCGTGCATTATACCGAATAATACTATGTCACGTGATCTACAATTCACCAATCAGATGACGGGGATTTATTCAGGTGTTGTATAATCCGTAATAACGAATTACACAATCTGTAACATATATACTTGCAGTGGCGCTAATGGGCTTTCGTACGATTGGAACACGGAATAATGTAGTACGTCTGTGCCCCACATACCACGAGGCCGAGCGCGATAACAAATTTATCTTCAAGCAAACTTGACCCACTAAAAAGTTTAAACACGCACGCTGTACTCTAACTTTTAAGCGGTTATCCTGTTACACGTGTTTGGTTGTATGGCGCGCGCATCTTGGAATAGCGCAACACGCGGAGCGCGGTAAAGACCGTGGCCGTGCTACATGGTTATATGTAGCATGGCTTGTTGCCATAGATCAACCAATCAGGATCGAGGATTCAAGTTTACTTAAAGATAATGAAAGAAAATCAGTTTTCATAGGGATTCTATTAATTTGTAAGAGGCTGAACTGGTACCATTTTTGTTACAAATTCATATATCTGTTGTAAATAAGTAAGCGGCATTCTGTATGAGTTGTCATCAAATTTCATTTTATTACAAAACAAATGCATGGGATAGTCTGAACAGGAACTGATGAAATCCTCTAAAAAAGAAAGCATAATGTCCCAAGAATTTCCTGAAGCGTAGTAATGCGTTAGCAATATTTTGACAGAATTATGCGCATTAAACATGCACATTATTTATATATTGGTGAAAGGTACATATATGTATATATTCAGCTCATGAGCCATTGCTTTATGTAAATTATGTGCATGTGGATTATTAGAGATTTTTGGATTAAATTATACGATATATTAAAAAAAGAAGTGGAATAAATATTAAAGGGACCATGCGATAGATTTTAGAGATCAAACATTGGGATTTAAACCTTGTAAGAATGAGGTATCCGTTTAATAGTAACTTCGTGTGAAAAACTGAAGTTAGTCGCATTTTACCGTTTGTCTTTTGTGAGCCTTTTTACTGCGGTACCCGATTTCCGTTTTTGTCCACGAGGCGTCTAAAAATTGCATAAGAGCACAACATGTGTCCCGGCCGCCGGCGCCGTTCTTTCCATGAGGTCTAGAGCTGTGAAATGCCTTGCGGGTTTGCCAATTGTGTGAACAATGAAGCACGTACAGTAACTATAGTATAGCCCAGATAAGTTTGCATAAACATCATAAGTGAGACCGAAAAAAATTATAGCTTGAGCTAAGGTTCAGTCAGTTTTTAATCTGTGTTGTCTATAGGCCTACATGTAAAAATGCCTTTTATAATTGTACCGTTTCCGCTCTTATGCAAGATTCTGATGCCTCGTGGACAAAAACGTAAATTGGGTACCGAAGTAAAAAAGGTTCACATATGTCGTTCTTACAAGGTTTACAAATTTCAAAACTTAAACTTTTTTGTTTGTTTGGACTCGCCCTGTAGCATACAAATTGTGTATCACCCGTTTTTGGTTCAAATTATTTAAAAGCCAAGCTTCCTGAATTTATATTTAAAAAAATAACTGCTACAAGTAACGCTATTTCTGTCAACCGAGGGCGCTGTTGCTTTAAGTCACTTGTAGGCAAGCACCACACTTTCAGCATTTTCGTCAAAATTATAAACTCAAAAGTGTAACTTACCGAAATATCTGTGCATATTGTTAGCCCATACAGACTTTCTGTTCATCAGAGAAATACCCCCAAAGCAACTTATCACAGCAGAAAACCAAAAAAATTAAAGCAATATTCGATGTGGATTGTGCATAGAAACGTCCTGTCGGCCTATTAAATACAAGTTATGCCTGAGATTTAATCCGTGTTTTGCTCATGAGCAATTAAACCGAAAAGGTCTGAAACACTTTGAGAAATGAAAATGCAATTCACAACTAAAGAAAGTGCATGGATTATATTCAAAACAACATTTCTATCGCACGGTCCCTTCCAATTTATTGAAAGTTGCTTTCTACTATTTGTGTTTAATACAACCAAACATTCTTTTTAGTTGCTATCTCTCTAGCAATACAAGGGTTAAGTAATTTTCGAACAGGAAAATCCTTTCACGTTTAGTTATTACAAAAAGATAACTTTCCAAATTATCTGCGGCCCGAAAATAATTAGGGCAGCCCGATCTTTTGGGGCATCAGTGGCGCCAAAAATACAAAAAGGAAAAGCTCTAATTTTCCGACTTCCAAGATACAAAAAAGTAGTACATCTTCCTTGAAATAGAACATACATTCCGTTTGAAAACAAAATCAGTGTTTTTAAAGTGAATGGGAAGACCAATTTTAATTTCTTTGGGAACGACAACATAAAGTAATATGTTTAATGTCATGCAAAATGTTTCCGTTTTCCGTCAGGTGAATTATAATAGAACGCCGTGGTTGTGGCATTAAGCCCAAATTTTGGCCATTTAAAACTTTTTCCCTTTGATTCAACACTTACGGAGTGCATGGCAAATATTGCAAAGACGACTCGCAGCAAACTTTAAGCGCATCTTGGCCAAAACTTTAATTTTTGTGAGCAAAAGTTATTACTGAAAACTTTCTATTTTGTGTGTGAACATTTGGTGGATTCCGGAAGCTAATTACTTTCAATTTCTCGTTTTATAACATTTCCGTCAATTTTATGTGAATAAATTTGTACACACGTGTAATGTATTTGAGAAAATAACTCTGATCTACTGATGTGCTTTTTTTTTGCGTCTGAGACAATTCTATTTTTGTTTAACCAACAAAAAGTATTTATTAATGTAGTTGCCATGCCGTTGCGCGCTGACTTAGCCGTCAAATAACTTTGCTAAGAAGAGCGCATGCGCGCAGACTTAGTTAAAAAGTCGGAACCTGTCTGATATAGACTGGTTCTGACTTTATTTTTTTTTTTGATTGCGTAATTCATCGAAACCTTTATATTTTAAATCCAAACATTATTAGCAGGAAGAGCGCAATGGCCTAGTGGAAGGCACTCTAGCGCTCAACCGAATGGTTGTGGGTTCGATTCCCACCGATGTATCAAATGGTCCTTTTACTTCTTTTTACTTTATATATATTTTAATTCAAAAGAGTAAAATTCTGTTTATTTTATTTTATTTTATATAGTTGGGGTAGACACGCGATACAAAACTCGGACCCGCCGCAGGTTTCCCTGCAGCCAGTCCGAGTTGCTGCGGCCAGGACTCGAACCAGGGGCGCCGGCTTACCCGTCGGCACCTCTACCGGGTTCGCTAACTGGGTCCCCCAGTGCAAAACACACTTCCTATAATTAAAACCCTTAGAATCAATTAATTGTAATATAAATTATATACCGCCCTCTCCATTGGAAACTGAGAATCGTCGGGGAAATTCCGTGCCTTACCGTACCTCCAAATTAAGCCACCCGCACTTCTGGGCCCTCGAGTTGTAAATGTATTGGTTGCCGCATACTTTGTACTTAAACTTATCAAACTTTAATTTGGAACTTGGGCTCGAGTCTATGGTAGGTCCACCACGACGCCGCTATGGATTTGATGTTTAAAAACATGAATTACAAACAAACATGGGCAGTCAAAAAGGGAGCGTGCGTTCGTGACAGTTTAAAATTCAAGCATATATCTTTTCACTTCTTTGCGTGGTAATGTGGGTACAGGGAAGGCAAGTATGTACACGTGGAAAATACAGGAATCACAACAATTAACATCTTCTTTTGCCTCAGTACTCTAGGTATTTATTCGAAACGGTACATGTGTATTGAAACTTGATAAACACAATATATACAAAGATGAAGAAAAACTATTAGGTTTTTTTTACAGAGCAGACTGTATAACAGCATACTTTACTTATTCAATCTAAGAAAAGAAATAAAAGATGAGAAATAAAAGTGAGCATTTTCCGTTTGAAAATAAAAGGTAAAACAATTCTATAAATTCGCATCAGTTGTCAACAGAGTCTACTAGATACAATTTACATAATGAACATTAACAGGGATTTCAGGAATAACTCGTGGTTTACCGGGGGCAAAATAAACAAAACCAGTACAGATCGACAAATGCAAATTGATAGAAAGTTTATAATTTATGAGAGTGAAAGTACAAAGTTTTGTGGACGAAATGAGCAGTTAAGGCCAAAAAAAAAATCTCCGGTTTCTGGTATGGAGCTTGCCCAAAAAGTGGTGCGGCGACGCGGCTTTTTATTTTTACCTGAATGTTTTGCTTCAAATGTCGGCTGATGACTGCAAATGGTGCCCGACTTAGTGCAAATATATATAAACTTAGTGCAAATATATGAGAGTCCAGAGAGGCCACATAAAGCTTATTCTCGACCATACCCCAATCTAAAAACACGTTAAAATTGTGCAGCAGCAGGATTCCAGTCAAACCAGTGAGTTTGGCGGTTTTGAGACATCATCTTTCATTGAAAAAAAAACTTTTTCATTTTGCCGACGCGCATGGCTACGACGACGCGCGCGCATACCAGAAACCAGAGATTTTGTTTTTGGCCTTATGGCCTATGGACAGTTGTTTCTTAAGTCAGCATTTTTTTCAAAACATTTTTCAAATTGTAAAATACACCTGTTTGCTCCAATTTAAAATGAAATCCAACACAACTACATGTGATACATGTATAAGGCAAACGTTCGTTTTTAACTTGAGATTTTTAAGACCAGGTCTTTCAATTGTATGCCATTTTCAGATATATTTGAAGAAAAAAAATTCCCCAAACCATTTAAATTCAAAACAGCAAAATACAAAGAGTAGTAACGTCCTTCACCGTCAAATAAACAAAAGGAATTTTCATACATGCTGAAATTAGCATTGAGGCATAAATTGGGAAACAAAAATTTGCTTCTGGATCAGCTGTCAAATAGGTAATGATATAATAACTAATTGGCATCAAAACTTCAACACTTAAAAGACAATTTAAAACAACAGTCACCGGAAAATTATCTCTAGGCGTAGTGTTTACTCACAAACTTTCAAATGTCAACGAAATGCTGATAAACTGAACATTTAAACCCAGAGTCCATCATTTGCAGCTTTCCAAAAAGTAACTGGCTTAAGTATTGTTGAAAACCATACTTGTTTGAAAGAAAGTAAGGGGACTAAACTCCCTGTGAAATTATTCTTTCTGGCAAGCTGTCATTTTAAAGAAATCAAAGAAAGAAGGCCTTTCCAACGGTGCGTCTTAAGACGCACCGTTAGAAATTTCCGTTAGTACATGTAGTTCGTTTTTTTTATTCGGCGAAGTGCGCGCAAGCGTTGACATGACGCACACGCGTACACGGTTGCTATCATTCGTCGGATCGGTGCGCGACATCACGTAGCTGTAATCGGCTCAGTGAGAACGTGTCTCGGACGCTGAATTCAGGCCCAATTCAAAACATGATTCAGCAACTTTTGATTTGAAATCGAGATCCTACAATGTTGTTTTTCTCGATATATACAGCTGAAGCAGAGCTGAAACTTCATCAGGTTGGTTGTTCAGAACCCTTCTTCAGATTTTGAGCACTGTTGTTGCTTCAAACTAACAAAATGCACAAATTACAAATGATGGACTATACCTTTAAATTGATTAGTCTACTGTGAACATATCACGAGTACTTGACCAACTTGTCTGAACGGCAATCAGCAAGTATAAATGTAGTTGATTCACCTTCAGGTAAGTGACGGTAAGGGCATCCACTGGAAGATCAGCTGATCATATCAACAGATCCCATGTCAGTCAGCAGATCCTCCAATAAGTCATGGTCGATCCACGCTCAGATCAGTCCATCCACTGGCAGATCAGTTGATCTAATCAAAAAAAGCCTGTTATCCACCAATCTGTAAAGTAGTTGCTCGAAATTCAGATCAGTTCACCCACTAGCAGATCAGTTGATCCAATCAAAGGAGCCCGTTATCCACCAATCTGTAGAGTAGTTGCTCCAAATTCAGATCAGTTCATCCACTGGCAGATCAGTTGATCCAATCAAAGAAGCCTGTTATCCACCAATCTGTATAGAAGTTGCTCCAAATTCAGATCAGTTTGTCCACTAGCAGATCAGCTGATCTAATCAAAAAAAGCCTGTTATCCACCAATCTGTAAAGTAGTTGCTCCAAATTCAGATCAGTTCGTCCACTAGCAGATCAGCTGATCCAATCAAAAAAGCCTGTTATCCACCAATCTGTAAATTGCTCGAAATTCAGATCAGTCCATCCACTGGCAGATCAGTTGATCTAATAAAAAAAGCCTGTTATCCACCAATCTGTAGAGTTGTTGCTCCAAATTCAGATCAGTTCATCTACTGGCAGATCAGTTGATCTAATCAAAAAAGGCTGTTATCCACCAATCTGTAAATTGCTCGAAATTCAGATCAGTTCACCTACTAGCAGATCAGTTGATCTAATCGAAAAAGCCTGTTATCCACCAATCTGTAAAGTAGTTGCTCCAAATTCAGATCAGTTCATCCACTAGCAGATCAGTTGATCCAATCAAAGAAGCCTGTTATCCACCAATCTGTAAAGTAGTTGCTCCAAATTCAGACCAGTTCATCCACTAGCCGATCAGTTGATCCAATCAGATCAGTTCATCCACTGGCAGATCAGTTGATCCAATCAAAGAAACCAATGTCTGTCAGGTCTTTACGCAGAGCCTCAAAGTCTTCAGGACACATCTGAGAGAGTGGAGGCCTCGGTGGTCCAACATCAAACCTCGCCAGGGACATGACGTACTTCAGGGTGCCTAACCCAGAAATCTTGTCTGCGCATTCAACCAGAAAATGAGATAATACTTTGATAGCATGCGGACAATTGCCTCAAGCCAAAAAATAAATAGGGTAGGTAGGTAGGGATTGTTTTGTTTTGTTTTTTTTTGGGTCAATTTGTTTGGTTTACGATCATAGGCGTCTGCGTGTTGTCAAGTGTAAAAGGTATAAAGTGATCGTTTGGGTTTTTGTTTTTAATTTTTGCAATAACAAAATTAGGGTAGGGGCTGTCAGAATAGGGTGGGTAGGGAAACCAGAAGCAGAAGTATTATTTTTTTTTGGCCTTACCTTGTGGATATTTGCACTCTTTGAATGCTAACGAACAAAATCCAAGAAAAATATATCTGCAGGGTTCGAGCTTAACTTTTTTTTCAGTAGCCAGCCGGCTACTGAAACAAACCCACTAGCCAGCGGGCATTTTCACTAGCCCGCATGTTTTTCTTTTTAAACAACAATACGCATACATGTACATGTAAAACGTGTATCCTGCGGCACTCTTGTCGGTGTTTTTTATATAAAACAGATCTAATAATTTAACCCTAAACAGTTAATAAAATTTGACACACATTGATACAGGTTTGCTTTCTGAATTTAATGATTTATTTCTCCCTGTCCTTTCATCTTTACCGTAGCCCAATAATTTTGAACTCGCCAGCCTGGCTATACTTCAGGAATAATTTGGCTATCGGGCTACCGCTTATTTCGAACCCTGATATCTGGTCTGCAAGTGTGGATAACCGGATTGCACACATGAACAATTTTAGAAAATGTGCAAAACAAACCGTGATATTTCATGTCATTTCTTTGGATTATTGAATACAGGAGGAATATTGAATACACCTAAGTACCGGTTGACAACAAAAACACACTAGATAAACACATGTTGAGGACTCACCATATCTGTTCATGACGTCAAGGAATGCGTGCATCCGGAACTGAAAGAGAAAGAACAACATTTATATTTTATCTTAATAACAGCTCTCTTTTAATTAGATTACATGTGATGACTTCTGTAGTATGTGCGTATTGGACATGATCCATGCAATGCACTTTTGTTTCTACCCAAAAAACTTTAATTTACATAAGAAATTTGCAAAGATTTCCATCTCCTAAAACTATAATGAAAGGTTTAGGAAATGGTTTTAACCATCTCTGAATATGCCGATTTAGCGAGAGAACCATTTAAAGGGGTCAGGTGATGATTTTTTCTTAGGAAAATATTTTGTGCAACCTTCTCCTCCTCTTGAATGTATGAAAACAATTTGACTGTTCGGTTTAGGGGTTTCCTGTTCAAATTGTGAACCCAAAATTAGCTTATTAAAACATTTTGTGAGAAAGGGTTGCTCATTGGCTTACTGCCATATACTGAGACAACAACGAACCACCAAAGAAAAGAAAATGAACGACAGGACAATGTCCAAAATTCTAGCAAATTTTGGTGCTGAAATAGCTGTAATATAGATGTTTCTTCCCGGAATGACATCACAGTTTTGCTCATGAATATGGAAATTCGTATATAAGTATAACAACCAAAAAGGCACTAATTGACCTTTCGCGGAAAAATCGCGTAAGAACAGCTTGTGACATTTTGTCCAATTACACGATATACAAATGGACGCGGATTGCGCAAAACCTGAGACAAACACAAATAAGAGTACAAAAAATCCATAGGGTTGTCTAAGTGGCGTGGCTAACTCACAAACGGCGATAGGTAAATTACCCATTAAAACGGCAAAATATCCATCAGAACGGCAAATGGGAAAGAAAGGTGTATTTTCACGGATAGCATAAAGTTAAACAAAATTGCATTGCACGGGCCCGTTAATGATCACCTGTTCAGCCCTGGCACGTTCCAAATCGCCAGCATTGTAGGCATCAATCAATCTGGTGAACACCTTCCCTGCAAAACTGAAAGTGCTGCAACAAAACACAGTTGGAACGTTTCAGCAGTACATTTTTAAATAATAATAATAATAATAGTGGCATCTTATTAAGCGCAAACAGGTCCATCACTAGGTGACGCTCATGGCGCTATACAAAGAGTAAGCACAAACTACAAAACTTAAATGACAAAAATTATAAATGACAAAACTACAAATTATAAATGCTAGGTTCAAGACATATGAATTGCAAGGTGCAGGCCGAAGAGGAGATTAGGATGTGAACAGGTAGGTTTTGAGTTCTTGTTTGAAGGAGATCGAAGAGGGAGCTTGACGGATAGAGAGGGGTAGACTGTTCCAGAGAGTGGGGCCTGCGTGAGAGAAGCTGTGGTCACCCCAAGAGTGTCGGGATCGAGGAACTTGAAGAAGGGAGGAGTCTGATGATCGAAGCCTGCGTGGGGGGTGGTATGCCTGTATTGAGTTTTGTAAGTAGACTGGTGAGGAGCCATGGACTGCGTGGTAGACCAACAACAGAACTTTGAAGGTGATGCGTTTGTCAACGGGCAGCCAGTGAAGAGACTGAAGGACAGGTGTTATGTGACATGCTTTCTTGGTGAGAGTGACTAGTCTGGCTGCGGAATTTTGGAGGCGTTGCAGTTTATTTAGCTGTTGTTGAGGGAGGCTTACAAATATGGAGTTGCAGAAATCAAGGCGTGAAGAAATGAGGGCGTGGACTAGTTGTTCAGTTGCATTCCGACTCAGGTACTTGCGAACAAAACCAAGGTTGCGAAGTTGGTATCTGATTGACCTAGACACATGGGAAACGTGGTCATGGAAGGACATATTGGTGTCGAAGATGACACCAAGATTGCGAGTTTTGGCAGATGAGTAGATACTGTTAGTACCCACTTGTACATGAAAACCCTTCGTATCCACCTTGCCAAGCATTTGCTTTGAGCCCAGAAGAATGAGTTCAGACTTCAAGTGGTTGAGTTTTAGACCGCTAGAGTCCATCCACGTGTTGATGTGTTTGATGCATGCCTCCAGTTGTTTTGCTGCGGATGACATAGCAATGGCAGATGGTGGGAAAGAAACATACAGCTGTATGTCGTCAGCATAACAATGGTATTTGATGTTGTGCGCGTTGATGATATTACCTACAGGTTGAAGATATATTGAAAACAAGAGAGGACCACCGACTGATCCCTGGGGGACACCATAAGCAAGATGGCTAGCTTCAGACTTTGCATTTCCGATGCATACACGCTGAGAGCGATTTGTCAGATAGGACATGAACCACTGCAAAGCTGTTCCGCTGACTCCCAACGAGCATAACTGATCGATGAGGATACGATGGTCTACCGTGTCAAATGCTGAGGACATGTCAAGCAGAACAAGGGCTGTGATGTTTCCATTATCCATTTGTTGAAGTACGTTGTCCGTTAAATTTGTGAGAAGTGTTTCTACGCTATGATTTGAACGGTATGCTGATTGATTGCTGTCAAGTAGCGAATGTTCCTGCAAATGATCTGAGAGACGAGAGAATGCCACACGTTCCAAGACTTTGGAGAGATATGGAAGGTTGGATATTGGACGGTAACTCTGCAAGGAATTTGTGTCCATACCAGGTTTCTTTAATGTAGGTCGAACAATCGCTCTCTTTAGGACTTCAGGAACGACTCCAGTATCCAAGCTCACATTGATGATGTTAGTGATGACTGGGGTAATGGCAGACATACATTTTTTTAGAAGAGAGGTAGGGATCGGGTCTAACTCACATGACTTTGCTGGTGACCTTGCCATGATGTTGCGAACTTCATCTGTAGATGCAGGAGCAAGAGTGTCTAAGACTGCACGAGTTTTACGTGACGAAGATGTTTGATTGATGGCTGGCAGACTGGCACGAATAGATTCTATCTTGCTGGTGAAGAAGTTGCTGAAACGAGCAGCTAGATCTTCAGCGAAAACATGTGTTGGAAGAGGGGAAGGCTGCTTTCTGTTCAAAAGATCGCTTGCAACTCTGAACAGTCTTTTCGTGTCACCTGAGCAGTCGTTAATTCGTTTCAAGTTGTACCCTGTTTTTGCAGCACGAACTAACGATTGGACTCGCTGACATTGTTGGCGATACAACTGACGATGTATTTCAAGCTTGGAAGATCGCCACTTCCTTTCAAGCTGCCTACGAAGAAGTTTTCCATCTGCTATTTTCTGGGTGTACCATTGAGTATTTGGTCGAATTTTCACTGAACGTTGTTGGACAGGAGCATGTGTGTTCAAAGTAGCTATCAGAATGGAGTTGTAGCTGCCGACAGCCAGATCTGCGTTGCTCACAGTGCATTTCTCTGTGAATGACGCTTCATTCAAATCCTCGATGAAGCAAGCAGGTTGTATAGACTGAATGTTTCGTGACACAACAGACTTCCGGGCAGTTCGCATACTTGGAGTATGTAGGTTGCAAGTAAGGGCGGAGTGATCAGAAATACCACCGATTATGTCAATGTCAGACAGTCCTGTGGGGTCGATCCCTTTCCGTGAAATAAGCAGGTCTAGAGTGTGGCCACGTATATGGGTTGGCTGACGGATGTGTTGCTCAAGGCCATATGCACTTAGAACATCACAGAAACCTCTGGCCTCAGGTGAAGTTGTATCAACGTGGATGTTGAAATCTCCGGAAATAATCAAACTGGCCTTCTTGAAAAGGTAGTTGTCCAGTACATCCGAGAACTCATTTAGAAAATCTTTGAAAGGAGTTGATGATCCTGGAGGTCTGTAGACGACGACCAGGTGTACAGCGTTTGAGTTCTGGATGATATCCATCTGTATCAGTTCAAAGGAACTGATATTATCAAGGGCTGGATGGATTTGTACAGTTAAATCACTCCGATATAGAAAGGCGACACCGCCACCTCGTTTACCTGTCCTTGGTATGTGCTTGAACGTGTATCCTCCAGGGTTGAGTTCTGCAATTACAGCATCATCGTCAGCGGATAGCCATGTCTCGCAGACACCAACAATATCAAATTTATTGTCGATAACAAAGTCAACGAAGGCGTTGGTTTTATTTTTCAGAGATCTTGCGTTGAGCATACAGAAGGAGGTAGTATGTTCTGCTTTCGCCGTCTTGTTTGCAGTAAGCTGCACTAGGTTACTATGGCAACAGTTCGCAGATCCATTGTGTAGATAGTCCGGATGATATTCACCAGTGGAAAAAGAAGTTTGTCTTCCATAACCAATAATTACTGGAATCAAACTTTGGGGAGTCGGCCTCCTTCTGTGAATCCCTGCTTTGCAACCTCTACGAGATCGTCTGCGTAGAGTTGTGCGTTTTCGAGGGTCATCTGTCTTTGTGACGTCCACTGGTGCATGAATCATGCATGGTGTCCGTCTGATGTTTAAATATGTGATTTTCCTGCATATCTGTGGCTTGAGTGGACATGTGGTGTAGAAATCAGGCCCTTGGTACAGGGAATAGAGCTCTGTAGGTTGGTACTTTAATTGAAGACAGAATGCCTGGGCAGAAGTCATCATTACTGTCCCTTGCTGACAATTGGCTAATCCATGTAGGTGTTGAGGCACAATGCATTCACCATGAGGATTAGGTGCAGGGCCATTGTAAGTGCTTGACTTCTTGATCTCTATTGTTGGTGGTGGTCCATTGTAAATGCTTGTCTTCTTGATTGCTGTTGTTGGGGTGGTCCATTGTAAGTGCTTGTCTTCTTGATTGCTGTTGTTGGTGGTGGTCCATTGTAAGTGCTTGTCTTCTTGATCGCTATTGTTGGTGATCGGTGTTGTGTGGAAGCTGGAGCGTGGGCTGCTGTACTGATGATCAAAGTACGCAGCAATGTCCAGAAAAAGATCCCAAATATTCTCCAAAATGGGATCATATCACAGTAAGTTTGGCGAACCATGCTGATCAGCAGTTCCTAATCTGTATCTTGGTGTAAAAATCATGATAGAAATTGCAGAAGAATAGGTCGATCAAAGTCAGAGATCGGAGCCTGAAGTGGAGCTGCCAAATAGTAGCGCTGCCAACGTCATCCGAGGTAAAAACAGTTCATTTCTTAACTCGTTGGTGTGCAACAGTACTGACATTTATAATTACTCCGTCATTGTTTCGTCAAAAACATTTCACACTCTAGAGGTTCCTTATTATGAGTACCCGTATAACTCTGGTTGAAATTTTGACCCAGAATTTCTGAGGCAAATATCAGAACCAGGCCAATTTCCATAGGATTTGTGTTGTCCAGTTACAACCACAAGGCTTGTGAAATATAGCTGCTGTTATCACAAGGCCACCAACCATCCTGTCACTGTAGGCCGAGTCTTGAAGCCTGGAAACAGGTGGTCCTGATCCGTTTAAGCTATACATGTAGCCTCAGGCTGTTGTGTTGTGTTGTGTGGGGGGGGGGGGGAATAGGCAGGCAAAAACTTGGGAGATAAACTTGAACTTTTCTCACATGGGTACTGACCAAATGCAGAGTAATCTTTTTTTTAAATTTTGTTTATTTATTTTGGCAAAAACAAACAAACATACAATGGTATAATGTTTTTGCCAAAATGTTTTTGCCAAAATAAATAAATAAATTTAAAAAAAAGATTACTCTGCATTTGGTCAGTACCCATGTGAGAAATCTGGGCATGTATACACTTTTTGGGGGCTTGAAATTGTTTTCTTGAGCAAAGAGGGCCTCTATCTATCTATTTAGACACTATGAGCAGGGCTTGTTCACCTAAATGCCTACCGAAGGGATTGTGTTAGACCTTCCGTAACACTTATGCACCATCATACTGAAAAATTGGCGCCTCGCAGGGTTAACTTGTACAGTAACTCTGACGAGCTCAATTTTCATCTTGGCAGATAAAAATGCTTGGCAAATTTATGAAATTAGTGAAAGTCAGCTAAGAATCATTCACGAGCAATCATTTTATCGTCAGAGTTTGGCTAGTATGCTCTTTTCACTGAGAAAATACTTTCTATGCTTAGTAAATTTCGGCACTTTTTAGCTTCATCAATTTGGCCACTTGGTTGTCATTTTTATTATTATGGACATTTCATAATGGAACATTTTCATAATTTGAATTCGCGATTTGAAGCATTCCTGGAAAACATTTATGGTCTGGTTTCCTGAAGAAACTCACCTTCCTACGAATGCTGTTCCACCAAGCGTCATGGAGGGCAGCATCATCTGCAACATATAATACACCAGAGCACCAGTTATATACGGAGTACCAACCTCATCCTGCATGGCTCGCTCACAAGGGGAAAGTCATTTCTTGTATAGCGCCCTCTTGTGTCCTCAGAGTTGCATTTACTTTCAGGGTGCAGACCTGTAAATCGACTCCCATAGACCCCAGAGGTAATTACCTATTTACAGGTCTGCACCCTTCAAGATGTCGAAGAATTGTAAAGGACACTACCATTAATATTTTGTTTTGAAGACTCTTTACTGCTATTTGGATTTATTCCTCCTTCTGATAAGTTACGTACCCCTTCCAATGAGAAGATCATCTGATACTTGTCCTTTGACACGTTGACGCTGAGGCTGAAGTCGGTCAGGTCAGGGGTCACGAACTTCGCCCCTTTGAAGTTTGGGATGGGATCTGACTCCAATGTCCTCAAGATGTCCATCATGGTGACTGCAAACCAAAAGATGATTTTGTGATTGAAAACACAAGAATTTTTTTATGTTTAAAGCCTTACATTTTTTTTCTTTCCAAAAAGTTTTTGTAATTATTCTAAACGAATTCTATAACATGCATCTAGGTTGATTAACCACTTCTCACCGTCATTATTTTTGCCAACAATTTCGATTTTTTGCAAACGGCAAACTTTTCCAGGCAACTTCTGATATACAGCCAAACGCCACAAATACTGATTCACAAGAGTCATTTCAACAGTATTTCTTGCCAAAACCTCATATGTTTCAACACTCTGAGGTGTGCACTGCAGCGTAAATTGTCGAACAATAGGCCACGGACACCGGTCAATTCAAGATCAACACTCGGTCCGCACATACTGAAATTTGTATCCTTGTGGAGACATTTCTTTGTTCTCGTGTAGTAAAGTTTTCGAGTTTGAAAGTATAGTTTCAAAATGCTCTTATTTTAACCAGAATTAATTTCCTTGGCTGAAATTCGGACTTACATGTAATATCCCTTTTCTAAAACTCTTCCATTTGCGACAAGCAGCCCACCTTGGAAATTGCTAGTTTTTGAGTAAAATCCATATATCTATTTCATGAAAACCTTGTGGAGACATATTCATCTATAGAAATTGCCCGGTGGAGACGTATACAATCTTTTGTTCCCTATTGTGTGCATGTCTCCAGAGGGCACAGGAATCAGATCGCCTCCACAGACTTCACGGACTGTGTGTGTGTACAAAAGGCACAAGGGATAAGCGTGTTTAGACGTCACCCTGAGGCGAGTCGAGGCAATCTTGATGTCTTAACCCATCAGCTGTGCCTGTGTATTAAAACAGCCAGTGCGTGTTATCACGTCCTCCGACGCGAACTGGTTATGATGATGTAGATTTAATACTGTTTCCACGTGTCTTAAGAGAACTCAATTTTGGTGCTTGACAGAAAAATAATGCCGGGGTGTCAACAGTCTAAAGCAGCTTTTGAATGACTCCAGAAAATAGTTCACTCTGTGATTAGAAAGAAGTTGGGAAAGAAGGAAATCAACTAGAAAACTAGACTACATGTACTTACAATTGACTCCAGTTTTCATGGGGTAGTGATAATAGAACAGAGGCGTGGAAGGTACGATTGCTCCCACCTGCTTCAGGTAATTGACGAGGTGCTCTGAGGAAACGGGAAAAAAAACTATTTGAAACTTTTCAAATTGGTTTATTATCCTTCATAGGTAGAGTAGATCACTTGCAGCTTTCAAAAAGTAACTGACGAAAATATTGTTGGAAAGCTTACTTGGTTTAAAGTTGGGGAAATTATTCTGTGAAATTATTCTTTCAGGCATGCTGTCATTTTGAAAAAAAAACAATAAAGAAGGCCATTTCCAAAGATGCGTCAAGTGACGCATTTTTTAAAATTTCCATTAGTAGTTTGTTTTTAATTCGGCGAAGCCGTGAATGAGTGCGCAAGCGTTGACACAAGACGCACACGAGTGCGGTTGCTATCATTCGTCAGTTCAGTGCGTGACATCACGTAGCTGCAATCGGCTGAATGAGAACGTGTCCCGGACGCTGATTTCAGGCACAATTTTTTTAAAAATGACTCAGCAACTTTCGAACTGAAATCGAGATCCTAGAATATTGTTTTCTCGAAATATACAGCATTCACAAAGCTAAGGTTAGTTGTTAAGCACCCATCTTTAGATTTTGATCACATTTGTTGCTTCAAATGATAAACAAACGACAACTGATCTACCCTGCCTTCAAACAAATCAACACTTATTCGACTTGAGTGAAGAATAACCAATCAAACTTTGATGTACTTGCTAATGGAAAATGGATTTTTTTTGCTTATGACCAAAAGGGCTTTTGTCCTCTTAGTCAATGACTGACTATCTTTAGTGACCGAGTCACTTTTTTCTGGCTGACTGACTGACTCTTTGACTGAGTCACTGATTACAAATAATGACTGAACTGCCTAAATTGCCATCAGACTTTTCGGGTCCAGCCCAACTACCAGACAAACGTCGTCTTGTTTCAAAGAATTCCTACCTGGTGTTTGAGGTTTGAAGTAGACAGGTGGAAGGACAGCAATAGCTGAGACGCCAACGGCCGCTGCATGTATCGCCTAAAAAAAGAAAAAGAAATTGCACATTACCCCTAGGAATGAATGTAAACTGTTCATGTTTCACCACCATGGCATAAATTCAAAGTCCAGATCTTTATGGCTGACCACTATGAACTAATTTAGCATTTGATTACTCAAAACTGTGTTTCACCGAATATTCGGATATTGAAAACTGCCTCGCTGCACAGTCAAAAGTTGCATTTTGCCAGTTAAAATTTGCATGCAACGATTGATATTGGCCACAAGAGTGTCTTGCAGCACATTTTTTTGTAACAGTCAAGTCGTCACCGACACCACGAAGTAACACTCTACCATGTTAAACCATATTTTTTTTCAATTTCCAGTTTTTTGGATTTTTTAACATTATTCATCAAGGCCTACCATTGCACGAAGTTTCAAAGCTTCAAGAGCTTTACTTTAATAATTACGCTAATTATCCATGGCAACTTTTGCGCAAAAGTGACAATTTTCGTTTTCACGAAGTAACACTCAAGTTCCATTTACCATTGCAATGCATGACGCGCACTCTGCTCAAATGCGAGCAAAACCGTTTTTACGAAGTAACACTCTTGTTGTTTGAGCGCGCACGGACTGACCTCCGTTTCCACGAAGTAACACTCTTCTAGTGTTGTAATACATTGAAGCGTGCTACTTCGTGAAAACAAAATTTTACAGTTTTGCAGCTTTTTGGGTTTCACGAACTAGCACTCATCTTTTTTCTCTTATTTCTTGTTGTTTTAATACACAAACGGGTCAAAAACAGCAAATTTAATAACATCAATACATCAAGTGTCTACAACGAGAAACTCAACTGAAAATACTTTGTAGTTTTGACGCAAAGTGTTGTTCTAAAAGGCGTTCAACTTTAGATGTCGTTTTTTTCCGATTGCTAACGTTTACCGGTATGTACATGAGTGTTACTTCGTGGTGTCGGTGACCAAGTGTTTTAACCTGCTAAAAGGATGGAAACAATTGACCTATCGCGGTAGAATTGCGTCACTGCAGCTTGTGAAACATTGTCCAATTACATGATATTCAAATGGACGCGGAACGCGCACAATCTGAGACACATAAAACTTAAGGTACAAAATTCCACAAGGTTGTCTGAGGGGCATGGCTAACTCACAAACGCCGATAGGTTTATTATCCGCCGCTGACCAAAAAGTTACCGTCGACAAACAAAAAGGGAACTGGCATTTAAGAAACCACAACTTTACGATAAAAAAAAATCACAGTTGTGTATGTAACGGGTCGTTTTATTGAGACTATTGAGGGAACGGCAACTGGATGGACTTCTTATTCAAATGGTGATTTATTTAATACCTGTAGCACGAAGACAAAAATGTACATGTTGTCAGTTCTTCGCATGACAAGGTAATCATAAATGAAACAATGTTTAGACTTTAAATCAAAAAGTTAACGTTTGACATTAAGTAAATAATCTCGTAATGCGAATTAGGCTATTTACACAATTTACAAGCAGGTGGAAATAATATAAATGTAAATGAAGACTTGAAAATCCCGCCGAAACTGTTCTTGGGACCGCCATCTTACATTTGCCCCGAGTAAAATCAAACAAAGTAACGGAAATGTCACTGTAACAAATCAAGGAACATCAAACTTACAGTTAATTAATTAAGACGCTAAAAGGAAAATGGGATTAAAGTATAATCTGAAATACAACATTTATCGGTGTCGGACCTGTTTTGGAATTGACTCATCGGAGATCGTTGTTTTCTGAGCAAAATATATACTCTCTAAGTTATCATTGTACATGACGAAATCATTACAAACATGATAAGCTTAGACTTGATAGGCCCTATAGGATATATCTAAACTAGAGTATAAAGTACAGTTAAATAAGAAATGTAAATAATCAAACAGTCATTACCTGTAGCACAAAGACAAAAATGTACATGTTGTCAGTTCTTCGCATGACAAGGTAATGACGAAGCCCGCGAATATAAAAATAATAATTTAACAAGGCGGACCCGCCGAGGGCGCTACACAAAAGCTACATTGCGTAACATGTCAACACAAAAGAATTAAAGGGGGGGGGGTATCTTAAACTCGATTACATTTAAAACATATGTACACTTGTCACATGAATTTCGAATATTCAAAGCGCAAAAATCTATTTGATCGAATATTCAGTTGATGATCGAAGATTCGGTAAATTCTGGGCAGTCCTTAGCCCAAATTGTTCCTTGTGCATATGTATAAGACGTTATTTAATTTTTATAAATTTTCTTCAAAACAAATTTGGAAGGTTGCAAGGTTACTGGGCAAGTTCTGGAAATTTTCCCAACAGCTTCCACCACGCAGCAGCAAAAGAACAGATTTTCTATTCAGATATATTGAAAATCAACGAGTGAGAACGTAGAATAAACTTACCAATTCCTGTGTATCTTTCAGGTTTCCAGCCCCGACTTGAACGACGACATTATCTAATCTAGAAACAAACATGAATGGAATTGACAGATTAGATGCTTTTAACCCTAACCGCCCTGAATCCTTCAAAATCCTCTTTGCCAAAGTGGAGTAATTTGGAGGATTGAGGTTACATGGCAAAAGTGCATTACTGATTTCGTAGGATGCAATTTGTCAAGGTCTTGGGCCGGACCTTGTGTTGTTTTTGCTCAGCCATGCATAAATATAGGCCTGGATTATGCTTGAAATCCTCCCTACTGCTCCAGGATGTCACTGGCCAAGCCTCAACATATTGACAGTCACTGCTGCAGGATTTTGCAGGATTGAGGCAGTGGTCACTTCTCCACGGACCATATTTAAGAAATAATGGAGGAATTTGCAGGATTGAGGCTTTATGCTATTTTTCCATGAGGCCAATTGGAGGATTTTGCAGGATTGAGGCTACATCCTAGCAAAAAGGCCTAGGGAGTTGGGGTTAATACATGTACGTCTAATATGCATCTAGTCATGTGGCAAGAAAAATTACTTTACATTTTGATATGGATACGACTGTCTGGATTCCTACTTGGTAGAGGATTTTACAGGAGACAGTGAGGCTCCTAATAAAATACTTCGAAAGTTATAGCCTTGGTCAAGGGGTTTGTCATTATTTGTCCGTACGTACGCGGTAAACGATCGACGCATATCATATCCTTGCTATGCAGCGCACTAAAAATACAGCGTGAACAGGGAACTCATGCAGCCACTACTTTATGCAAATCATTTGGATCCAGACGAAAGCCTTGGTCTTATCGTCCATGTGAGGTTTTGGGGGTGGTGCTCATTATGCTAATAGCCTAGGCTGACCGTAAAAGTTGTTTTCTTATTGGTCGATCGTTGCTTGGAAACTGCATATACATGTAGTTAGCGAGCGGTACTGCCAAGACATGTACTGTACATAATACATAAAGTAAACTCCAGCTAAACCGGCACTCTCGGGACCCAAGAATTTGTGACGACTTACGCGGATGCCGATATCTGCTGTAAGTCGTCATTTTGCCGACTTACATGAATGGTATGCACACATGATTCATTGCACTAATTGGCTAAGATTTACCCTGGATTATCTCCTTAATGCTTGAGTTGAATCCAGCAAATTAATCCTCAAATTGTATCATCACGTTTGGGGTATTGATAGTGGAGACCACGATACATATGTACGTGCGCAGTAACAAATTAAATGCGTGCGTGGTCCGGTATATACCACGCACGCATTGACTGCAGCAGTAGTCATTCAATAAGACGACCCCCAAAATGGACAGAGCGCATGTGTACAGCCCAGAGGGGGTACTGGTATTGATATGCTCACGATGTATATGTGATGTATGCAGTAGGACACCCTTTCGACACCGATGCATGCAGCGATCACGGGCCGTGCAAAACCACTTTTCACTCAACACTTTGCCAACCGCAGTACAGGAAGTCGATGCCAATGCGTGATTTGTTGAATGCCGACTTACACAAAGGATTTTGTAATGCTTTTCATGGAAAGGGGACCGAGATTAACACGACGACTTGAGCGAAATGGCGACTTATAAAGGCCGACTTAGAAATAAAAAATTCAATGGAAATGCATTACGGACAATCGGGACTTTAGTCAGACGGCCGACTTGAGCGATTTGACGAGTTGTACGATGTTGGTTTAGCCGGAGTTTACTGTACACACACGTTGTGTGTCGATTTCTCACATTACACACATCATTGATGCACAAAAATTGTGGTTTCTGACAAGGCCTCAAAGGGCGAATAGCTGCAAATGATTTGATGATGTCGAGATTTACCAAGGTGTGATTGGACACTCCACATATTAGCCCCGCCTACACTTATCTGTATTCGCATATGAGGTCGTGCGCTTGCAATCTACCGAAAAAAAAGAAAAACATGCTTTCGCGGACGATTTGACCAAGGCGTTCGTTGGGATCCAAATGATTTGCATAAATAGTGGCTGCATGAGGTCGCTGTTTGCGCTGTATTTTAATGCAATACATAGCGAGGATATGCCGCCGATTGTTTACTGCGTAAGGACGAATAATAACGAACGCCTTGACCAAGGCTCAGGGAGTTATGCATAAATATGGACACAATTTCCTGGACTCACTTTCCCTTTCCGCATTTGACCCACTCAGACGCCACAGCTTTTCTCTCTTTCATCGTCAACGATGGTCCTTCGGCAGTTGTGCCCAAAACTGGAAAAACAAATACATTGGAAGCAGGGTCAATACAAACAAAACGTTTCAAACAAAGCAATCCTCACATAATTATAAAAATACTGCGAGTAAAACTTGCGCAATCCCCCTGGCATCCTGGCAGTTTGTATACATGTACAGGCAGTTAGTAAGGACAATTTTCAGTGACGGCCTTGATTGTCCACCCGGCAGGTACCAGTTCTCAGTTGAATGGGAGTTTGGGTTGAATGGAGAGTTTCGGTGAGACACAGGACTAACATATGTTAGAGTCATTAGTATCTCTCCAGAGACCTCGTAAATATCCATATTGGAAAGGATTTTTTGACGCCGGCCTTCTCTCAACAGATCACCTTTCAAGTTTGGTTGAGATTGATGACTGAACTTACAGTGAAATGGAACACACACGCACCCAGACAAGTGTGTATTTGCTTGCAATCAGGAACCCCTATTGTCCCTCTTTTGTTTAAACTTTAACTTTTAGGAAGACCTCCCAAATGTTTTGTACACAAATCCAAATTAGGGACCTCTCGGGAATTGGGCAATTGGAATTGTCCTCTATTGTTCACCCATACATTTTTTTGTTTGGTAAATCGAGGATTTTCTATTGTTCCTCTTCCCTTTTCCTTTGTTTATACTCTAACTATTTTGCAACGTACAGCTCTCATTGGTTTTGTACACGTTTTCCAACCGAGGAGTCCTCGATTTGGTTCCTGTCCTCAATTCATCAATGATGTTGCACGTGTGTGTCCTCGATTTACACCATAAACAAACGCGCACACATACACCGACACACAGAAGGAATACGCGATCGCGATATCCCCCTGTCTGGCTTGAACGCCAGGGGGATAAAAAGACCAAATCAGACCAAAAATTCCACAATAAAAATGGAAATCATTTTGATTTTTGACACTTACCGAACACACTGTCCACACCGTCTTGAAGCAAACTGTTGACATAACTGCCAATGAGCTTCGTATTCAAATCTCTGCCAGACAAAATTTCAATGAAACATATTTAAATAATGGATCATATTTTAACCACTTCACGCCAGCATTAGTTTTGCCTAAAATTTTGATTTTCGCAAAAGGCAACATTTTCCAGCCAACTTCTTATATACTGTACAGCCCAACGCCCCAAATACTGATTCGCAACAGTTTTCAACAGTATCTGTATGATATTTCTTACCGAAACCTCATAATGTTCCAATACTCCAATACTTGGAGGGGTAGCCACTGCCTCAATCCTGCAAAATCCTCCAGCAATATGTTGAGGCAGAGCCATTGACATCCTGGAGCAGTGCTGAGGATTTCAAGTACAATCTAGGCCTAGATTTATGCACGGCTGAGCACAAACAAAACAAGGTCCGGCCTAAGACCTTGACAGTGCATCTTCCAAAATCAGCCACACATTTTTGCAATATAGCCTCAAACCTGCAAAATTCTCCAGCAATATGTTGAGGCAGAGCCAGTGACATCCTGGAGCAGTGCCGAGGATGTCAAGTATAATCTAGGCCTAGATTTAGGCACAGCTGAGCATGAACAACACGAGGTCCGGCCCAAGACCTAGACACAGTGCGCCCTCCAAAATCAGCCACACATTTTTGCCATACATAGCCTCAACCCTGCAAAATCTTTACAAAGAGGATTTTGGAGGACTTGGGAAGGTTAGGTTTAAAACATACTACATGACTGTACAATGTTTATGTAGAGTAAACTGAGTTAAGAAAGGAATTACCCGTTCTCTTCAAAAGGAGTGAATGGCGCTGCAATCAATCCCTTCAACTTGAAGTCTTCCAGACTCACTTTGCCAAACTTGCTCTGCGGAAAACCAAACAAAATGATTGAGGGGTTAAAGCTATAGTCCATCATTTGCAGCCATCTGAAAAGTAACTGGCGTAATTATTGTTGAAAAACAAACTTGGTTGAAAGATAGTAAGGGAACTAAACTCCCTGTGAAATTATTCCTTCTGGGAAGCTGTCATTTTGAAGTTATCAACGAAAGAAGGCATTTCCAACGGTGATTCTTAAGAAGCACCGTAGGAAAATTTAAATTAGTAGTTCGTTTTGTTATTCAGTGCAGCGCGCACAAGTATTGGAACGACGCACACGCGCGCGCGGTTGTTATAATCCGTCGGATCAGTGTGCTACGTCGCGTATAGCTGCAATTCAAAACAATTCAAAACATGATTCAGTAACTTTTGATTGGAAATTGAGATCTTAGAATGCCGTTTTTCTCGGAATGTACAGCTGAAGCTTAGCTGAAACTTCATCAGCTTAGTTGCTCAGTATCCTTCATTAGATTTTGAACCCTTCTGTTGCTTCAAACGAACAAAATGCACAAATTACAAATGATGGACTATAGCTTTAAGAACTTTGGTCATACATGTATGTGACCTGCTGTGGCAAAATGAGGAATGTCCCCCAAAACCTTGTTTTGAGTAAACGACGCCTGAAGTCGTGTATACCTGAAAAATCCTGTCAAAATCAATATAATATTTTTGGTATTTTTGAGTAGCCAAGGTGTCCAAGATTCACACTGTAATTTTTTGAAACAAAAAAATACCCCCTAAAATTGAAAAAACTGAAGATCTTTTTCACTGCCGATGGAGGCACAATGCATATCTTTTGTTTCAAAGCAGCTTTTCTCGAAATGAGGACGGCGAAGTTCGACAGGACACTGTTGAGGTTTCTGCTGCATACATGTATCTTCAGAATAAATTAAGCTACAGAAATAAATTTGATATCATTGGAAAGCCAATGATTTGCGCTTTAACATGATGTATATAACTGGAAAAGTCAAAGGTTGGGGTTATTCCTCATTATGATATGGCAGGTCACATATGCTAATCAGAGTATAGGGTGAGTCAAAAAAAGTGGAACCCATGCCGAGTCATGTTTTGAAATGCGCCCGAAATCAGCATCCGGGACACGCTCTCAATCAGCCGATTGCAGCTACGCGATGTCCCGCACTGAACTGACAAATTATAGCAAGCACAAGCACGTGTGTGTCAAGTCAATGCTCGCGCACACCCATTCACAGCTGCGGCCAATTAAAAACGAACTACTAAGTAAATGAAAATTTCCAAAAATGCATCTTTAGACGCATCTTTGGAAATGACCTTCTTTTTATGTTTTCTTCAAAATGACAGCATGCCAGAAGGAATAATTTCACATGGAGTTTAGTGCCATTACTATCTTTAAACTGAGTATGCTTTTCAGCAATAATTTTGGCAGGCACTTTTTGGATAGCTGCAAATGATGGACTGTACCTTTAACTCTCCTGCTATCTGAACATTCACAGATAGTCCAAAAAGATTGGTTTTATTGGTGGATAACCCTAACATACCTGAATCCATCAAAATCCACACCCCTGTTTCGGGGGATTTTGGCAGATTCAGGATACCTTCATATTGAAAAAGTTCTGGGGGATTTTGATGGATTCAGGACATGAAGCCTAGCGGTACTGCAGGATTTTGATGGATTCAGGATACCTCCATATTGAGCAGTTGGGGGACTTTGATGGACTCAGGATCTCAACAGATTTACTCCCGGCTAACTGATGGATTCTGATGGACTCACTGGCCACCAAATTTGTTTTGCATGGCAAAATTGATGGATTTTGGTGGATTCAGGATACTTTCTAGTAAATATACCCAAGGGATTAGGGTTAAAGGAAGTGGAATAATGTAGATTATTCCAATTCTCACCATTTTGGAGATTCGGACTGGTACTACTGGAGAGAACGTCTTCCGTTTGAGAGGTCTTCTAGGCGTCCCGTCGTCGTTCAGACCAATGATGTTTTTGTCCTTTTTTGACAAACAGCTTGGACAGGAGAACACAAACTCTTTACAGAGGTGGCGCGGGATCCTGGCGTATGTCTTTGCAACCTTCAGAAGAAAAACCAAGACAATATGACAATGAAAACGACATTACATCTGGAAATGAAATGGGTTCACGTGAAATTTGGGTAATTTGAGTTTAGCCACTTGTGTACAAAAGTATGATTTCACTATGATATATCATCTGGAGTTGACACCATACAGTTTGTCTCAAAAAAATGCAAACAAAATATAACGGAATGACAGACGTACAATGTGTAACCAATGTGTGGATTATATAGGTATGGTTTGAAAGATAAGCCTTTCCACTTTAAAATGAGACAACAAACATCCAGATCTGATAATCATTTTCAGTGCCCAGGAATAACTATCAACCAAACTTACCAATATTATCACCACTGAACGCCTGTACTTTGTATGTAAGTGCAAAGTATTTTGATTCCTGATGAATGCATTGCACACACCCATTCAACCCAGACGCACTTTTACATGTACAGACATACAGGTTCAACCTTAAAAAATTTTCACTAGCCAGCCGAACTACTGAAACAGACTATTATAAGATGGAATTTTTGCGTCGGGGTGATAATCAAATTATAGGTTTTGCCCTTCACCGACGTTTAAAAACTGTATACTCAGTGTGTTACCTCCCGAGTGAAGGATTGAAGGTACATCAGATTCGAACCAGCCAACTGATCCCGTTAGCTCGGTGGTCGAGTGGTAAGACATCTGCACTAGAAAGCAGGAGGTCGTGGGTTCGAGTCCCACCCGAGTGATTTTTTCCAACTTTCACTCGGGAGGTAACACACTGAGTATACAGTGTTTAAACGTCGGTGAAGGGCAAAACCTATAATTTGATTACTGAAACAGACTCTTAACTAGCCTGCAGGCATTTTCACTAGCCCGCATTTTTTTTTTTTAATAGAGTGTCTCATAAGCAACAATGTGCATATGTATGTATATGTATAAAGTGTAGGCTATCCTGAGGCAATCGGATCAGTGTTTGTAATAAACAGATCTAATAATTTAACCCTAAACAGTTAATAAAATTAGACACAAATATTGATACAGGTTTGCTTTCTGAATTTAATGATTAATTTCTTCCTGTCCTTTCATCTTTGCTGTAGCCCAATAATTTTTGACTCGCTAGCTGGGCTACTTAAGGAATAGTTTGACTAGCCATCTGCTGTTTTGACTAGCATTTGGCTAGCGGGCTACCGCTAAAGTCCAACCCTGCAGACAATGTTAATATTTTTTTCCCTGTATGAGAAAAGAAACCACTCGAAGCTTCTCTTTTACTAAATTTGTGAAATCCTAAAGGGATTATACTTTTTGCTTCTTTACTTTATACCTCATCGCATTTATTTGTAATTATATCTTATTTTATTTATGTTTTGAAAAAATGAACAAAGAAATTGACTGGAGCGGGGTTTGAACCTGCGACCTCCGGATTACCTTTCCAGTACTCTTACCAACTGAGCTATCCAGCGCTATGTTGGCGGGGTGTTAGTCAGTTTATTTAGTTCGGTTCGGGCGCTACTGGGAGTAACAGGCAGGGGGGTTTCGGGTGCTACAGTGACTAAAGGTTAACCCTCCTTTTGTTTAAAAAGTCACAGACAAAATTTTTATCTACTTCCCCTCCATGCCTTTAACACAGGCTAGTCAATAACATATTTCAGATCATAGTTCAAGTAAGCACTCTGACTAGCCAAATTCAGTCAACAGACAAAAGCAAGTAACTGTAGGCACAGCTGGCTTATCAATCACCTACAGTCAAAGCATAGCTGTATCAAGTTATATAAACAGTCACAGCCAGTCAATCCTGCTTTTTTGTAGGCTGGGAGCTCTTAACTGTTAAAAAGAAAATTGTCACTTGATTGATTGATTTTGACTGCAAGGACAACTTGGCTATGTATGCGGTGCGGGATTGTGGGCGGAGCTATGAGGAGGGGATGGAGGTGGTTATAAATGTTATTGTCAATACTTACTTCATTGTAGGTATTCCTGTAGTTTTTATGAGGCACTGTTCTCTCATGGATTTCCTTGATGATGTCATAGATTTCCTCCGCTGCTGCTACTCGCCTCCAGTTGCCTAGCAACGAATCATCGGAGGCATCCTTGAAAAATGGAAAAAAACACAAGCTCCGAGTTACTATCTCAAAAACATATACATGTAGACAGCAATCAATGGGTTTGTATTCTTATTAAATTCTTTTTTTCAAAAAGTCAAAACACTTAAGAAAAAAAAGAGAGATTTTTGTATTTGTAAATTATCTGAATCAATTTACTCCCAACTATATCTGATTACGAAAAACAGTCATAGGTTGTCTTGGAAAAGCTATTTGTGGAAATATTTAAGTAAAATGCACTTGATTAACTCTTATCTTCCCAAGCCTACAAAATCCTCTTTGAAAAATGGAGGATTTTGCTGGATTTAGGTAACATGGAAAAATGTATGGCTGATTTTGAAGGATGCACTGTGTCAAAGTCTCAGGCCGGACTTTGTGTTGTTTATGCTCAGCCGTGCATAAATTTAGGCCTACAATGTAGATTACATTTGAAGTCCTCCGCACTGCTCCAGGATGTCACTGGCTCTGCCTCAACATATTGACAGTGATTGCTGGAGGATTTTGCAGGATTGAGGCAGCGGTCACCCCTCCAAGGACCACATTCAAGAAATAACAAAGGATTTTGGAGGACTGAAGCTGTAAGCAATTTTGACATGGAGGCAGTTGGAGGATTTTGACAGGATTGAGGTTGCATCCTAGCAAAAATGCCTAGGGAGTTAGGGTTAAAGAAATACATTTAAAAAGAGCATGCATTTTTTTTGGGGGGGGGGAGGGGGGGGGGGGGGGTATTTTAAAGGATTACTTTTGCCCAAACACACCTCTTCCTTTGTTGGCTCGCAAACAACTTCTTCGTTCCATCCCAGCTCTGGCGCAACCTTCAATGAAAACTGTCTCTGTCGAATGTAAAACAAAAACCTTGAAGGTTCGTCCACATCTTTGCCTTCCTTCTGTAAAACCTTCTTAATCCGCTGGACTTTATCAGCCAAAAGGACGTCTGAGTTTCTGCTGCCGAGAACTGTTTGAATCTTATCCCAAAAGAACTGCCTTCTTTCCGCCTCATTTTGGGGTTCGGTGTTCTCAGCGGATGTTGGGAGGGATAATGTATGAACCATCGTCACGGCGACCTGCTCCTCATTCTGGGAGATTGTCGTCTCATTGTTGCTGACGTCAAAAACCTCCAAGATTGTATCACAAGGAATTCCGCCGTCAGGTATCGTCGTGTTTGTTTTCCTCAGTGCGGACGGAAGCACCTCGGACAACGTTTCGATGATCTCCGTGGTGACTTCCATTTCTGGGTGGCCTTGCTCGGTTCCCTGTACAGCGACAATGGTTTCTGATGCTGCCTGGGTGGTGGGAACCGGTCGGCTTGTTCGAATGGTTGTCAAGGTCTTTGGCAAGCGTTGTTGTGGGTTTTCTGTTGCTTCTGTGGTGGCAATGTGTACTTCTCCTTCCATTGTCTTTGGCTGAGGCCGACTGCTTCAGCGATTTCCGCAGAGTTTCAGGACGAGGCACAAGTCTGTTCTCTTGAATAGAATCTTCTTTTCAAACTCCAGATCTGGAACAAAGAGAACACAATGAAATTACTTGACGCAGAGCTACAAAAGTTGAGTAGTAATTTTGGCGGCTGCTGATGAAGAGCGCACACATGCAGCGGGCTCCAAAGATTTTGGAATGACAGGCAACAGCCGTGGTGCGCTTTGCCAAAGTTGACGCACGCTCAGTAGATGATTAAAGCTCTTGTCTGGTTCCCTGACCCCATTGGCCTTTTGACTATTATTCCGGTGGCCGGGAAACAGTCTGGTAAATATCAGAGACGCCATGCTTTTTCAAATACCTCTGAAGGTACTGAATTTAACGATGTATGTTGTGCTATTTAGCAGTCATACTATAGCTGGGTTGATTTTCTGCTGACAAAATAATTTTGATCTTTAATTCAATTGATTTTCAGCTCCCCTAGCAACGGGGGACCTTCCGCGCACAGGCCATATGTGGCACTGTGACTCAATAAGATAGTTCAGTATTTGAGTCATGATTTAAGGGACTACCCGCTATGATTTTGCACGCGTGTGGCGAACTGTTTATCCCCCGACCCTAATCGTTGTCATGGGATGTGCGTATGCGCGCAGCAGTAAATTTTTGTCCCAAGTGGCTTATCCAGACGCTACTTCTGTGGTTGTAGTCTATGGAGAGTCGCATGCATTTTCAACATGTTCAAAGTATTTTCTAACAAAATCATGAAAATTGAAATGTGTCTCAGTCCTAGATTTATGTCTTCATCATTTTTGCAATGACTGACCTTCATTGACATGATATAATATGAAGGAAAAAGTGGCGTCAGGATGCAACATTCTTTCCGTATTTTTACAACAGTTTGTTTCGTTTGCGCGAATTGACGTTGAGGGCGCGCTTGCTAGACCATTCAGTGTACACTGTGCTTAAGTTTATTCCTCCGTTGTAAACCCACCAAAATACCTATAATGGGACGTCAAAATATTGTATTACAATCTTCACACAACAAGAATACTAAGAATTGTTACCTGAAGCTACACCTGCGAATTAAACGACCCTTGCAACGTGCAAAAGGTGCGAATACAGCACCAAATCGTTCCGATTATCACTTCTTCGTCAGCGCGGAATTGAAACGACGCTCTGATTATTCACGTCTCTTGAGGGCGCTATAACTTAACCTTGTCAACAACAAGATCCAGGAAGTGATCGGTCCGGTCGTCTCATCAAGTCGATCTCTCGAGAAACATTAATTATTTCTCTCCTTTTTGTGTACAAAATTGACTTGGTCATTGATATGCAGCTTAGCTCGACATAGATGGCGCTAGCATAGATTTGGAGAAAGTGATAGATAGCTCTACCAAAAAAATGTGGAATAAATGCATTAGGTATTATTTTTTACTACTTGTTTTACTAGCTGACTAGCGTTGCTGCTAGGATAGGGGAGGGGTATCTCTTCCACCCCACCCACGGGGAAGGAGATCTAGTGTTCTCAGGACAAGACTTAAGATTGTTTCAGCCTGTACGATTATTTTATAGCGGCTGTGAGCCCCCCCCCCCCTCAATCAGTCTCATCTCAACGTTAAATTGAAGCCCCACCCCGGCCCCATTTTTAGCCGGCCATGGTCTATGCAATTCTACCTCCATGGTACGTCTATGATATTTAAGCAGATTCAGCGATATAGTATGACCTCGAGAAACTGACCAATCAGCGGGTGCTTCCTCGTGCGTAAACATCACACCCACGATGAGTGCCATTTTTGTACAGGTTACTTACGGTATTACAACAACGTGGCATCGAAATTGACCAATCAAACTCTTAGTCCAGATTTCGGAATAAAATGACGTCACACGTGCTTAGATATATCAGACGTTCTACCGGAGATGGGCTCCGTGGAGAAGAAGTGATACTCCCTGGCATGATGCGAAACATTTATGTAGGCCCGCTTTCACCCATTTCGTGCCTTAATTATCTGTTAAATTTCAATGTCATTTTAAAACCTTATGGAAAATGTATCTCGCAGTATGTAACTGTTAGGCCAAAAAAAAAAAATAAGTTGGTCTCTGGTCAGCGCGCGCGTCGATTTTAATCATGCGCGTCGATCTTTTTTTTTCCAAAATGTTCCGCGGTAGCTCCAACAGCGCCCTCTATTTCTGCACCTCCTCAATTTCTTTTACCAAAGAGCACCAAGGAATGGGAAATTGCACCAAGGCAAATGATCGAAAGCACAAAGGCAAATTATGGAGGACACTAATGTACATGAGGACACCCAAAAAGCAAAATAGTACCCCACCTTGTCTGTACAATGCCAGCTTGAAAAAAAAAAAAAAGCAAAAAAAAAAAAAAAAACCGCGTGCCCGCGTCAACTCCGGAACTTTGGTCTGACCAGAGACCGAATATTTTTTTTTTTGGGGCCTTACTAGCGTAAAGTTTATTTTCTCTTTTCAATTTGATTTGTAGCTGCAATGCTACTTGGTCTGATGGCCAATTTACACCTGGGTGTCAGGAATGTGGCGGCTACGCCTTGAGTCGGCCTTGTCCTATTTGCAGTGGCAGGTGCCAGGCTGTATGGAACAGAGACACCTATATGGTAGGCCGACAATTGATTCTTGGGACTGTGAGCATCAACCAACCACCCACCGAAATTGTTGCATCAACAAAAATTCTAAAGATGAAAAAATATTTTTAACAATTGGAAATTGTGATTTCTTTCAAAGGGGTGCATCTTCTCAGACACTTTCGACATTCTAATGACCTTGTTTTATCATGAAGGGAAGATTTACCTTGAAAGTTGTTTAAAAAAAAAAAAAAAAAAAAAAGTCCTAGTGGTACGCTACTTTACATATACCTTTATCAGGATATATTTCATTGGAGAAGTCGGATTTTGTTGAAATGGAAGAAATGTGTCACTTTTTTTTCTCTTGCTTGTGATGCAGAGTAACAAGATGAAGTCACCTTTTTGGAACGGTGATTGCCGACTTCCGGAGCCTGAGAAGCAGACCTACCTTGTCAGGACATTTGTTGAGAACACTGAAGACGCTCTGGTGGATGCAATGAACGATTTGTGTGGAAGCTGAGAAGATGATACAACAAAAGATTACAATAGGGACGATGTGGTCCTAGAGGTTTAATTTGCAAGACCAGTAATATTTTTATCCTTTCACTGAACTGCAGCAAGTCAGCACATCACCAGACAACAGGAGAGGAAAGGAGCACATGAAAGACCTCTAGGTGTCCCTCTAGACCTTGGTAATTGAGGATATAGGTCAAATTTTTGATAATAACATGAATCTTATCTGGGTCTTCTGAAGCAACCATTTCTCAACTTTTCTGACGAGCTTTGAGATCAAGATGTGCCTTTAAAGGGCCTATGCAATGTCATTTTCTTTAATGCAATGTCGTTTTCTTTAATGCAATCCTTGGAAATGCACCTTTGTGTCCCTTTGTGTCGCTATTTTCAAGTTTTGTTTTCCATTGTCTTCCATTTCAAGGATATTTTGGTGCCGCCTTTGTTTTTATGCTCATGGAAATTTTCATACTGGACCGGGACATCAGGGCCGAGATCACTGGGAGGGCTCAGCTGCCAAAGGGCCTCGACTTGATTGATTGATTGATTGATTGATTGAAATTTTCATATTTTCTTGAGCAAACTATAATTTCAGCACCAAAAGAATTTTCGGATAATTCGCTGTCATAAATTTTCTTGTTTTTGGGGAGTAATTCGTTGTGTCAGTAAATGGCAGTAGCCGGTGAGCAAACTTTTCTCGCAAATATTTTCAATCATTTTTTGGGGGGGTTCACAATTTGAACAGAAACCCCCTAAAATGAACAGTGGCATCACAGCAGCATCGCCCTCAGTTAACCAGGAAAGCATGGAAGAGTTTAAAAGAAGTGCACTTTTCAATAAAATCAACCAAACAGGGACAGTCAAGGATTCTTCATACATTTAAGTGGAGTACAAAGTTACACAAAATATGTTCCTAAGAAAAATTCACTTCTTTTCTAAAGAAGAAGGCGGCTCCGAGTTTGAATCTGATTGTCGTTTATTTTTATTTTCCAAAATAATGTTTACGGTGTAAAATAACATCAAATGAGTTAAGTATAAAAGTATTTTATACAACTTTTCTTGCAATAATTTGTAACGTACAACATTCCTCAGATTGCAAGTATCAAGAAATATAAAGTGTATTTAACTACGTGTATCAACAGTATAAAATGACTTCTGAGTTTTCTAATTACATGCTGTTTGGGTAAACATTTGTGTCCGAGAGTAAAAAAAAATTACAATTTACAGTCGAGTTTTGTTCTTGATTATTTCATGTATTGTAACAAGTTCGCGTAAAAATATATAATAATTGCAATGAAACGCCCAGTGATGGATACATTGATACCAAAATCAATACTTAAAAATTCAATTCTGGGCCCAATTTCATAGAGCTGCTTAAGCACAAAATTTGCTTAAGCACGAAAAAACATTGCTTAGTAAAATCACGTAACCCGCCAAAACTCCATGCGATGTACATTGCTTGTGACTGGTATTTAGCTGTTGTTTACTTAGCATAACAATCGAGTGGAGTTTTGGCCGGTAACCTGATTATATTAAGCAAGTTTTTTTTGTGCTTAAGCAAATTTTGTGCTTAAGCAGCTCTATGAAATTGGCCCAGGTATAATCTAACCACATTACCAATAACGTAATAACCAAGTTAATGGCATAAATGATTTTTACTTTTTGATTATCATTAATGTTTTTTAAAAACATCGTAGCGGTGGATAATTATCAAGCAAAAGTATACAGCCTCGGAAACTTGATAGAAAAAAAATCTTTAAAGACAAACCAATAATGACACGGTTTGCGGTGTACTTTGCAGCTGAAATATTTTTGGCAACAATTACTGTAATATATAAAAACCTTTTCAGTTACTGTTTACAAATTCTATATAATCAGTACTTCATCGAGTTGCAAAGAATAGTCATCCTGAATGATATTTTCATGGTTATCTAATAACGCCTGTGCTTTGTATAGTTTGAGATGCACGTGCTTATAACGAAGGCCAAAGTAATATACACTTTCAAACATTTCGGCAGTGGTTTATTCATGGATCTTGCGATAACAATAAAGGACATTTTGTTTCGGTGTCTACATTTCAAGGTCTACTTTTTGCATAAGATTGTAGACTTCACTTTGATACTCTTCAACCTCTTCATGCATGTAATTACAGCACCTGTCAAATTTGTCTATTGCAATTTTATCTGGTGGGAATAATTATCTAGGATTTTTCAATCAGTCCGTAGATTTCTCCCTAAAACAGATCCAAACTAGCCTCTTCGTCCCCAGCATTCTGCTGGATGTATTTTAGGATGTCACCGTCGTCCATTGTGTCGACGGTCTCAGCCTTTTGCCCTGTCTCCTCACTCTGTGATCCGCCGGTTGAGGGCGTCTTACCCTTCCTCGGGGCAGGCTTTGGCGGCGCTTTCCCCGGACCACCAGTCGACCGCGGTGCTGGGGTGGGTCTCTGGGCCGGGATGGGCTTCTTTGTGGGCGACGGAGGCTTGGGTTTTAAGGAGGGTTTCTGGGGAGCTTTGTCTGGCTTCTTGATGACATCTGAGAGAAGCTGGTCCAGGTCATCTTCGATACTGTCAAGACATTTTTTTTTCAAAATCGTTTAAAGAGTTCTTCAGCGATCGCTGTCCGGTTCGTAACTAACGTCTATAGAGACTGAAAGTACGCCATTTTGTCTTTGAGCTTCCGGACCCCTCCTTGACCCTTCTATGGGCATTCACACGGGGTTGCCCTTTCTCTTGCTATTGTTTTTGACAGAATGTTTACTGACCGTAATCACCCCCAGGAACATTCATGTTGGAATTTTATCTTGGCATTGCACGAGAAAAAAGGAGATAAGAAGTAAGGTTTTAACGAAATAGATATATGGATTTTACTCAAACACTAGGAATTTCCAAGGTGGGTTAATGTGTCGCAAATGAAATAGTTTTAGAAATTAAGTCCGAATTTCAGCCAAGGAAATTAATTCTGGTTAAAATAAGAGCATTTTAATATAATATGCTTCACCGTGTGAAGTACGCATGGTTAAGATGTGGTGACGTCACGAACCGCATGAAGCACTCAGGAAGTGAACATTAACTCTTTTCACACTCCGCCATTGGGCATGCAGAGCCTCGATCTGGCACTTTACACAAACAAATAGCCGGTTCAGTGATCTGAACCCCGACACGGGAATCACTGAACCGGCTATATTTATTGTGTAAAAGTTGCCAGATCGAGGCTCTGCATGCCCATGGCGGAAGTGTGAAAAGAGCATTACGTAAATCTCCCATTTGAGCTAGACCCGAGTTTGCCTATGACAAACTCGGGTCGTACCTACCGATTTCAGATTAAGCAGCTTTCAACGCGATCTCTCTTATCTGATCAAGAGTTAACGAGCCGTGAACAGGTGGTGTATGGTGCCTCTGCCTGTGAGCTTACTGACAAAAAATATCTACCAAAGTCTACTAGGTTCTTGTTTATAATGTAAAGTATTTGGAAAAGTGTCAAAAGTTATTATGTGAGCAACTTTGAATCATAAAAATCGATCAAATATATCTCGAGATATCAAATAAGAAACAGTCCGACTTCAGCCATGCTCTTCAAGGCACACACACTGCAAGTAGTCCCGGCTACCAGATGTGCATGCCGTAATTGATAGGGCAATTACCACGGCTCATGGTCACTGGCCCTGGGGAAGTGGGTGCCAGGGTAAGTGTTTATCTTATAATTACTTTACTGATAACAGCTGATAAGAGTCACAGTGAAATCGGTAGGTACAGTTCAGGGGTTTTGGCAAATGGGAGTTTCACGTAATGGCAATTTAAACAAACTACTTTTTTTCAGAATTGTGTGGTCGACCTTACTTCAAGAGGTCTTTATCCTCTTCTTCATCCAAAGCAAGAAATTCAGATGTCTTCTTGTCAGTCTCGTCAGCTCCGGGTGGAAGGTAAATCCCTGCTGCATTATCAATGTCTGTCATATCCTCCAGGTTGTCTGAGAAAAGCAACACCCCTGTGTCTGATTCAGATATAAAAACAAACAGACAAACGCACAAACAATCAATTAAAAAAACTGAGATAAAAACCTTGGGCAATGGAAGACTTTTGAGACGTTGATGGCAGCAAACACACCGATTGTTGACGTCATGTTTAAGCTAAGGCACGCATGCTCAATAGGACGCAACCAATTTAAAAAAAAAAAGGGCCGGCGGTGTTTGCTGCCACCAACGTCTCAAATAGTCTCCCGTTTGTACCGAGATGCTTTGTGGAAGACCAATTCATAAAAGCCTCATCCCGTTTGTTTCGACCAATCACGGCCAAGATTAATGTCCTAATTCAGTCCCACGCGCGCAGATTTGCGTACAACGTGCGCGTCTACAGCACGCACAGTTGCATTGGATGCGAGCGCACACGTGCGAAATGGGCGGGGCCTAAAAGGATACATGTCTGTGGCACAGAGAGCTAGCTGCCACAATTTAAAAGCAAGGACATTTTTGGCAGAAATCACCTTGCCTTTTAAGATTTCCTTTCAGCTACTAAAAACGTACTGAGAACGTACTGAAAATTAAGACACTCATGAACAGAAAATAAACTTGGGGACATAATATAGGCCATCATTAACATTAACACGTACCTAGATAGATAAGGAAAAACCACGTATGATGTGACCTCGCACAAAATGAATTTGGAAAATGAATTTATAATCAGTCTTTTGCCTCTCATGGTTATTTGGATCATTTGCCCTATCCAATCTGCGGTAGTGTGCCTACCATTGAAAGTTCTAATTAATTTAGCAGGTAGCGGGATATTCGCTCCCCCCCCCCCCCCCGCCCTGCATGCAAACAGGACGCTGGGATGGGCTGATGAATTCACGCTCTGATTGGATAGATTTCGCGTGACATGTGACCTGCGACCTACAAGTCATCACGGCCAAGATCTTAGACCCTGCAAGGTTTCAAACGGCCGTTAAGACTGAGTCATCACTCTTTTATTCCCATTCGTAAATGTTTTTTTTTTTCGTTGAAAAGCGTTATAATGTAGGACAATTTGTAAAACATATCTGTTTTGTAAATTTTCAATTCTCGTCACTTGCTCAGGCTCCGTTTCGGATTCATGAAGGGTCAAATTGCAGATTAAGCGACGCTCAAATTAGTCTACAAAGTCATGGTCCGCAATGAAACAGAAATCACATTCGGTATGGAATGTGTGCATTTTCTATGCGACAGTTTCTGGATAGCATTTGCGCGCAATGGCTAACCGCGGTCTTAAACAGCTGCAGCCAGATGTCTTTGTACACATGGGTCATGATAAGTTACCCAGAATGCCATCTCTACTTCCTTCACAAGATTCTGTGAAGCTCATCAGCCCTTCCCAGCGCGCCCTGTTTGCAGTGCGGGGGTACGAGCGAAAGCGGGCTATCGATCCATGCAGATGAATCACATGGTCTCAGCTGTTAGTTGCCGGTGGAGATCTTTTTGTTCCTGTTTGAAAATAAAATTAGCAAACCTCCCTCAACTCGGACAAAGACCTTGGCATACATCTATAATTCACTTGCCCGTCTCATTAATTTCTTGGCTTTTATTATCATTCCGAGTTCTCATTCATTACCTCCACAAATTTCATTTCGTTACTCGCGATCTACATTTTCTCTCCATTTAGGCCCCATTTTCCTTCATCCACTACTCTAATTTTCCGTCCACTTTCTTCTCGTTTCCTCGATTCAATCAACATCACTCATCCTTCCAATCCTTCGACGGAAATAAAAATAATAATAATAGTAATAATAATAAAAATAATAATAACTGTCGTCAATTTTTCTTAATAAAGCCAACAAATTTAATTTACCTGTACTTCGCATCAGTTTGAAGCCAGTGAAGATAATTAAAACAGATGTTGAATCATTGAGCTATCTTTACAACATCACATATTTTAAAGAAGTGATAAGGTTTAAGTTTTGAATTCTTCCAGAGCGTTTCGATAGATGTTGTACAATTGTTATTTCCTGTTTTTTTTCTTCAAGATTTAAAACAGTAGGGTCGTTGTAAAGAAAGGGTCGGACAAAGCGATGCAAAAAAAAAATAAGCAGAATGAACCAGATTAAAATATTCCAAATCGTTTATTTACACGATATAATGTACAACTGAGTATGAGATTTGCGACATAAGCATATTTTAATGTTTAAGACCACCAAGTATTGAAGGTTGTACACGAAAAGACAGCATCAATAACATTCCATATAGAAGTGTATAAAAATATAATCCTTGTTCTTAAAATGACAAACTCCGACTACAATAGTCAAGTATTTATGTTGTTTAAAATTGTTCACTCTTGAACATTTCACTACTTTTAATTATGTTTTTTACTAAAAAAAAACAAACAACTACTGTAACTGCATGAGTTCGGTAACACGCTCTTTACAACAGAGTCATCTCTTAAAAGGTAACAATTGGCATCAAACAATATAGTTGTATTTTTACAACAAACTAACAAAACCATGGAGAATGGCGTGCGTCTATCTCCGTATTAGGAATGGTTTACGACTACTTGTGAGAGGCACATATCATAACATAGCCAAAGAGGTGTTTCGAAAACCATGAAGTAAATTTGTTGAACAAAGTCTTTTGGCAATTCATAATTTTCGACTTGTTTTTGACTTTTTGACCGAAAAGGTATTGATGAGTTGGAATAAATATGTGCTTGGCCGGTATTAAACGAGTCCGTTAAGACCAGTTTGGGGAATGGACGCTGATAATGTCCCTTGTCTTCGGGTTGGGTAATTCATTCCAAACCGGTCTTAAACAGACTTGTTTAAAACCGGTCAAGCAATATTTATTTCCTTCTTTGAATTTGAATGGACTAAATCATTACTTAATACGTTTTTCTGAAGGAGTATATCAACTGAACCTTTTTGACAAATTATTTCTACAAAATTATATAATCTTGATACAATTATATAATCTTGATAATTTTATCACGCCTTTAACTTTATGCGAATCCCAAAGAGTAATCATCTGACAGGCGTGAAATAATTCAAATAATAATAATAATTTCAAAGCAGATGCACCTTTGGTAAAATTCCTCTGTTTGAGTGGATACCACACTTGATCCCACCGGTATTTACACGGCGCCTATGTATCACTAGCGACATAATAATTATGACGTCAGTATCAGATACCCCTGCTCGATGAGTTTATGATCAATTCCGACATAGGGTCAAATCCACACGCATAGAGCAACTCACAAAAAACTCATTTAAAACGCACTTTACAATCATCTCTAGATACCAACCCCTCTTCATCAAATATTTCATCAACTAAAACTTACTCTCAAACAACGCGGTTACGTTTAAATTATTTGAAATTGCACAAATCAATACGCACACAGAAAACGTAACACATCCACTTTAAAAATCATCTCTGACTGCCAAATCTCGGTGCCTCTCTTCAGTAATATTACGATCACGACTGATTGTACCTTAACATCCTTTTATACGAGTTATTTAAAAACAAACCAAGTCTGAATAACGGCATTTCATTTCATCCACGCTCTCTCTCCCCTCTCCGTCTGCCTACGTACTGGCAATCATGTTATACTTGGTATACGAACATCCATTTACAATCGATTAATTTACAGTCGATCACAAGTACATGTGTACAGGGCGGTGCAAAAAAGAAGGACACCCATATTTGACAGCAATTTCCATCTACTTGTTGAGCATATTTCCAAACTTCAATTGAATGGTATTCAAATATTGATCTTTCCAAATAAGTGACGAAAAAAATGATTGAAATTGCATATTTTGTCTTTGAGATATGCAGTTTGAAAATTCCATGTGCAAAACCTGTTTGTTCACGAAGCTTGAAAAAAAAATACACGTGATTTTGGTGATTTTGTATTTAAATTGGCATAATAACACTATTCTTGCGATATTTGTAAAGATTTTTTTTTCACCACGTATGGTTGAAGAGCTATACTTCACTGATAAAAAAAGTTCAAATAAACTAAGTAAGTAGTAAGTAGGTTAAAATTCCTGTCAAAAGTGGGTTTCCTCCTTTTTGCACCCCACTGTAGAGAATTGGGCCATCTCGTTTCCGCTCATTTATCACAAAAACGATAAAAAGGAGAGATTTGAGCCATTGGTTCGTTTAATCACAACAACGCCCAAACCGCACTTTCGTCATTTTCCAGTCAAGAACATCAGAGTTTAATGGCGTTAGGCCTAATGGTAGGAGAAGGTTTGATGTGGAGCTTTGTGGTCCAATGGTTACGGTGTTCGACTCGCGTGCCGTGGTACATGGATTCGAACCCTGACGGGGAATATGGTGCTTGTGTTCTTGGGCAAGACACTTTACTACAATTGCCTCTCTCCACCCAGGAGTATATATAGGTACCTGTGAATGTAGAGACCAGATTGCGCTGATCTCGAGTTTCTGCGAAAACTGGTTTCATGGCCTGATGAATAGGAGTAATTATTGTAAGGCGCTTTGAGACCATAAAGCGCTATATAAGCACATTATTATTAGTAGTATAGTAGACAAAGCCGGGAAGACATAATTTCAAACCTTAATGTCGATTTGTTAATTAACGATTTTTGTTCGGTTTGCGTGATACAATAAAATGTCAATTAGTTGGTTAAGACATGGTAATTTATCTCAAACAAGCGCACTCACTGTTTGTATAGACACCGTTTTGGCGTCAAACAAGCGCGATCACTGGTCTAACATGATTAAAGGACATATTAGGTAGGAAACCGATGACTGATGATCTGCTGGCACGTGTGGGAGAAACAAATTCAGAACATGTTGACAGGATTCCTGTCACAGGTGTTTTTAAAGACTCAAAATACGGATCCACCACTCGCATTCCTTAGCCAAAAATCATTCAACACACTTCAAAAAACATCCATTGCATGTTTCACACCAATCAGTTCACAGCAAATACGCAGATAATCTTCCTCAACCTAAACCAATTCACCTGTTCACATACCACTCGCACAAGCAGTTGCCTGGACTAAAAAAAAACCACACATTTACCTCCAGAAATTCAACGTGAGAAGAGACTGGAATTGTCGGAAATATTGTTTACACAACTACATCCATTCTAAGTAATGTTCACACGTACAGGGTGAGTCAAAAAGAAAACCCAAAATGGCGCCCCCTATTTCTTTTGAAAGAAGTTCTGCATGTAGCACTTTTCAGATCTAGGATGTGAAAGCCCAAATTAGAAGATCGTTCAAATCACTCATGTACTTTTTTAGTTAGGAAATTTTGTCCACGGCATTAAGGTACGTGGTATTTCAGCAAAGATGAAACCATGTCGTGTCATGAAAACGATATCAGAATAATCCCATAAGTCTCCAGGGTAGCCAGGTATCCGGTTCGTTAGTGTGACGTCACCTCCAGCACTTTCTGCACGACTGGAACCGGAAGTTAACGCAGCTTGAGCGTTTGTAGCCAATAGGCGCTCTAGAAATCAATGGTGGGCGCGCGTGAATGACGTTTTTACTAACGAACCGGATAGAAGGCAGGGCAAGACTAAAAACTCTTGACATTTTAAAGCATGTTTTTTTAACATTGGAAGCAGAAGGTGTTTAAATAAAGGTTATGATAAGTGCCAGTTATCATGGTTATGAGAGTGTTCTGATTTTTTTTATATGTATTTTTTTTTCGTTTTGCTGAAATATCACTCACCCGTGTGATCCATGAATCCGTGTTTAAAATTCCATAACTGGAAAAGTACATTAGCGATATGAATGATTCTGTTACTAAAAGAAAGCTTATCAATTGGGCTTTCGTATCCTAGATCTTAGGGGTGCTACATGCAGAACTTCTTTATAAAAAAATAAAAAATAAAAAAATAGGGAGTGCCATTTGGGCTTTCTTGTTTTTCTCACCCTTTACATTTTCAGTATCATACCAAGCTAACAAAATCTGAACTATTCATAAATACCCAAGAAAGGAATACCCATTCCTATTGGTCTAGAGCCCGTCACGTGGCCGGTTTTAAACGGTTGATAAAGACATGGTTGGCTGGTCTTAAACACTTCTCCCATGTCACATGAAATTTTGACCCCTATGAAATCCGTTGCCAGCACTGTTTTATTGGTTGAACGTGCACAATCTTCACGAAGGCATGCGCAAAGCTACCAGTGAGTCAGTATTTCATAGTCCTAAATTCACCCTACACCGGTACATCTGCGTTATGCGCCACATCACGCAGTACGCGCGACGCGCGCGTCAATCTCGGCTTCGGCTCGGGTAATGGACCGATCCAGTAAGCCCCGCCCACTGCGCACAAGGCAATTATCACGCGCTCCTCTCCAATGCCACGCTGCATTTTCCTGCCGCGCGCTTCATACGCGCGTGCACGCATGTCGGACATTTGTGCACGCACGTCGGACATAAATCACGGCTGTGATTGGTAAGAACACCATGGGGCGGTGCTTACTGGATCGGTCCATTATCGGCATCCAGACTACAACCGGTCTTAAACAGAGTGTTTCATACCTCCCAAGCATACATTTATTCCCTTACTATGAGCTTCAAGCTTGAAACTAATGGTCAACTCTTATGGACTACAACAGTTCTGCTCTATCTTGCGCACAAAGTAATACAAGCAGTTTCAGCTCGATCATCACATTCAAACTGCTCCGTAACATTCCTTCATAATCCGCACACCATGCAATCATTCCAGCTCTTAAGCCAGTAGGCCAGCTGCATTGAGGAAACTTTACCAATGGTGTCAAGGTGCTTGCATACCAGCCAACAAATAAAGTATGTTGATTTTGGCAGAGGCGCATGATTAAACGTCTTGTAATCCTACAGGTTACCAAAAGGTCAACTACAATATCCTGTTTAGCGATGTTGTTAAGCAATCAAATAATATCTGTAGTAGTTTTACAATAGTAATTATAGGCCACATGCATCGAGGAAAGTCTACCAAAGGTGTCGAGATGCTTTCATATCAGCCAACAGGTAAAGTATGTTGATTTTGGCAGAGGTGATAAAACAATGGTAATCCCACGGGTTACCAAAAGGTCAACTACAATATCATGCCTGTTCAGCGATGTTGTTTAATAAGTAATATCTGTGGTAGTTTTACTATTATGCATTAATTACATGTTTTTTTATTTTGTATTTGTTATTGTACGTGTATGTAGTCATGTGTAATGTATGCAGGGTCCCCATGGAAACCAGTTTTAATCGCTTGGGCATACCCTTGGTAAGGAAATGTAATGTAATAAACATTGCAGCATATATTGCATTCCAAATATTCAGAGCTATACTTCTAAAAACTCTGCAATGTGATACAATACTATATATCATATCAAATAGTTTATACCATTTCTCTTTGATACAGGTGAATTAGATAATAAACATCTGCAAATCAAATTAAACTACACACAAAATTATAAGAAAAATGTATTTTCCTATCAACGTATAGCTAACTGTCGTCAAATGATCCCCAAAATCGTATCAGTCACTTGAAACTGCGTTTTCGTGATTTTGTAGGATCAACAATTGACCTTTGTTTTCTAAACTCCTTGTTATAACTGGAAAATCCATAAAATCAAGAGAAATAACGGACGAAGATGTGCTCATTATACATATGTCATTCCTGCCGTGCTTGGTTGCAGTGAGCGCCGTTCATGTTTGTCGCCCAAGAACCAGCGAGTGCAGATGACGCGTTCCTGCAGAAACATAAATGAAAGAAACACGAACTTGTTTAAAATTGGTACAACTCTTTATCTGGGAGTTGTGCGTACTATAGTATTAAGGTTAACATTCGGCAACGGACGGCCTTTTTATCCTTAATGCTAAACAAGAAGCAGAAACTCAATGGAGTGTATTGAAATTCAAACAAAGTTCTCTGATATTGTTGCAAAATTGGTAAGCATATAAATACGTTAGTTTAACAAATCAAAACAGGTATAATTTAAGTGCAATTTAGTGATTAAAGCATTCGTTGAAAGTGCATACACACATTTTTGATAATTATGGACTTGCTTCGAACATTTGCATGAAATAAAACGTGAGTGAGATATTTACGATCAACACAATGTCGAGGTCCCTCGGCATTTCAGGCAATGAGGATCAGCAGTCGTTTGGAAGGTTTCATGGTGCCGACTACGTGTGGGTGAGACACAAGACTGGGACAAAATGTGCACAAAATGAAATGAAAACAGTGTCCACATCAAACACACAATGATCAATTCAACAACAAAATAACCGATCAAACTTTATCACAACATTTCGAGATGGCAAACTCAAAACAAAATTCATGGATTGAAAGTGATGTAATTCTATTAAAACTGTTTCACATATACCTGCATGTACTGTACGATTTGAATTGAAATATCGAATGTAGATCAAGTGAGTGCGCTAATATTTTAGATTGCACCTTATTCTATTCCATGATAGTACGGCAGATTGGCGATGGAATTGTTCATTTGATGATACAAGCATGGAATTTCGCACACAGTCAGAGTATGTCATGAGAAATATGCTTGTCTGTAGGGCCATCGCAGATTTGTCCTTTGAAAAAAAATACTGGTAGAATAACAAGCAATGGCAGCCATTTTGTAAATTGTGAAAATTGAGTGTTGTACGTATATTTCTTCCAAGTACAAATCTGCGATGGACCTATAGCTACAACGTTTTTCTAGGGTATGTTATAACCGTGTGCCAACTATCATGCGTTTATCATCAAATGAACAATTTATTTTGCACCAATCTGTCCGACTATGAGCGGTTTACATCAACTTGTGATTTATTGTGTGGCTAATAGGTTTTGGTGTTTTGGAATAACTTCAGCCTTTTGTACTGTCTTTCTCAGAAACAAAGGTCACTTCCCCCTTCCAAATCGACCAATGTCTGGTTTAATGTACAGGTATTTACGGTCTAAATTAAAGTGTGTTAACAAAATTTGCATGCTCACCATTACAACAGAGCATCAAAGCAACAGAAAAGCTCATGCGACAACATGCTGCGAAACGTGCCTTCAAACATACACCACTGACGATAAACCACAAAGACAAACGAGACCGATGTCTTATGATACTACTTAGGCTACTACAATCAGTCCAAGTCAACATTAATTTACGTGTGTTAGCTAAGAACTGATGACACTAGAAGATCCATATTTTTCATATGTGAAAGTCAACAATATTTTGACAAAACCTTATTGCAAAACAACCTGAAACCTAACACTCTGTAAAACTCAAGGGTCACCAAATCATCATAACAGCTCCTAAAAAATCACTCAATAAACCAAACGACTTTCACCAAACTCCCCATAGGCACATTGATTTCATATCAAATAACCATAGAGTCAACGGACCGGCTACAACGAGACCAAACAATCAATGGGCACAACATCCTGTTCTTCATGATGAGACGGCTCTTCGTTTTATATGGACACATATCAGGTTATCTGGATGGACGCCACCAAGTCGACTTCGTCCCAAACACGACTTTGAATAACTTTCTGAGCAGACGTTACACCACTTTTTCCTCATCTACGACGCCACGTTCAGTGAACATACAACCACGCTTGTCAACCACAAGTGTTGATTTTGTTTGGTAATAGCTAAGCTCAACCACATCCTGAAAAATCATCCACAAAATGTACCAATTGTATCAAGTTTACATCTTTAAAGTAACGTTCTTGTATGACAGTGTTGTTACACGGACAATGAGCCAAATGTCACTCTTATCTACTCAATTTGAAATTATAGTGACTGACCGAAAAGAATGGTCACGTGGAAGAATCAAAGTCACGTGACCAGACCAGACTCGCGAGAGGGAATCAAAAACCATGTCAATCAAGAGATGCAATTACTGTCTGAAGGAGTAGGGTCTAGATTGAAGGAAAACAGCTAAATTTGAAGGACAACAAGCTAAATTGTTCGGTATACGGGAAATATCGCAATAATGACAAAAACTCTACGCAATGACTATCGAACATCACAAACTATACCACAAGTACTTCAGAAAGCAAGGGGTAACAATTACATTCTACCACTGCAAGTTTCGATCTAAGAACAATTCTCTAGGCCATATGCGATAATCTCCTACTTTAATACAGCATTTATTATCACTTTTGATCTTTAAGTGTATTCCTTTACCTTGGTTTTTGCCCTCTTTGGTTGATAAATTCCCGAAATTCTCATGAACACAAATTCAAATATGCAACAGCTCATTGATTTCTCAAATATTTACACTTTTTAAATTAGATATAATCTTCTACTCATCCAAAGGGCTTAGAAATGTATTGAAGAATACCAATCAGAATGACTGGTTTTTCATCAAATGATGATATATAAAAGCCAATAAAATCTAATCACCCGATGTCCTCTGAACTACTTATTTTGTTTTGCCTACACTACGACTGTCTATGGTATATCTTCTTAATGTTTGCTCTATATAATATCTGGTGTACGGGAAAGGCTAGATACCTATAATAGTTCTATAAAACCTGCTACATGTTTTGATGAGGATGAAATCAAACAATGAGTTAGTAAGCCAAAACAAAATTCGAAATCATAATCTTGCCTGGAAGTCCGAGCCTCTAAGAAAGCAAAACCGAAACACATTAATTCATCCATGCAAAGCACGATGTGTTTTGTACTTGAGCCAGGTGCCATGCAAGACTACAAACACAGAAAATGGTGGATGAGCATTGTACCTCGTCTTGCGTCAGGGCGCCAGACTAGCTCCCATCTCGTTAGCGGCTTCTGGGGCAGACTTGTATAGAAAGACTCATGGCAAGTGTCAAAGAATTTACAAGTGTACAGCGAGCAAAAAATGTGCCAAACACACACCACAACAGGCACGAACGAGAATACTGTGCCAACATTTAAGTTGATGTTTGCATGACGTCATTCTCCAAACGAATTATTCGTCTTGTGGAACAACATTCTGTGCATGTCGTGGTTCTGGGTGAAGCAACTTTTGCTCAAAGAATAATGAGATGTTCTGACAGTATACACACTGAGCAAAAGGTAGGGAAACAAGAAGTGGTGAAAAAAGTGTACAAGCAGTGCAGACAAACGCTTTTGAAGCCAGCTTTTCTGACAAGTGGAACGTAAAACGTTACGCATAACTTAAGGCAACGTTGCGTAAACGGAACGCATAACTTAACGGAACGCATTACCGCAGGACAACGCTTTCTCTCAAATAATATTTCACAAAATACTGCTGGAATCAATCAAGCAAATTCCATCAAAGACACTACACTGCGGAATTCAAAACAAAGGCATTTACCAAGCCTAATGTCTCATTATGTTGAATGGTTATTATTTTATAGTCGTCAAAAGCAAAGCAGAAATAGACTTTTTGGCAATGTAGTGTCAATTTTTAGGCCCTTTCCGGGATTCAACGTTCTCGGTTCAATAAACACATAACAGCATCAGACACTGTGGATCACACTTAGGAAAGACGCCATCAACAGGACACAACCATAAATGTTTACCAAAAACAATGAGGATCCAAATATCAAAAAGTTGGAGTACGTCGCAACGAAAACACAATCACGAAATACTCAACCTGAAAATGACAAATCACTCAAATAACACATAAATTACAGTGACATTTTATTTCCATTGTCAACTTTCATTGTAAATTTTTTTATTACGAGGTTGCGCACAAGAAAATGCAGCTATATTTTGCATCGAAAACAGAAAAATGTTCTGAAATCATCCCGCCAGCAATTTAGACCCTCAAACTCAAATTGGTTATAAAAAAACGACAGACACAATGAGAGCACGAGGATAGCAGACTGTAAAGCGAGGAGCAGAACAAATTATGCGAATAAGCACGCGATATTAAAGAGCAAGAAAAAGAAATGTGCCGGTTGGCAAAAAAAAAAAGGATCGAGTATAACTCTCAGCACAAAACAGCATTGCAGCAATGAAAATAGCAAAGAAAAAAAAAACAATCACTAACATTAAGATTAAATAAATTTGTGATGTAAAGATGTGACATCTTTGCCACAGCGAAGCAATGGGGCTAGGCTATTAAACATCCTCCTGGGAAAAGAAAATTCAACAAAGTACCTCATTTTGACTTTGCAAACTTGACTTTAGAATACTTTATTGTCAGTGCACATGTTAGGATTTGAAATGTTTTAGGTATACGTATATACATGCCTACGACTAGATCCCACCTGCGACGGCCATGGCATTCACTGTTCTATATAAGGGCATTTAATTGAATTTTAGTTCGCCTTGCCTCAATATGCGTCCCCGTTTGTCAAATTAATTTTATCTGGAGCATCTCCTATATTATGTCATCCTTGAAGTTAACATTATGCTTCTCTATAGGGAACGCCAAAATGTAATAAGTAAGAATCCACGGTGAAATACACTGCATCTAAAATTTCTACTAGTGAAACATTTTATATCAGTATCTAATGAATACTTCTGACACAAATTTGATGTCGTTTAACATTCCTACTCTGTCATTATTAGAATTTGTTAATGCTAATTCGCATACATCCGTCATTAATACTTTTCGTCAATGTTTCGCTCACTTCAAACACTTCCAAGAACCAACTCAGAATCCACAGATAATCTAGAGGGAATTAATGTGATCTCCTTCAACTAATCATCCAATTTAAGGTCAGTCTGCAGGCTTAATTTGTAAAGAAAAAGATGGTCAATCCCTGACGACTCCCTCTTCGCTTTACGCTCCTGTGATCTGAAAACCCCATGCCTTTCTCTCAATTAACATTTTGAATTACTAATTCTAACTGAACTAATGCACCTGTAATATACAAAGTCAATTTTCAATCGACAAAAAAAAAAAACTACAAAATTTACAGTTGCATCCATAAAATCTACTTAATGTTACAACAAACGATATGCATAATGGTCAATTCTGTACAACTTAAAATGCACAGTTTACTTCGAATGAATAAAATATTCATATATTATAATTATATTTATATATATAGTGCAGAAATCATCCATTGATGAATTGATAAAAATATTTGTTAATACTTCAATATCGCTAAACAAATTTAGACACATGCTTGAATTATTTACACATATTCCCTTTCCGCATAATAAACGTCCATTATTTCCACCATATTTTAGAAGCAATCAATGCTTTTCAAATTTAATAATTAGGCTTTGCTAATTGCGACGATTATACAAACTAAGAAAAGTTCGTCTTCAAATTTCGTGTTGAATCGTTTGAAAAAAAATAAAAAATTTAATAAAATGCTGAACAGTTTCCTGTAATTTTCCATCTCTACTTTGATTTGAATTGAATTGAATTTGAATTTTGTCGAATGTTTTAGCTACCGTCCCGTTATTTTAAAACTATCAGCCCGGTGCGAGTACTACTGATGCACATCTATCTATTGTTTGAGCTTCGGTCTTCTTTTGGATTTCATCTTTGAAGGCCAAAGCAGTAATACTGAAAAAGCATTACATCTAAATATGTTTATGTCTCGCAAATTAAAGCGAAGTTTATATCACTAATCACTGCTAACAACTACGATTACCAATTGCTGCTCCTACATACCAAGAATACAATTCCAATTGCCAAACACATCATATTCACTGAAGATAAGCTACAAACACTCACTTAAGTTTGAAAATTAATACTGAAGACAGGCGTACGTGTTATAAAGACCAGAGGTTCAACACGATGAACGTGTAAGGAAAAACAAAGAAGTCGAGTATGTTGCAAAAGGGCAGATCCTGTAAACGATAGCGATATAATTCGCTGGAGTTCAGCTAGAGTGAGTTCCAACATGTGTGAGGGCAAATCAGCAGTTTAATCTTCCCAAAATATCATTCAAAATAGGCCACTCAAAATGCCACTTATTTATCATTTTGAAATGCTCCTAACGTACTGATAGTTTCATCGAATACAGAGGACACGCTGAACACTGCAGAACACAGTTCGTTAAAAATAACTCCTGGAAATACCTGACTGAGGTAATTTAGTGTAGCAGGACATAATATGCCGTGGCGTGAAAACGATTCACTTATTAATGTTGGAGTTGCATATGTACAAACATTTCGGGTGGTGATTGTGTATCATCTCTTCAATATAATCCCCTAGGCTAAACACTGACATGTTTACGTTACATACCTAGTGTGGACATTCTTTTGTTTTCGTGTGGTCACAAAACTCATTTTACTCACACTGTGAAAACTCTTTCAACCCAAATTGTTTTCTATGGTTCCCTTTAATGTTTCTCCTCAATTTGACACAGGTAACCCGAAAATGCCTCTTAACCTGTTTTCCAGAGAGGGGAAAACCTTGTGTGGACGTGGGCAAGTCCACACAAGGTCGCTGCTACCTGGTTTGTTATGACATCTTTTGTTCGGAAGTCCACACAGTGAATGTTATGCTTGTACACACCCCTCATAGCTCAAACATATAACAGAAATAACAATTACCGGGAATGGGTCATTTGGGAGACAGTCCCATAGACTTGTGCACAAAATTTTTCAAACTTCAATGTGCCCTAACCCAATATTCCCTTGTCCTTTTCCCACGAATTTCAGTATTTTTACTAATTAGACCACGAGCAACAAATATAACCTGATTGCGACCGTAAAACTGTGCCTCTAAAGGGGGGCTGTGGAATTAGGGAGACATGAAAATGTCCCCCTAATGACCAGTGTCTCCCTATTGTCGAAGAAATTACGATAACGTGTCTCCCTAATGGTACATTTGTGGGAATATTCCTCCCCAGAAAAGTCATGAAACTACACCAGTCAACCAGATTAGCGAGCAGTACTCATAAAGACAGAAAAACCTCCACACATTCACATAAATCATGCATTACGTAAAAGCAACAAATCTGTCATGCACAGCGCAAGCATAAACTGCGTCAGCGTCAACGCATTTTTGAATATAAGGAATTGGTTGAAGCAGATTGGACCAAGATAACTTCAAAAAGACAAAATCATCCAAACTTTTTTTTTCATGCTGATAATTTCTGGGGGTTTTTTTTAACGCGTTTTGGCGCGTTTGTTTCTACCAGCAAAGATATAACTATGTACTAAAAAAACTGAGTACAAAATATCGGAAACAGTATAGACAGACAAACTCGAAAATCCCCCAAAAGATCGAGTCTCAATCTTAGTCAAGAAAAGTGGTTGAAAATTGGGATGCACTTGGCGAAACATTACCACAGAACGGATGGAACCACCTCTTGTTTGACATGAAATGTCAAAGTTACAATTTTTGTCCCAAACTCACTTTATGCATAGAACATCATACATCATACTCGTATATGAAACAGTCCACCCCCAAAAAAATTGGAAAATATATACCAAAACAAGTACAGCTTGCACAAAGTTGTTAAATTAATGAACATGTCCCTCCACCTATAACTCCAATAGCAACGAACTCGGCACTATAGTCTGAATGTACATTTTGTCATTTTTTGAACTGGTAAATCATATGTACAACAGGGTCCCAGCAAGCGATAAAACATTTGCATGCACAAGCATGGGTAATCACGTGGTTCAAATCATGCTGTATTGAAACAGTTTCTTGGTGGGGGGTGTTCATTCAGTTTAAGTTGGAATGGGAATCCATAAAAAAATCCAGCTGTTTCTCTCTACATAAAGCAAAGTCAATCCAATAAAGCAATTTCAGCGACCCAGAATGGTCGTCATATCAGCCACATATTCATGCATTTATAACATGCTCATTCTACCACGCGTCACACAGATGTCTGCGTGACCACTGACGTGGTGGTATATCCCCCTCTAGAGTTCGGAGGCGACCTTACTTCTTGACAGAGGATAGTCTTCTTGAAGGCTTGACGGAACCTGGCTGACATGATATTATAGAGGATGGGGTTGATGGTCGCGCTGGTGTACATCAGAACGATGGAGATCTTGTAGAACACATCGAAGTAAATGATCGGTAGGTTCTCATACGGAATGAAGTTTGGAAGGATTCTGATGATGTGGAACGGCAGCCAACACGAAGCGAAGCAACCAGCCACCAGAGCTACAAAGGCAATAAAAAACAAGACATTGGAATGAAGAGTGTGTTTCCCAAAACGCAATATACATGTACGCTATTTTGTTCCCTTTTTAAAATCCTGCTCTCTCCTGGCTGCCAAAAGCAATTTCGACGGCTGTTATATGCTTGAATACAACTTAGGAATACACTAAAGCGAAAAATGAAGTTAAGAAACAGCCGTTATATAATATTGCTTGTATTCTTTGCAACAATTTCACTTTTTTTTCAAATAGATCTGCGCGTTTTGAAAATAAGGTCTTCCAATCGATATCAAAATCAGTACCAAATATTTGTGAATACAGAAATACTGCGAATTTGTGATCAGTAACTACTGCACATTGCTTTAGAAGTCTGCATGAGTCGTCAAGTTATTGACCCCTTGCAACAGCGCTGTTTTGCGTACTCATCAGAGTAAGGACGCGCTGAATTACTTGCTAAGGCTACGGCTTGAAATTGTGCATGGACCTATGGAAGATATCCCATAGACACACGCGTGTTACTGCCGGACGCAGTGGGACAAGTAGAGTACACTCACAAAAGGCATACGCGCGAGTGTGTGATACCGCCACAAATTATTGTGGTCGCCATAATGGGCTCCGTGCACAAGTACCCCTTCAACGCCAGAAAAGGAGAGTTGGGGGAGACCTCGACTGGTTCCCGGTCCATCCACTGCGTATTTCGAATGATCCAATGTTATTGGGGCGGGGATTAATCTTGGAGACCATCGCAAGTCGTGCATACTTCGCGCGCGCACCAGTACAGTACGCACCCGCGGTGTCCCGTCCAAGGCATAGACATATAAATAAATGTATTATATGTCTCTGTCCAAGGGGCTCTCACAAGTGGTAAAAACGCGCCATCTTTTTTTTTGGCGCACGGAGCCCATATTCACAGAGGATACATTTTTGTACAGCACTCATGGATTACATCTGTTTTCCTCAGACAAAAGCACATTATAACAAAGTGGTTCTAAAAACTCACCAAGCATTTTAACAATCTGTTTTCGAGATCGCTCAATAGAGTTCTCTTTCTTCTTCTCATTGTGGTTGATTCCATTTCTGTTCCTCGCTCGTCTTGAGTTGCGTCTCACCGCAACCTCCACGTTCACCCCGTACAGCACTCTCGCAATCAAGGAGTAAAAGATCGTGATCAGGATCATGGGAATAAGAAAGAGCAGCGTAGCGGAGACGACATAGAGACGGTCTATGATGTTGTTCCACTCATTTGTAGGAATACTGCACACGGTTGACTCAGGGATTCCGGGACAAATTTCATAAGTGTCATAACCCAGAAACAGCGGTATGCTGACACCAAGCGAGACAATCCAAATAACGACGATGATTTTGATGGCGCGCGAATGCGAGACGTAAGACTTTGCTTTGATGGGATGGCAGATGGCGATGTACCGCTCTGTGGTGAAAGAAGTTATGTTCAAAACTGAAGTGAAAGTACAGGCCTCGATCAGAAAGTACCGCAACCGGCACATGAAACGAGTGTACGTCCAGGGCCAGGCTTTGAGTTCGTAAGCCACCTCCATGGGTCCGGTGAGTAAAAGTATCAAGAGGTCTGAGAAGGCCATACTGACTAAGTAGTTGGATGTCGTCTGCAGTATTCGGTTCCTCAGTATCACAACTATAGTCAGTAGATTGCCAATGATACCGACGAGACACAGCAAGCCTACCACCGTTATGAAGGGGATAACCTTTGCGTACTCGTAGTGCTGTGGTATCATGATATACTTGAGATGATCAATGAGGGTCTCCCCCGTCATCTCATACAGGTAATAGGCGCAGATGCCGCTCTGGGTGTAGCAGTCGTAAGTGACATCGTACACGAAACTTGACGCCGTGTTGTAGTGGTTTTCCTCCAATGTTGCGTCATTGATGAGGAACTCATAAGAGACATTACACAGATTCGGACCCCCCATTTTGTACGAACTTTCACTTAACATGATTGGAGCTTGTACCGTTTCGCTGCGATCGGGCTAGTTCACAGAAGACTCGGTGTGTTGCTCACCGCAAGAGATCAGGATCACTCGATAACGCAATCACAAGATGGGCACTTTCCATTCTTCCATTTCAATGTTCATTCAGCGAGGCAATATGCAGTTAATTGCAGAGTTTACAGCTCATGCAGAACTGACAATCAAATTAAGTGCACTTTTAATTCAGACACTGAAGTTCAATTAATTCCTAGTAATTTGTTTACCACGCCAACACGCGCTCCTCTGCTGAAAGTGGTTTACCCTTTTCCTCAATAAGATCTCGCACTCTCTGCCTTGGAGCATTTCTTTCAGCCGAGGCAATTGCGAGGCAATCTCCAGGGGAACGGAACACGCAGGACACACATAGGTGAGGACACTGGTGGTAATAACTCAGTGAATTACTACTTGAAGATTTCCTGATCAAGTGGTTGACAACGGGCGAGGCGTTCAAGCTAATAAGCCGACTGCCTTGAAGAGAACGGTGATGGAGGGTCATCGGTTCAAATGAAAAGGTCGATCTTGAAATCCCCCTGAAAGGAAAACAGACGAAGTGAAAGATGTCTTTAATTGTCCAATATCGTGTACATTCTGTCAGCTTAATAGGTATTCCTGAAAACGCCAACTCATCTGGCGTCACGTCCTAAAATAGATATCTTGTCAAAACACATTTCGCTGTTAACGCGTATCCTGGAATTGGTACACTGATATATGACACAAGAGAATTAATGCATCATACGAAGGTGTGGGTTGGTGTGTGTGTTCGCAATACGCAATTCTCAATCGTGTTCTTATACACATTAGAAATTCCTTGTGGAAACAACTGTCAATTTTTGAAATGTTCATGTTTACAAAAGGTCATAATCTTGGACAAGAGCTAACAATAGAGTTGTACCTTGTGCAGAGATCGTGCATGCGTTTGAACTGTCGTTCATTTCTTTCTGCCTTATCTATCCATCGCAAACCCAAGAGCGAAATCAGCGATGCCCCGACTGACAAGTGGGCAGATTATTTACCCCCAGAAAACAAATCACTTTCAGTGAGCCCTACCATCGAAGCATGAAAAACAAGTCTGCGCGGGCGTTATCAAATCACTCATCTTGTGCCCCCGATCAAGGCTATCATCTCTACCCACTAGCCATGTCAAATTACTTGAAGATCCACCTCAACCGGTGATTCAGGATCTTGCACCCAACCCCTTCCGATCTATGTCTTATTTAATTTGTCGAGTCAATTCTTCCACCTTGGTGTGTCTGTCCATCAGGTGGTTAATCGGGCAGAGATCCTGTTTATTACCGTCGCCGTATCCCGACTGTCCTCCACCCACCCCGCTTTTCACCCGCTATTTTGCACTAGATTAACTTTCATACGACCTCATCTTACACACCTGGATGATTTGACAAGGTTGTGATATTGAGATGTTTCTTGGATCATCAATGATCAATTATAATAAGCAACCTGTCATTTACAAGGTGTCAGGTGACGCTCTGGTTTTAGTATTGTGTCATACAAAGAATACGAAATACGGGATATTAAGATTTCATTGTGAATGTTAACTTCAAAGCTTAATATAACATTGTTCTTACATTGTACATACTATGTAACAAATTCATTTGCTTGCAGGCCTTCAGTTTTAAAAAGTGGTTTTAAATGGCGCGCTCCAGTTCAGAAATCGCGCACACTATTCAAAACGAATTGGAAGCGTCCCGCTCTTAATTCAAAAGTTAACTTACTTCATGGATTACTTGTCGCTAGCCGATTTTTTCGTGCAATGCCTCATCGGAAAGCTCTTTACTAATGTAATGCTAGCAAATTATCGATTCAATTTGAAAAAAAAATTTCAAGGCGCCACACCCAAAAAACACGTATACACCAACTTTAAACTCAAACCACAACGAATATATTTCTGGTCAGTATTACATTTCAATGCATTATTTTGCCAGAAACGCAGCTTTCATTGTGTTTAAAAGCCAACAGAAAATCTATGGTATAGTTTCAATGCTTGGGTATTTTCCCCATAGATCAACGATGAAGTCCCACTGTGCACGGAAGCATGAAATATGATTTGCAAAGCAGAGGCCATGTCTGTGTTTAACAAGATCACGGTGTCGAGAAAATTTGTTATGGAAGGGGGAAAAAAATCGGCCCTGGTCTACATTCAGTGCCAATGTTGTGTAGTGCCAACATGGAATCACATTATCAGCTGACATTTCAAGCAGCATGCAGCGCGGAGAATTCATAAGCTGTCTGGACTTACTCTACTGCACAACATGTTTCGCTACATTGACAGTTTATCCACAGCCATTAAGAGTCGGCTCTTTATTTTGTCACAGCTGGCACGGGCTGGGGGCGAATTTAATCCTTTATATATTGGCAATTAAAATAAGATTTTACTGAATGTTGTCTACATAAATGCCTGCAGAAGACATCCAATGAAATGTGCACATTCAAAGTTTAATTACAATCAGACAAAGCTCTTTTTCAATTTTTTTTTTTAATTAAAATTTAAGTAGCATCTGAGAAAAGTGCATGTGGCAAAGTCTGCTTCATTCTTTATAGGAATGGAGAACACTATCACATCCTAGCCCAAACTTCACTCTGTTGAAAGGCTTTCAATCAGACCTCATTTCAATTGGTTATATTTTAGCTGGTACAAATTGTAAAAAGATGAAAGTTTCTGAAGCATTTTTGAAAAAAAAAATCATTAACTCTGTTTAATAACCGACTGTCAAGTCAATCACTGGCTGCTTCTCTTCATTTGAGTGTCCCTTCTAGCAAGTAACACTTCACGGTGTCACGTTTGAATGATAGACGAATATGAAGAAATTTTACCTTTACAGCAGTTCGTGGAAGAGCTTCGACTGCTACGTTGTCCCCTGCGGGCAGACTGTACCGCAGCAAAGGTTTCAAGGCTCCGTATTGTACAGGCCCACTTGAAGAAATGAACGTTATTTTGGTAACTCGTTGAACTAGGGTCAAACCGGGGTCTTATGACAGCTCAGTGGTTGGCCAAAATCCCAAAATTTATGACAAGTGTGGCACCCTTTTTCTTTACGAGGCAGCGGTGGACCTATGGGGAGAAAAGAACGAAAACAGAACAGTAACCCTTGTGCTTCATCGCCTTCAATCATTCTGATCATAAAGTTTCACGCCGTACCTAACTCCGCCGAGGCCTAACATTTGAACTTTCATGATATGACTTCGCACTCAGAATTCAGATGATTTACTTCTAACCCCGTTGCACCACCTGCAGAAAGCACTTGCATGTTAATTTTCTTTGCATTGCATTCATCTTTGAAGACAGGATGCATACAGGGTGAGTAAAAAAAAAACGAAACCCAAATGTCGGGACCATTGTTTTAGTGAAGTTCTGCATGTAGCACTTTCAAAAACTAGGACATAAAAGCCCAATTCATAAGCTTTCGTTTAGTACAAGAACCATTCCAATCACTCATGTACTTTTCAAGTTACGGAGTTTTAAAAACACAACCGCCGTTTTAAGGTTCTGTCCACGGATCACAAAAAAAGTTCAGGGTTCTTTCAGCAACACGAAAACAAATCACACAAGGATGTGTGTGAATTGTTTTCGTTTTGCTGAAAGAACACACACCTTTTGTGTGATCCGTGGACAGAACTTTAAAACGGTGGTTGAGTTTAAAACGCCGTAACTTGAAAAGTACATGAGCGATTTCAATGATTCTTGTACTAAAAGAACGCTTATGAATTAGGCTTTCATATCCTAGATTTTGAAAGTGCTACATTCAGAACTTCACTAAAACAATTGTCCCGACATTTGGGTTTCGTGGTTGTTGTTTTTTAACTCACCCTGTTTAACTTGACCTTTAGTGCATTCTCTGAATTAATCAACAAAATACCTGGAAGATGGCTACCGAATACACAGGGCTTATCACTGAATTTAACCGATTATCCCGATTAAACTTAAACGTACATTCCTGCACGAACTTAATTCTTCCCAGCCAAGCATGAACTCAAGGCGACCTCTTCCGCTTCGACAATCTCCCTCAGGACATGATTGAGGAAACCTTCAATGTCATTAATCTTAAGAGCATTCCATCACGCGATACCTGCCCAGTATGTCTTGCATGTTTTACTTAAATATAAAGGATTAACTTTCACTATAAGATCTTTTGGTTTAATATTTTGCCGAAAGAAAAATCCAATGTTTGTGTAAAGTATCTTCAAAATGTCTGACAGCAATTTCACCGACATATAAATGGGCGCTGTGTAATTATTCTTTCTGGCATGCTGGCATTTTGAAGAACAAAATAAACAAGGTCATTTCCAAAGATGCGAAACGCATTTTTGAAAACTTCCGTAAGTAGTTCGTTTTTAATTCGGGGAAGCCGTGAATGGGTGCGCGCAAGCGTTGACACGACACACACACGCGCGCGGTTGCTATAATTCGTCGGTCAGTGCGCGACATCGCGTAGCTGCGATCGGCTGAATAAGAACGTGTCCCAGACGCTGATTTCCGGCGCAATTCAAAAATAACTCGGCAACTTTTGATTATTGAAATCGATATCTTAGAATTTGTTTTCTCTGAATATACAGTATTCACTGAGCTAAAACTTCATCGAGTTAGTTGCTAAGTACCTGACTTTAGATTTTGAGCACTTTTATTGCTTTCAAACGAAATCAAATTGCCCCAAAGACAAATGATAAACCGGGTCAGTCAAAAAAGGCGAAACCCAAATGTCGGGACAATTGTTTTAGTTAAGTTCTGAATCTAGCACTTTCAAAATTTAGGATATGAAAGCTCAATTCATAAGCTTTCTTTTAGTACAAGAATTATTGAAATCACTAAAGTACTTTTCAAGTTACGGAACTTTAAACACAACCATCGTTTTAAAGTTCTGTCCACGGATCACAAAAAAAATGTGTGTGTTCTTTCAGCAAAACGAAAACAATTCACGTAAGGATGTGTGTGAATTGTTTTGTTTTGCTGAAAGAACACCTATCAGTGGACAGAACTTTAAAACGGTGGTTGTGTTTGAAATTCCGTAGCTTAAAAATTACATGAGTGATTTGAATGATTCTTGTACTTACAGAAAGCTTATGAATTGGGCTATCATTTCCTATTTTGAAAGTGCTACATGCAGAACTTCACTAAAACAATAGATTCGACATTTGGGTTTCGTTTGGGTTTTTTTTACTCACCCTGTACTCTACATTTAAACTACCAAAGCTAGGACGTGCCTACACACGCTTCGCTATAACCCATTTGATCTCTGCTGAATGATATGAAAACACGTCAAAAATGTTTTGCTCAGATCGACATCTGAGGCAAGTAGACTACGAAAACTTGAGGGATATGTGTCCGATTTGTAAGCAATAAATATCCGCCCCAAGCACAACTGGGAAATACTCCTGGATCTTAGTGACAGAGTAGATTTCAGGTTTGAGATCGAAACTAAATTTGACAATTTGAGCACCGAGTTTAAAAAAAATGAGCATCTTGCCAGGAGTCTACAGGGACCGATGACACGGGTTAACCGACGACAGAATCACATAAACGATTGCTCTGCGATGCAATTTAGGGGGGAAAGAGAGGGCAGTACTCTCAGAGGAAATTTCAAATTGGATCATTAGCCGGAGAAGTGTCAACCCTGCCAATGCTGTCCGGACCGCTAACCAAGTTAGGATTTCGCGATGTGAATTGAAAAGACCTCGAGAGGATTCTGTCAAGCTCACGAATCCATGTCTTGCTTGGTAACCAACTTATACCGGAGATCTTATTGGATTCTTGGCTGCTACTGCAAACGGGAATCCTAATGCAAGGCTTGGATCTAATCATGTGTAAACAAATAAACACTGATCTCTCAGCTCGGAGAAATCCTTCACCTTCCCCTTCAAAGATGCTGACAAAGTTGAGGACGAGCAAAAGAGCTCAACAAAACAAACTAATAAAAAAATACAAGGTTCAAGAGCCTTAACCCAACCATTCCAGACCCTGAAAATTAAATAATACTGCAAGTTAAGCTTGCGCGATCCCCCTGGCATGCTGGCAGTATTTACACAGTCAGTCAGTAAGCACACTTTTCACTGTTCCTAACCAAAACCAGCACTGACCTCATTTGACCCCTAGAGGACCTTTGACCTCAGATGTCTCAAGTCGTCTTAAGTCCACCTACCGAAAGATTATTGTCACCAGGTTTTGTTGAGAGTGAAGTCTGACTTTTTATGTGACAGCACAGTAAACCTAACCAAAATGGAGCACACATACTGAAATTTGAATTGTGGAGACAATTCTTTGTTCTTGTGTACTAACATTTTTGAGTTTGAAAGTACAGTTTCAAAATGCTCTTATTTTAACTAGAATTAATTTCCTTGTCTGAAATTCGGACTGAATATCCCTTTAAAACTCTACCATTTGCGATGGATCAACATACCTTGGAAATTCCTAGTTTTGAGTAAAATCCACATATCTGTTTCGTGAAAACCTTGTGGAGACGTGTTCATCTATAGAAATTGCCCTGTGGAGACGTATACAATCTTCTATTCCCTATTGTGTGCATGTCTCCAGAGGGCACAGTGTATCAGATCAGACGGATACACATCCACACAGAAGGAATACACCATCGCAAGATCCCCCTTTCTTAATTGGCTTAAAAGGGGATAATAAAATCCTAGGGGTTAAAAACCCTTTAATTGTTTTTATCTACGAGATACAAGGAAGCATTCGACAGACGGACACAAAAAATAAACATTTCTCGCAGACTCGGATGCAGCTGAGACAGACATAAATACGTGAGCATGATTCATAACTTGTCATCTGAATACTGCAGACATTTTTGAAATCACTTGAGACCTTACGCATTATAGATGGTAATAAACAAACTCTGCAAGGAATTCAACAAATTTAGTTAATTGATTGGCACAAGTGAACGACACCTGCTGAGCCGACTGCCATGTTTACGAATATTATAAACCAACCATAACAAGATCTCTGTCCACAGAAATCTCTTTATCCGACTAAGATGTCATCATTCATCTGTACATTTTTGACAGTCATAAATTCTAATTCCTTTCTCTTTCCAGCAACGATAGGCTGGAGGAGCACTTTCATATTTGACCAAAAAACGGGGGTAATCGGTGCCTGTTAAATAAAAGAAATATGTTGGCATATTAAAGTGTCCCTTGTGGTATTTTTAATACATTTGTGTCTTAATTATAGCCTTCTGGCAGAACAAAATTGCAAAAAAAAATAGACAATCAAAACTGTTTTTCATTACAGAAATTCATTCGCATTGTATCTTCACCTCAATGTATTATCTCGGAAAAGATTCCCTCTTAAAATGTGAAGTGGAATATTTTGGAACAATATGGGTGTCTGTTGGAGTCATCTGTGATACGCAGTGAACAGAAACATGTCGTGCATGACGGCTACATGATTAACAAAATATGAACGCATCAACACGATCAGTCGTGCGTGTAATTAAGTGCATATCGTACTCGTTGATTTTCAACATAAAACTCATTGAATATCTCAGTGTCTTACGTGTGTGCAAATTGACATTACGCTGTTTGCGAGTTAGCCACGCCCCTCAGACAACCCTATGGACTTTCAAGTTTTGTTTGTCTTAGATTTTGGGCATTCCGCGTCCATTTGCATATCATGTAAAAGACCTTTATCATGCTTCCAACATTTTAGTCGTGTTCCCTGTATCCAATAACATAATGAATGATAATGATTTTGTGCAAAAGGAACCAGACTATTTTTCCTTCCAGCCTCGCTTTGGTCACATTGATCTGAATGGGAACAAATCAAATGGCTGCAACATGATAATGGTGTATTGGACGAAATTTCACAAGCTGCGTTGACCCGATTCTACCGCGATAGGTTAATCCAGTTTAGTGTGACGTCATCTCAATTCAATCATGCGTACTTCACACGTTGTAGTCATTAATCTCCATTAGTTGTCTTACTAATGGAGATCAACTGCAAGTTAACGCAACTCGAGCGTTTCTCCAATGGGCGCTAGTAACCAGTGGTGCGCGCGTGTGTATGACGTTTTGATGTTCTCCCGACAAGAATCAAGTGCGTTGCGCGCACTGGTTCGCGT